TTTAAAAAAAAAAAAAAAACCAATGCCCCATAATAAACATTACTGTATCTCTTACAAGACTTGTGTAGCGTAAGGACTCTCTAACACATTGTACTTTGTTTAGAAGGCACTTCCTTGTAGCTTTTTGAATCTTTTACTTCCTATCTTAGAATTATGTGAAATTAACTCTTTCGAGTGCGGATTTTGGAGGGGGCGGGTGCAGGAGAGGCTTGGCTGTCCTGTATCACTTCTGCACACTCGAGAATGAGTAAGGGGGGGAGGTACCCTTTATTATTAGAAGACGCTGTGATCTGCTTCTTTGTACTTTAATAATAAAAAAGTGGAACAACTCTAGTATGGGAGCTTCCTTTCCGATGCATATCCCTAATCTGGTTTGGGATCACACCAGCGGGGGGGGTGTGTGTGTGTTAAAAGCCCTTAACCCGCCCCCCCCCGCAACGCCAGGGTCCAAATTGAGGCTGCTGTGCTTGATTTTTTAAAAACCAAGTTGTGCTGTTGTGTCTAGTTTGGCCCTTATATTCATTAACAGTGTTCCCCAAACATACAGTAATTGCATATTCCTTTTGAGAGTTTAGTCTTACCAGCATACTGCTGATACTATTTTGAAATTTGAAATTGAAATACTTTATTGTCACTTGTACAACTTGTATACAGTGAGATTACACAAGCACCCCCCACTCAGCTCTCTTAGTCTGAATTCCCCTCGTTTACTGACGCACACCCCCCAAACCCGAAAGTCAGTTGCCCTGTTGTGATCTTTTCATTCAGCGGCCTAACAGCCGACGGATAGAAGCTGTTCTTTACCCTGTTGGTGCGACTAATCCTGCTTCTATATCTTCTGCCTGAGGGCAGGAGATCAAGAAAGTGCCGGCCAGGGTGTGAATCATCCCTGAGAGTTTTCCTCACTCTCCTGAGGCAACGTTCTTCTGCTATTTCACCCAGCAGATTCAATGGACAGCCCATACTATATTGTGCTGTATTCACCACCCTCTGTAGGCACTTCCTATCAGATGATGTCAAACCAGCGTACCACACCGTGATGCAGTATGAAGGGACACTTTCTATTGTGGACCGGTAGAAGGAGATCATCAGATGTTGATTGACATTGTTCTTCTGCAATACTTTGTCTCGACTAGTTCAAATACAATAACACACACACACACACACACACACACTATAAATTACGTTATGATAAAGTAAAGAAATTCTGCCATGTACCCTTTGAAATCCTTTCGCATCCCTGCTGGGATGTGTGCAGCACACTTTGGAAAACAACTGCATTAGTGTACTGCACTTCCCTGTATTTCTGTGCAATCATAAGGACCAGGAACTTGTAATGAAAGCCAAATTCTGTGTTGGAATGGCACTTTTGGAGCATGGCAGTCATCACCCCAAGTGGTGATAAACTGTAAAAGTATCGCTCCTGCTTTTCAGACCTACCTTGTGTCTTTTCACGTCTTGTAAGGAATTCAAGTTGACCTCTCACTCTTGCGCCCAGTGCCCCGAGGAGCCATATGTGGAAGAAAAGCTCTCTAAGTCTGCATCCCCTCTGAAATATCGAGAGTGGATTTCATGCTCTTTATTCAGCTCATAGTGGTGAGGAGGAATGAAAGTTTCCCCAAAGTATCTGCTTTATATACATTATTTGCACAATGGGCCCCACATGATTGGCTAATTCTGGGATTCTCCTGTAGGCCAATCAGGTTGCGGATTCACTTCCACCTGGAGCTGGATTGGGTGGCTCCTGTGGACCAATCAGAATGCTGCATTCTGGGTCCTATTGTTCTAGGACCAATCAGATTGCTGCATTCTGGATCCCATTGTTCTAAGACCAATCAGACTGCTGCATTCTGGATCCTATTCAACTCAGTACATAACACCCTCCTTACCTGGGGATTGCCACTCACCGTGACTTTAGAGTGTCTGAGAACCTTTAGGCTGCCACTGACGCTGAAACTCAAAAATTGTCACTACCCTACTCAAAATCCATTTCTCTTTTTAAAAACCACAAAAATGCACTTGGTGCAAACCGTGCAAGAGGTTAACCAAGCAGGTTAACCTGTAAATCCCATTGTCTTCAATGGGGCTTATTGCTTAGTAAGGGTGCCTAGAATTTGTTAATTTTTCATTTCAATTGAAACCTTCTAAAAACATTACCTTTGGAGCTTGGCTTGTTCTAGCCGTTTGTAGCACTGTTTTCGTTTAGATGGCTTGATGGCAGGAACCCTCAATTGTGACAAGAGGAGACAGACCATTGGTCAATTTTCCGTGGCGATTACTGGGATTCTTGGAAAGAGTACTGGATCTCTGCCTGGCCCCGCAAGACATATCTTCACGCTTAAAGAAAAGCACTTGCCCTGTATCGCTTAACCTAGAATAATTATGCCTTTCAAGCAATGTATTCAGTGTCTGTAGATGGGAGGTGTGCCAAAAATCCTTGTTAGCTGCAATTTATCTGGAGAGGGGTCTTAAGGGAAGAGGGAGTACAGTGCAAACAAAGCACTATAGCTTTTTATACTCTACATTATTAAAGGTGCAATTATTAGGGCAAGGTTTCCGGAGGACATTCTTTTGTTCCTAAATCTTGATGTAGGCAGGGAAATAATGAATTTAGGTGATGCTCAGTAGGGAAAGGACTCGGGTGGTGCTGTGGTCTAAAGCACTGAGCCTAGGGCTTGTCGATCGGAAGGTCGGCGGTTCGAATCCCCGTGACGGCGTGAGCTTCCGTTGTTCAGTCCGAGCTCCTGCCAACCTAGCAGTTTGAAAGCACGAAGTGCAAGTAGATAAATAGGTACCACTCCAAAGGGAATGTAAATGGCATTTCCGTGCACTGCTCTGGTTTCACCAGTCATGCTGGCCACATGACCCGGAAAAAATTGTCTGTGGACAAACGCCGGCTCCCTCAGCCTGTAAAGCGAGATGAGCGCCGCAACCCCAGAGTTGTTCGTGACTGGACTTAACTGTCAGGGGTCCCTTTACCTTTTACAGTAGGGGGAAAGGAGTTGGTTACCACCCATCTTATGCTTTTTCCCTGGCCGATTCAGGAATAAAAATTGGTGCAGTGCTTACTGTGATGTATTAGGCGGATGAAACATTTTATGTGGGATAATCATGTCCCCATCAGGCTTTTTGTGGGGGTCAAATGGGGTGCCCCCCATCTGTGCACTCCTGAGCTCACTGGGATTTCCCCCACTATTAAATAAGAGAGAATCAGTGTTTTGCCAAGGATTCGCCCCAAGGTGAATTCTTGCAGTACAAGAAAAGAAAATATGCTCCAAAGTATCAGGTAAGTGGCTCCCATGTTTGAGAAATCTAAATGCTTATTTTGAGTCTAATTTCAGAAAGAGATAGGGATCCCCGGGGGCTGCTAAAGATCTTTTGTGGATACCACATGGCAGGTCTTGCCAGATGGGTGGGGTACAAATAATAAATTATTATTATTATTATTATTATTATTATTATTATTATTAAAGCCACAAAGTCTGCAGCTGCAGATACGAACCCGATGAGTCTCTGCTGAGATCAGATTTCAGGTTGAGCGGAAGAGGGCTTGGATGAAGAAACAGTCATGACCAGGCATAGGCAGACTCGGCCCTCCAGATGTTTTGGGACTACAACTCCCATCATCCCTGACCACTGGTCCTGTTAGCTAGGGATGATGGGAGTTGTAGTCCCAAAACATCTGGAGGGCCGAGTTTGCCTGTGCCTGGTCATGACTGATCATTGAAACATGAATATATTACTTTCAATTGTTTTTTGAAAACAGCAGCCCCATAAGGTCTGTCTCCAGCTGTAAGTTGAATTTGAATATAAAGAAAAAGGAACAAGCCTTATGAGCAAAGTTTTAAGTAAAGAGCTTGTTGTTGTTTAGTCGTTTAGTCGTGTCCCCTCTTCGTGACCCCCTGGACCAGAGCACGCCAGGCACTCCCGTCTTCCACTGCCTCCCACAGTTTGGTCAAACTCATGCTGGTCTCTTCGAGAACACTGTCCAACCATCTCGTCCTCTGTCGTTCCCTTCTCCTTGTGCCCTCCATCTTTCCCAACATCAGGGTCTTTCCAGGGAGTCTTCTCTTCTCCTGAGGTGGCCAAAGTCTTGGAGCCTCAGCTTCAGGATCTGTCCTTCCAGTGAGCACTCAGGGCTGATTTCCATCAGAATGGAGAGGTTTGATCTTCTTGCAGTCCATGGGACTCTCAAGAGTCTCTTCCAGCACCAGAATTCAAAAGCATCCATTCTTCGGCGATCAGCCTTCTTTATGGTCCAGCTCTCACTTCCCTACATCACTACTGGGAAAACCAGAGCTTGAACTATACGGCAAAAGTATGTTGGCAAAAGTAAAGAGCTACTGGAAGCCAAAGGGTTAAACATACTACCTAGTGGTTGGAGGGTATGACGTCACCCCACAATTAAAATCCCACCTGCAGCTGCAAAAAGCCCCTTCCCTCCTATTAGGGCCGCTGTCTCTTTAAGCAGCGCGCCGCTCGCTCGCTCGCTCCCCCTCCCCATCAGCTGTATAAGGGGGCGTGGCTACAGCTGGGCGTGTCCTATGCAAATGAGGACCCGTACTTCCTCCTCTCGACGGTCGGCGTCGCCCGTCGGCCGTCCGAGGGAGAAGAGTGGGCGTGGCCCCGCCCTTGACCGGCGGCCCCGCCAGCCAATGGCGCCGCAGAGAAGTAGGCCTCTCGGGCGGGACTTCCTCCCCAGGGCCGCGAGCGTGTAGGCTGAGGTAAAGCGGGACGAGAGCAGCTTACCCGGCCGCCGCTGCCGCCGCCATGATCAAGAAGTTCGACAAGAAGGACGAGGAGTCGGGTAAGAAAGCCCCGGTGAAGGGTGGTCAGGCGCCGAGCCTCAAGCTAGGCCCCGTTGCTAGGCAGGGTAGGCTGCCCCTTCCGCAGGTGGGCCGGAAGCCCCGTAGCGGCGCCGGAGGGCGCTTGCCCCGCCCACTGGCTCGGGACGGTTTAAAACGGTTTAGAAGGGGGGGGCGGGCGCTACCACTTCAGGACGAGGGAAAGGGGGCAGTGTGAAGAAGAGGCTCTTCTGGAACGTACCAAAGGCCTCTTTCGGGGAGTTTTCCCCCTGGCACCCCCTCCGAGGTGGCGCCTATGGTTCCCCCCGTGCCCCATTTTCTCCTCACAACAGCCCCGCGAGGTAGGTGAGGGGGCCTGAGGGGAATCTTTGCCATTGGATGGAGGGCGCCCTGTGGAAAGATATTTAAAGCAAAAGAAATAATGGTCTCCCCGGCTATTTCTTCCAACAATAACAACAACAACAAAATAACAATGGTTTTATTGATTTTTATGTGTTTGTTTTGAACGTGTGACATCTTAGAGTAATTTTGGTCATTCTCACACACACACACACACACACATATATATATATACACACACACACATATATATATAAATTTTTTATTAGATTTTCCACAGTGATAACACAAACTACAATGCAAAATGATACACAAAAACAGAAAAGGGGGGGGGACAATAAACAGATAAACAATAACAACAAACTTAATTCTTCACAAATCCAACCTTTTACAGGCTTGGATGGAGGGCGCCCTGTGGAAAGCTATTTAAAACAAAACAAATAATGGCTTCCCGGCCCGTGTCCAATGCACAAGGGGCTATTTCTTCCGATAATAATAATAACAACAACAAAATAACAATGGTTATATTGATTTTTATGTGTTTGTTTCCTCTTCAGGGAAGTTTTTCATGTGTGACATCTTACTGTGATTTTGGTCTTTGTGGAAGCTGCCCAGAGTGGCTGGGGAAACCCAGCCAGATGGGCGGGGTACAAATAAATAATAATTATTGTGGTAATAATAATAGTTATCCACACACCAGCAGAGAGTTGCAAACCCAGCCAGATGGGTAGAGCATACAATGGTACCTCGGGTTACATACGCTTCAGGTTACAGACTCCGCTAACCCAGAAATAGTGCTTCAGGTTAAGAACTTTGCTTCAGGATGAGAACAGAAATCGTGCTCCAGCGGCGTGGCAGCAGCGGGAGGCCCCATTAGCTAAAGTGGTGCTTCAGGTTAAGAACAGTTTCAGGTTAAGTACAGACCTCCAGAACGAATTAAGTACTTAACATGAGGTACCACTGTAAATAAATTATTATGTTTATTACAGTGGTACCTTGGTTCTCAAACTTAATCCGTTCCGGAAGCCTGTTCCAAAACCAAAGCGTTTCAAAACTAAGGCGCGCTTTCCCGCAGAAAGTAATGCAAAATGAATTAATCCAACTTTTAAAAACAACAACAATAATAATAACTAATAATAATAGTAATAATTTATTATTTATACCCCACCCATCTGGCTGGGTTTTCCCAGCCACTCTGGGCGGTTCCCAATAGAATAATAATATATTAATTATAGCCTTTATTAATTATTATAATTAATATATTAATTATAGCCTGCCCTTCTGGCTGGGTTTCCCCAGCCACTCTGGGTGGCTTTCAACAGAATATTAAAATACAGTAATGCATCAAACATTAAAAGCTTCCCTGAACAGGGCTGCCTTCAGATGTCTTCTAAATGTCAGGTAGTTGTTTTTCTCTTTGACATCTGGTGGGAGGGCGTTCCTCAGGGCAGGCGCCACCACCAAGAAGGCCCTCTGCCTGGTTCCCTGTAACTTGGCTTCTCGCAGTGAGGGAACCGCCAGAAGGCTCTCAGAGCTGGGCCTCAGTGTCCGGGCAGAACGATGGGGGTGGAGACGTTCCTTCAACCCCTAAAACAGCCAATTAACATGAAACTTACTATGTAATGGGATCATTGATCCATAAAATGAAAGCAATAATCAATGTACTGTGCTATAAAATAAATAAGACAGTATTGTAGGTGATAAAAATAAAAATAATTATTATTTTCTTACCTGCACGGATGATAGTCATTGTTTGGATGGGGGGCTTATATCCATTTCCGCAGTCACACAATCAGTCGGTAGCTGAGCTGGGTTCCACACAATCACAAAAACAAATGAACCGAAAAATCCTCAAAAACAAAAACGCAAAATAAATAGCAAAAACAAAAGCGGCAAACTTAATCCATTGTGGAAGTCCATTTGACTTCCGAAATGTTCGAAAACCAAGGCACAGCTTCTGAATGGTGCAGACGCCCCGGAAACAGTAGTCGACATCTGCATCGGATGTTCAGCTTCCAAAAAACGTTCGAAAACCAGAACACTTCTGGGTTTTCGGAGTTTGAGAACCAAAGCGTTTGAGAACCAAGGTACCACTGTATATTATATGACAGTGGTTTGCAGCCAGCCTTGCCCAATGGTCACCCGAGCAGGGGCTGCATGAGAGGTTTGCCATTACATTGTGTGTTTTTGTGGTTTTTGTACTGTGAACCCCACACAATGTTCGCTATGTAAATATTTATTTAAATAAAACAAGTAGCAGTCTCCCAGTGCTCCAAGCCTAACGCATAAGCAGCTATTTTTTAAATAATAATAATAATAATAATAAATTGTTGTTTGTTTGCTTAATTTTGCCACCTCTGTGTCCATAAAGATGTATCACAGCAGTTAACAAACAATATTGGAAACGTTAAAACCAAACAGTGACATAACGATTCCTGCGTTGTAGGTTCCCTTGTGGTCCCTTCCAACTCTTAAAATTCTGTGATTCTGTAAATCAGAGGCAGAAACCAGTAGACCCTTGTGGGGTGTGTGGGTGTGCTCTTAATGGCCTGCATATTTATTAAATAGGTATACTGTACAAGCAAACATATGTAACTTAAGAAAAAAGGAACACGGAAACAGGAAGAGGGGAATAGAGTTTCCCGTTTACATTAGCTGACAATTTGCATTCAGGAGTTTGAAGAGAAGGGGGAAAGGATGGAAAGAATTACAGCATAGGTCACTTCCTTGCAAAAAATATATATCTGTAAAGGCGGGCAAGCAGTAGTTTCTTATAAGTTTAGTGTGGCAGTTGCCCACGCTTTGGCAATCCCTCCTGCATTTTGCACTCAGGCAGGTGCCTTCACTGTACTCTTATCAGCGCCTGCTAAAAACATTCCTGTTTAGACAAGCCTACTCAGATGCTTAGAAAATTCAGGTAATTTTAATCTGTTTCAGTAGGATTGTGAACCTTTCTTGGTTTTACTGTTTTACCTTTTGTAAACCGCTTTGAGGTTTTTCTTTTACCCTCAAGCGATGTATAAATTTTATGAAATAAATAAATAAGCCATGACAGGTAAGGAGGCAATTATTCTCTGCTTTCCCTGTCGGGCTCAGCATGCTTCTGAATGAAACCTGTTGTTGGAAATCACAGGTGGGAAAATGCTGCGGCACTCAGGCCCTGCTCAGGCCCTCTGTCGTCCCCTTCTCCTTTCACAACATCAGGGTCTTTTCCAGGAAGTCTTCTCTTCTCATGAGGAGGCCAAAGTATTGGAGGCTCGCTGCTCCTGGCTGCATACTGCGGGGGGCGGGGGGGAGCCGGAGGCCTTTCCCCTTCCTCGCTCTTTCCTTTTCAGGCCATAGGGAAGAGGACAGGGAACTATGTGCTCCTGTCATTGTTTGCCCCACACTCCTGGCTGCATACCGTAAGGTTGCGGATATAAGCCGCACTTTAACTTTTCATGGTTGGAATTTGGGGGGGAAAGTGAGGCTTATATTCAGGCCAATACGGTAATAGTAATGTTGGCTGGGGCTGATGGGAGTTGGAGTCCTACAATATCAGGGCAACGGGTTCTGCACCATTGGCTTCTTCCCTCAACACTCCTGTGGAGTTGTACAGTTCAGAGAAAGATCACTTGTGATGAGGCAAAGTATTTTTCGGGGGTATTCGTCCACTATTACTGAACTTCTCAGGAAGGTAAGTTTCTGGGGAAGCCCTGAGTTCCTCAGAACACAGTTTAAAAACAACGTACAGAATTGTCATCAAGGTACTTTGTGGCTAGCATCTGGTCCCCTGCCAACATTGTGTTTTGTTTTTCAGGTAGCGGCTCCAACCCCTTCCAGCATTTGGAAAAGAGTTCTGTCCTCCAGGAGGTACGACCACACCTTTCTATACACCCCCCATTCCAGGATTTCCCAAACTTGGGTCTCCAGCTGTTTTTGGACTACAGTTCCCATCATCCCTGACCACTGGTCCTGCTAGCTAGGGATGATGGGAATTGTAGTCCAAAAACAGCTGGAGATCTAAGTTTGAGAAACACTGCCCTATAAGATCTCTTTTTTTGAAATCAAGTTTGGGATTTGCAGGCTAGAGTCTTTGGCTGTCTAGGGCTCTGATTCTTTGGGGGGGGGGCACTGTAGGTCCACTGAGTCTCTGCAACTTCCCTTTTTGTGACACTCAACCCCAACCACCATGTTTCCTTAAAGAAAGGTGGCAGCCTGGGTACATGGGATGGATAAGAGGGCAGATCCGTTCAGCATGAACTAATTTACATGAATCTCAGGCTTGGACATGTGAACCACAACAATGGGTGTGTCATGGGATCATCAGCCCTAGGGGTGCTATATAGAGCCTAGCCTTGTCTTATTGCACCTTGGGCATCTCTATACAATTGGGGTGTTGCCTGTCTGCATAGTTTCTAAAATATCTTGGAACAGGGATAAGTGACGTGTGGTGCAAGAAACCTCCCCTTTCTTGGAGACTCTAGAAACTGCATCCTTAATATAAAAAGATACCCTTGTGTGTGGAGACTTTGGGTCTTGGGTTATAACCTTGTATTGGCTGCTGAGCAGAGATGCTCTGAGGGCTCTTCCCAAAACTAGAAGCAAGACCTTGCCAAGTGAAGCTTTCTGGGTTTATGTGTGACTAGAGCTGCCTTCAAACCCAGAAGGAAACAGTGGGTTGTATCCAACAAAATAATACCATTAGTACAAGGGTTTCTCTGTGTGCAATTTCCCTTCCCTCTCCTCTTGCTCCAAATCTGCTCCAGAGGATTGGGGGAACCCCCAGAACAGATTCAGGGAAAGGAAAAGTTATTTTGTGCAGCCTGAGGTCCTTGCTGCATATTGGTTCCCCCCATTTTGTTGAAAAGGAATTTTAGGAAACTTCAGAATGAAAATTCCTAATATCCGTCTTTGTTGACTGCACCATTCCTGTTCCTTTTGCATAGGCGCGTATCTTTAACGAGACCCCCATAAATCCAAGAAGATGCCTGCATATACTTACCAAGATCCTTTACTTGCTGAACCAGGTAAGTGCAGCTGCTTTTGTGCAATTGAGTTGCAGCCTTTGGCTAATGAGGAAACTGTTAGAATTCCTGCTCCATGATTGCAGTCATGGGATTTTTGTCTATCACATGACGTGGTATGTTTTGACTCCACAGAGTGGGAAGTGACGGAGACAGGATGTTTGTGTTACGGTGTTCTGTGAAGTGGGACTATTGTCCTTTGTTCTTTTTCTCTTTGCTGTCTGATGCTAGAGAGAGAGGGAGCCATGTTGCAGTGCTCCGTGTGTGTTTATATGTAAATAAAGTAGATTAGCCGAAATGCTGAGTTGCTGAGGTCTGTTACGCAAGCTTTGCAAACTCTGCGGATCCCTAAGTGTGCCGATGTCTGTTGGCATCGGTCGCTGTGATGTTCAGGCAGAAGAAAGCTTTTGAAGCTCCCGAATGAAAGGCCTAACGTTCAGGGGTCCCTTTACCTTTTGCTTTACCGCTTGATATAGTAATGCTCTCTTAAGCAGTTCACATGAGAACAAGAACAAATACGAACCAGAATATTAATCATTTCCTAAAAACTAGGTAAAGAGAGAACAGCACTGTATATCACACATAAAACTGCACAGTTTATAAAACAAACTTGCTAATTAAGAAGAGTTCGGAAAGGCTAATGGGTGGTGGATGGGGAGGCCAAGGCTGGGGCTTCCCTGCATTGGCAGATGAGAATCAGGGTCACGTGGCAGAGAATCCCACTCAAGAGGCAGGCATTAGATCGTCCTGGGATCACCTGTGATGAGCATGGCTGAAAGTGATCTCTGGAGCTAAAACCAGGTCTTAGTGGAACATGTCAGCTTTTCACATATGCTGGCTTAATTTTTGTCACATATTAATTCACTTTTCTCTAGGGTGAACATTTTGGAACAACGGAAGCCACAGAGGCCTTCTTTGCAATGACAAGATTGTTTCAGTCAAATGATGTAAGTTCCCAGTGCTCCAGAAAAGGGGTTTCCCCTCTGCCTGTGTCTCTGGTTGCATGATGGGCAATGGAGGATTAAAAAAATTAAAATTCTTGTGTGGGATGCAAAGCAACTTCATGACAGAACATTTCTGAATTTTGCACAAAAATGTAAACAGCAGCAGTACAGATTAGGTGGTGGCAGGAATTTGCTTCTTTTTTCTTGTACTGGGATCCAATGTAGATACTTTGGGACCAGTGTTATGTGGTCTCGGTGGCCGCTCCCAGTCACCAGTCTAGCTGCCGCTTTCTGGATTAGCTGTAGTTTCCGAGTCACCTTCAAATGTAGCCCCACGTAGAGCACATTGCAGTAGTCCAAGCAGGAGATAACCAGCACATAAACCACTCTGGTGAGACAGTGTGCAGGCAGGCAGGATCACAACCTGCATACCAGATGGAGCTGGTAGACAGCTGCCCTGGACACAGAATTGACCTGCACCTCCATGGACAGCTGTGAGTCCAAAATGCCCCCCAGGCTGGTCCTTCAGGGACACAGTTACCCCATTCAGGACCAGGGAGTTCCTCACACCCGCCTGCCCTCTGTTCTGCAGAAACAGTACTTCTGTCTTGTCAGGGTTCAGCCTCAATTTGTTAGCTGCCATCCATCCTCAAACCGCCTCCAGACACTCACACGGGACATTCACCGCCTTCACTGGTTCTGATTTAAACGAGAGGTAGAGCTGGGTATCCTCATACCTTTGATGAAAGTTGGTGTTCCCATGGCTAACTTCCTGGGGGCGTGACAGTTACTGTTATCTTGCCCTTTCCACAGCAAACATTAAGGAGAATGTGTTACCTTACCATCAAAGAGATGGCCAACATTTCGGAGGATGTCATCATTGTCACTAGCAGGTACTGATGTTCTTGTTTCAATGAATGGTGACTCTTGAGTCTTTCCGCAGGCATTTGGTTGAGTGTGGAGGATCTGGCTGCAGTCAGTAAGACTTAAGTCCCTCCCATCATGTTATGGTGTGAACTCTGTTTTGCCACCTCTGACCATCGTTTCACACACCATGCGAAAGCAGACTTGCCTTTGCCACTGAGCGCCCCTTGTGTTTGCTTCCTGATGAGTTGACTGACTGGTACAATATACGCCAGAGGCAGTCCCTCCAAATCCCATCAGCCCCACCTAGCATGGCCAGAGATAATGGGAGTTGCACTACAAGAACAGCTGGAATGGTGCAGGTTTCACTTCCCTGATATTTGCAGTTGCATCTTGGTCAAATGTAGACTTTACATTCTTACATGTGCTCTTACAGCCTCAGTATCTAAAAATATAGGTGAACGTAAGCTGCTGTAGGGATAGGAAGTGTCTCACATTTAAACTGGCCTGCTAGTGCCAGACAAAAGTGTGGTTGGCGCATTTTGTACCAATCGAAGCCTCCAGGCTATTTTCAACGGCTGCCCCAGAATTGAAGCCAAGTCCACCTCTTTTCTGCAAAAGGTCTGTGTTAACAGAAGCTTGCCTTAACTCTTCTAGCCTGACCAAAGACATGACTGGGAAGGAGGATGTGTACCGAGGCCCTGCCATCAGAGCCCTCTGTAGAATCACGGATGTAAGTATCAAATTCTTCAGCCATGAATGGGGTCTCGCTGTACCCATTTTTAATGCCAGGTGTTCTCTCTCTAACATGCCTGGAATGATTTCTCCTGATCCCTGTCCTCCAAGCCACTCTTTCCCCAGTGACCACATGTTCTCACTATAACCATTTGTTTAAGTTTAGTGCTGTCGTGTTTTCCAGCAAATGGGTTGCAGTTGAATAATAACGTGATGATTACCATTATCCTGATGGTAACCTGGTCATCTGAGCTTTCATTGGCTGTTCCGCTCCCCCTATAGCTGTGTACAGACAGTAACAGGAGATTGCAGTTGCTCATGTAGAGCTCAGTCAGTTTTATGAATGGGGTACTAATGGGTTTTCTCACCCACACAAATATCTGTACGTACCAAGCTTGGCACATTAGCCTGTGTTGCCTACTCACCGTAGTACTACAATTTTGCTTTTTAAGGAATGTTTCTCCTAAACGTTAAAACTTATTAAAACCAGCTAGGGTATAAATAATAAGTTGTTGCTGTTGCTGTCGCTGTTGCTGGTAACACCGCCTGGTGTTATTTTTAAACAATAAATGGTAAGAAAGGGTTAGGGGGTGATCCAGGAAGAATAGTGGGAGGCTATGAAAAGAGTGATGGAAGAAAGTGCAGAGTCCAGAATCTTGACCTATTGAACGCTGGAGCTTTTTGCAGACACTTTCCATGCATGAGGTCTAGAAGCTTTTATTTTAAAACGGAAAGTGAGCTAGTTAGGAATCGATACCAGGTATCAGGTTCTGCCTGAACTTGGAGAACAGAAGCAATCCCAAGAAGATAACATTCTCTGCGTTGGTATCTCTGGCGTCTCTGTGTGTTGGTACCTCTTGTTCTCTCTCTCTCTCTGGATTCCCAGGGCACCATGCTGCAGGCCATTGAGAGGTACATGAAGCAAGCCATTGTGGACAAAGTCCCCAGTGTCTCCAGTTCAGCGCTGGTGTCCTCCTTAGTAAGTGAAGGGATCTCTTTGCTGTCATCCGATTACATTCAGGGACTGGGCGGACCCGAGCACCTCCGACTTGTCGATATCTTGGCGGCCAGGACACCTTCTGCATCTTTCTGTATTGGCTTGGCCATGTTGTGCACTGTCTTTTGCTTTCTGGGTTCTTCCTGCCCTGTCCAATTTTGCAGCAAAGTGCTTTGCTGGGAACCACTGACATTCTGAATGCCTGGCTGGGGTTCCTGCCACCGCCCTCCTCCCTTGCTCCGGCAGTAATTCCAATTCTCCCTTGCTGCCCCAGCTTTGCAGGATTTTAAAATACGAGAAAAGCAAACTCTGAAAGAAAACGTTGCCGACTAGTTGCTAAACCTCCTTCTCCACAGTTTACATATGAAGCTGCCTTATACTGAGTTAGGCCCTTGGTCCATCTAGCTCAGTTCTTTCTACACTGACTGGCAGCACCTCTCCAGCGTTTCAGGCAGAAGACCTTCCCAGGCCTACCTGGAGATGCCAGGAATTGAACCTAGGACCTTCTGCATCCAAAGCAGATGCTCTACTGCTGAGCTACAGCTCTGGCATTCCCACCTTCGCCGCATCAAGCAGTTGGTCCCTTACCTTTCCCGCCCTGACCTGGCCACAGTGATCCATGCGACGGTCACCTCCAGGCTTGACTACTGTAATTCGCTCTACGCGGGGCTGCCCTTGAAGCTGTCCCAGAAACTCCAGCGGGTGCAGAATGCTGCAGCGAGGCTCCTCACGGGGTCTCTGCCATGGGAGCATATTCATCCAGTGCTTTTCCAGCTGCACTGGCTCCCGGTGGAGTACAGGGTCAGATTTAAGGTGCTGGTTTTGACTTTTAAAGCCCTTCACGGCCTAGGACCCTCGTACCTATGGGATCGCCTCTCCCGGTATGCCCCACGGAGAGCCTCAAGGTCCATAAATAGCAACACCCTAGAGGTCCTGGGCCCTAAGGAAGTTAGATTAGCCTCAACCAGAGCCAGGGCCTTCTCAGCAGTGGCTCCGGCCTGGTGGAACTCTCTGTCTCTTGAGACCATGGCCCTGCGGGATCTGATCTCTTTCCGCAGGGCCTGTAAGACAGAGTTGTTCCACCTGGCCTTTGGCTCAGAATCAGTTTGATTCCCTCCCCCTTTTTCTTTTTCCTTTCTCCTCCTATGATGAGATTGCTCCCTAATTGTTTTAATATTGTATCTTAATCTTTTAAATTGTATTTTAATCAACTTGTTTTTATTATCGGTTGTTAGCCGCCCTGAGCCGGGTCTTGGCTGGGGAGGGCGGGGTATAAATAAAAAATTATTAATAATAATAATACTGGGTTTGCTAGTGTGATGCCTAGAATTGCCCTGGTGTCTGTGAAGCCTCTGAACTGGCCCCATATTATTACAGTCATACCTCATGTTACGTTTGCTTCATGTTACATTCTTTCAGGTTACGTCCCGCGGCGACCCGGAAGTACTGGAAAGGGTTACTTCCAGGTTTTGCTTCATGCGCAGATGTGCAAAATGACATCATGCGCAGATTCACAACCCGCGCATGTGCAGACGCACCACTGCGGGTTGCGCTCTTTTCGTGTTGCGAACGGGCCTCCGGAACGGATCCCATTCGCAACCAGAGGTACCACTGTATTAATAATAATTTTATTATTTATACCCTGCCCATATGGCTGGGTTGCACCAGCCACTCTGGGCAGCCTCCAACATATATAAATGACACGCAGCGGAAGTGTGCTGGGCCCATAACCTGATGTGCAGTGTAAATTAATAATGCAGAGTTTTAGAGAATAAAAGCTTTACTGAGTTAAAATAAACTTCATAAACAACATGGTTCCAAACAGTTTGACTGAGATTACATACTGACTCTGCTCACAGCTGAGGCAGACTGACTCTGACTGAAAACTTACAGAGAGCACAGAGAGAAACTGGCTGCTAATCATATGTCAGAGTGACTCAAGAGTTAGCAGTTAGGCCTGAATAACTTTGGTAGGCCCAAATGATTGTGCAGTCCCAGCACTTCCCAGCCTGCTTTGCTGCTTCTGCTCTCATGTGTCTTTGTCACATGACAATAAAAACATAATTTAAAAACTTTCCTGTACAGGGCTGCCTTCAGCTGTGTAGTTCAGTTGTGTAGTTCTTTATCTCCTTGACATCTGATGGGAGGGTGCCACTGCTGAGAAGGCTCTCTGCCTCTCCACTCTCCCCATAAAGTTGAAAAGGGAACTTGGAAGAGGGATGCATTCCCCCACTTCCTCTTTCAGCTCTATGTGCTTTTTGAAGGTCTGGTGCATCCCCTGCTTTTGGGACGGCAGCAGGCAAATGACCTGCTCCAGAAAAGTCTTCCTATAGTGTAATCATTCTCCTTCTGATCTCTTCAGCCACAGTAATATGCTACTGGGTTTAAACTACCTGCTAAACCGGTTGGTACCCACTAAACTTGGTTGGTAGACTGGCCAAGACAGGAGCAGGGCTAGTATTATTGATTCTCGGCCATTATTTCCAGCACATGATGAAGATCAACTATGATGTGGTCAAACGGTGGATCAATGAAGCCCAGGAAGCTGCTTCCAGTGACAACATCATGGTGCAGGTACGATGCTCCCACCTTCCTTGACTACATGCTTTTAGCACTGCAGGTGGTTTGAATTGGCTTTGTGCAGTTGTAATACATGATGTGGTTAAATAACAGAAACACTTCCCCACCACGTCCAGAGGAAGTCTTTGCATTAGTCTGCTGCAGCAAGTACAGTCGTATCTTGGTTTTCAAACGCCTTGGTGCTCTGACGTTTTGGCTTCCGAACGCCCCAAACCCAGAAGTGACTGTTGCGGTTTGCGAACTATTTTTGGAAGCCGAAAATCGAACAGGGCTTCCGATTGGCTTCAGGAGCTTCCTGCAGCCAATCAGAAGCCGCGTTTCGGTTTCCGAACATTTTGGAAGTCAAACGGACTTCCGCAACAGATTCCAAGGTATGACTGTATTCCTGCGGCACCTTAAAGATTATAACACATTTTATTATAGCTTTTGTGGATTGAGCCTATTTTTTTATTTAAGTACTTCAGAGTAGCTTCATTTGAAAAAGCAATCATATTTAGTTATATTTAGCACAACAGTAATCATGGATTTATTTGCCCCCCCCCCAATTATTTCCCCCCTGACCTGCCAGTACCATGCCTTAGGGCTGCTCTACCACCTTCGGAAGAACGACTGCCTTGGTGTTTCCAAGATGCTGAATAAATTCACTAAATCTGGGTTGAAATCCCAGTTTGCATACTGCATGCTGATTCGGATCGCCAGCCGGCTGCTGAAAGAGTCTGAGGAGGGGTAAGCCTGTTTGTTTGTCAGGGCTTTTAGCAGAACATCCGTACTCAATTCCTGCAGCACCGTAAAGGTGCAAATAGAGTCCATTTCAGACTTTCTCTCTATGGCTTCAAGGTCCTCAGGAGATATTGAAGCTGCTGGGTAGTGTTGGGCTCAGGGCTGCATATGAGATTGTAGCTGCAATTTCGGAGATCAGCAGCTTTCAATTCTGACAAATCCATAAAGGCAGTTTCCTTTTTCCTCTGCCAGGCATGACAACCCGCTGTTTGATTTCATTGAAAGCTGCCTGCGGAACAAACACGAGATGGTCATTTACGAGGCTGCCTCCGCCATCATCCATCTCCCAAACTGTACAGCCAGAGAACTGGCACCGGCAGTCTCAGGTGAGCTTCAGGAAGGCGTGACCTTTGCCGAGAGCAGTTCCCCCCATCCAGATGTTTTGGACTACAACTCCCATCAGCCTAGCAGGGGCTGATGGGAGTTGTAGTCCAAAACCTTGGAAGATCGGGGGAGGCTGATATGGTAAGCATTTCCAAAGGGCAGAAATGGCTGCTGGCTACTGTGGGAGAACGAATCTCAAGTGTCTTACAGCTTGCTCTCATCTGCCTAAAGTTGGAAGGGGCTGCGGTTGTTGTTCCCTCTGTCTTAGCGCTGGCTGCTCTGGCTTGCGCTCCTGTTCAGCAGTTGCTAGGGACTGGCCATAGGCGGTTCTCAACCTGTGGGTCCCCAGATGTTGTTGGTCTACAACTCCCATCATCCCTGAGCTCTGGCCTTGCTAGCTAGGGGTGATGGGAGTTGTAGTTCAACAACATCTAGGGACCCACAGGTTGAGAAAGGCTGCCCTAGGACCTGGGCGCACAGAGGGATAAAAGTTCCTGGGATTGTGCCCTCACACGTGAATTCCTTTTCGTTTCAGTGCTCCAGCTCTTCTGTAGTTCTCCCAAGCCTGTCCTGAGATACGCCGCAGTCAGGACCCTCAATAAGGTAAGCATTTCCACCTTGCACATCCTAGAGGTCCTTATCCGAAACAGTGGCTTGTCAGACTTCTCCAGTGGGATTTTACTGTTTCCCTCCCCCTCCCCACAAGGTGAAAAGGGGGCTCCTGTTGAGGCAGTGTGCCTGTTGCTGATCTTTGTGGGGTGGGCAGCAAATTCTAGACCCAGTAACCTCTAGGACAGGTCCTGGGTAACTACCATATTTTTCACTCTATAGGACGCACTTTTCCCCCTCCAAAAATTAAGGGGAAATGTGTGTTCGTCCTATGGAGCAAATGCAGGCTCCTTGGCTTCAGCGATAGCAACACGAAGCCTCCGAAGCACAGAGGGAGCGCTCCCTCCGCGCTCCGGAGGCTTTGCGTTGCTTTTGCTGAAGCCTGGAGAGCAAGAGGCGTCGGTGTGCACCAACCCCTTTCACTCTCCAGGCTTCAGGGATAGCCGCCTGAAGCCTTCGGAGCGCAGCGCGAGTTCCCGCTTTGTTCTGGAGGCTTCAGGTTCCTTTCGCTGAAGCCAGGAGACTCTTGCTCTCCTGGCTTCAGCAAAAGGAACCCGAAGCCTGCGGTGCGCAGCGGGAACTTGCGCTGCGCTCTGAAGGCTTCAGGGATAGCCACGCGCAGCGCCTCCAGCAGGGAGAGGCTGCACGCAGCCTGTATGCTGCTCTTTGGGGCTGGGGGGGAAATAATATTTTTTTTATTGATTTCCCCCTCTAAAAACTAGGTGCGCCCTATGGTCGGGTGCGCCTTATGGAGCGAAAAATACGGTATGCTGCTTATGCAAGCCAAAATACTATGTAAAATCTAGCAGTTTCAAAAGAGAACACAGGTGCAATTCTTGAGAATCAAGAGAAGCTGGTCTCAGCAGCGGGTATCTCACCTTCCTATTCACTGGACCCCTGAACCACTGCCGTACGATTCTTCCGTCCTGTAAGTTGTTCTGGGTTGCCAACGTCCGACTGCCCTTCCAGGTAGCGATGAAGCACCCGTCAGCAGTAACCGCCTGCAATTTGGACCTGGAAAACCTGATCACGGATTCGAACCGCAGCATTGCCACCCTGGCCATCACCACCCTCCTGAAGACAGGGAGCGAGAGCAGCGTGGACAGGCTCATGAAGCAGATCTCGTCCTTCGTGTCCGAGATCTCAGACGAGTTTAAGGTGAGGTGATTTCCCGTCTGCCCTTTGGCCTGCAGAGTTCTTAGGCGGAAGGAGTTCCTAGCTGGCAGGGCGACCTTCGTCTTCTTGGGGTTGGGCAGCGGTCTTGGGCTAGGTGAGGACAGGAATCAAAGCTTTTCAGAATCTACAATAAGAGAACACTTGTAGTTTGTGAGCGTAGCCAACATTCAGCATTAAACAAAACCAAGGATCGTTTGGGAACCAGAATACAGTGGAACCTCGGAAGCCCAATGCCTGTAAAGTTGAACGTTTTGGCTCCCAAACGATTGAAAACCGGAAGTGATTGTTCTGGTTTTCGAATGATTTTTGGAAACTGTATGTCTTCTGCTGCTTCTGATTGGCTGTAGGACGCTCCTGCAGCCAATCGGAAGCCGCTCCTTGGAAGTTGAACATTTTGGAAGTCAAATGGACTTCCGGAACGGATTCCGTTTGACTTCCAAGGTACAACTGTATTGTTTTTGTTTTATGAAATCATTTATTTCCTGCCATTCAGCCCTCGCAAGGCCAAAGTGGGGCAAAGTGGAATCAAGGCTGTCCATGGCCTGTAGAGATCTTTGCTGGAATGCAGGTACTGATGCCCTTTTCTCAAACCTTGTGCTGCTCTTGCCTTAACAGGTGGTGGTGGTCCAAGCCATCAGTGCCCTGTGCCAGAAGTACCCGCGGAAACACAGCGTCATGATGACCTTCCTCTCCAACATGCTCCGGGATGATGTAGGTTGTGTTGCCTTCCTTGTGTGGGGCAACTGGCAAACCATATCAACGTAACGCTCATATTTTGGTGAAATACAGTTAGTATATCCAGTAGCAATTTTCATGCAAGCTAAACGTTTGCTCTTGATGTGAAGTTGCCACAGTGTGATGTTGATCCAGCATTTCTTTAACATGTATCTTTTCCCAAAGAGGTCAGGTAGCTCACATCCTTGAGACCCCCTGCTTTTGGTATAAGCCTAGGACGGGATGGTTGTGGTGGAGATTAATAAGTAGGGCTTGTGGCCAGAGCAAACATACTAGCCTTTGAACAATCTGAAAATCAAGGATGTTCGTTTTAGTCCCTGTAAAGTTTCGTTTTTCCTGGTTATCTGTTACACTAGATTATCTGCTGCACAAGAACAAAGGAATTTAGATACTGTTTCACCACTGACAGCTAAAAGTCCATGAAGCCTCCCTCCCTCTCTCTCTCTCTCTCGCACGCTCTGTGTGTGTGAATCATTGTTGTTAGCACAGCGGAAACTCAGCATTCAGAGCCTGCAAGTAGCTGGCAAAGAAAAATATTCTGTGCTAGTAAACCTCAGATCTTTGCCTTTGGGAGCATGTTCAATGCAGAAATGATGGGTAAACGTTGCATTGTGGCATTTTTACTTGTGATAAATATGATGGTGGGAACTGGGCTTTCAGAGGCCGTTCCAGACCATCCCTCTTCCTAGTCCCTTCCTGTGGCACTTGTGGCTGGTCACAGTTGGCTCACATACCAGTTTTCCCTGTTCCCGCTTTGGGACTCGTTTCTACGACTTAGAATCGGCCAAACAACACTTGACAGATTTTGGTCACCTCATTGGTTTGGCACATGGACAAAAAATGAAGTTTTTTTTTTAAAAAAAACACACAACAACAATGAATTTAGTTTTGCCTCCTTACTTCTCATTTGTTTTTGTCATTCTTTTTTCTATCTGTTAGGGCAAGAATTTCTCTGCTCTTTTTGTTTGATTCTTGCCCCCATGTTTCCATTTTTTTAAAAACCCCATTGTGAACAGCAAGTTGCTCTTGCCCTTGCAGATGTGGGAAATCCCGAAGAGGCTGTCCGTAAAGTGTGTTCCTCAGTTGATTAAGTGCATTTGGGAATAGGATCTAAGCAGGATGGACGGATGTCTGGGCTAGGCTGGTCTTCCAAGCCCCCTATGACTCGTGCATTTGGGAATTGGATCTAAGCAGGATGGACGGATGTCTGGGCTAGGCTGGTCTTCCAAGCCCCCTTTGACTCATGCATTTGGGAATAGGATCTAAGCAGGGTGGATGGATGTCTGAGCTAGGCTGGTCTTCCAAGCCCCCTTTGACTCATGCATTTGGGAATAGGATCTAAGCAGGATGGACGGATGTCTGAGCTAGGCTGGTCTTCCAAGCCCCCTTTGACTCATGCATTTGGGAATAGGATCTAAGCAGGATGGACGGATGTCTGGGCTAGGCTGGTCTTCCAAGCCCCCTATGACTCGTGCATTTGGGAATTGGATCTAAGCAGGATGGACGGATGTCTGGGCTAGGCTGGTCTTCCAAGCCCCCTATGACTCGTGCATTTGGGAATTGGATCTAAGCAGGATGGACGGATGTCTGGGCTAGGCTGGTCTTCCAAGCCCCCTATGACTCGTGCATTTGGGAATTGGATCTAAGCAGGATGGACGGATGTCTGGGCTAGGCTGGTCTTCCAAGCCCCCTTTGACTCATGCATTTGGGAATAGGATCTAAGCAGGATGGACGGATGTCTGAGCTAGGCTGGTCTTCCAAGCCCCCTTTGACTCATGCATTTGGGAATAGGATCTAAGCAGGGTGGATGGATGTCTGGGCTAGGCTGGTCTTCCAAGCCCCCTATGACTCGTGCATTTGGGAATTGGATCTAAGCAGGATGGACCGATGTCTGGGCTAGGCTGGTCTTCCAAGCCCCCTTTGACTCATGCATTTGGGAATAGGATCTAAGCAGGATGGACGGATGTCTGGGCTAGGCTGGTCTTCCAAGCCCCCTTTGACTCATGCATTTGGGAATAGGATCTAAGCAGGATGGACGGATGTCTGAGCTAGGCTGGTCTTCCAAGCCCCCTTTGACTCATGCATTTGGGAATAGGATCTAAGCAGGGTGGATGGATGTCTGGGCTAGGCTGGTCTTCTAAGCCCCCTTTGACTCGTGCATTTGGGAATAGGATCTAAGCAGGATGGACGGATGTCTGGGCTAGGCTGGTTTTCCAAGCCCCCTTTGACTCGTGCATTTGGGAATAGGATCTAAGCAGGATGGACGGATGTCTGGGCTAGGCTGGTCTTCCAAGCCCCCTTTGACTCATGCATTTGGGAATAGGATCTAAGCAGGATGGACGGATGTCTGAGCTAGGCTGGTCTTCCAAGCCCCCTTTGACTCATGCATTTGGGAATAGGATCTAAGCAGGGTGGATGGATGTCTGGGCTAGGCTGGTCTTCCAAGCCCCCTTTGACTCGTGCATTTGGGAATAGGATCTAAGCAGGATGGACGGATGTCTGGGCTAGGCTGGTTTTCCAAGCCCCCTTTGACTCGTGCATTTGGGAATAGGATCTAAGCAGGATGGACGGATGTCTGGGCTAGGCTGGTTTTCCAAGCCCCCTTTGACTCGTGCATTTGGGAATAGGATCTAAGCAGGATGGACGGATGTCTGGGCTAGGCTGGTTTTCCAAGCCCCCTTTGACTCGTGCATTTGGGAATAGGATCTAAGCAGGATGGACGGATGTCTGGGCTAGGCTGGTCTTCCAAGCCCCCTTTGACTCATGCATTTGGGAATAGGGTCTAAGCAGGATGGACGGATGTCTGAGCTAGGCTGGTCTTCCAAGCCCCCTTTGACTCATGCATTTGGGAATAGGATCTAAGCAGGGTGGATGGATGTCTGAGCTAGGCTGGTCTTCCAAGCCCCCTTTGACTCATGCATTTGGGAATAGGATCTAAGCAGGATGGATGGATGTCTGAGCTAGGCTGGTCTTCCAAGCCCCCTTTGACTCATGCATTTGGGAATAGGATCTAAGCAGGGTGGATGGATGTCTGAGCTAGGCTGGTCTTCCAAGCCCCCTTTGACTCATGCATTTGGGAATAGGATCTAAGCAGGGTGGATGGATGTCTGAGCTAGGCTGGTCTTCCAAGCCCCCATTGACTTGTGCATTTGGGAATAGGATCTAAGCAGGGTGGATGGATGTCTGAGCTAGGCTGGTCTTCCAAGCCCCCTTTGACTCATGCATTTGGGAATAGGATCTAAGCAGGATGGTTGGATGTCTGAGCTAGGCTGGTCTTCCAAGCCCCCTTTGACTCATGCATTTGGGAATAGGATCTAAGCAGGATGGACGGATGTCTGAGCTAGGCTGGTCTTCCAAGCCCCCTTTGACTCATGCATTTGGGAATAGGATCTAAGCAGGATGGACGGATGTCTGAGCTAGGCTGGTTTTCCAAGCCCCCATTGACTTGTGCATTTGGGAATAGGATCTAAGCAGGGTGGATGGATGTCTGAGCTAGGCTGGTCTTCCAAGCCCCCTTTGACTCGTGCATTTGGGAATAGGATCTAAGCAGGATGGACGGATGTCTGGGCTAGGCTGGTCTTCCAAGCCCCCTTTGACTCATGCATTTGGGAATAGGATCTAAGCAGGGTGGATGGATGTCTGAGCTAGGCTGGTCTTCCAAGCCCCCTTTGACTCATGCATTTGGGAATAGGATCTAAGCAGGGTGGACGGATGTCTGAGCTAGGCTAGTTTTCCAAGCCCCCTTTGACTCGTGCCTTTCTGCCCCCTCCGCAGGGTGGCTTTGAGTACAAGCGAGCCATTGTCGACTGCATCATCAGCATCATCGAGGAAAACCCAGAGAGCAAGGAATCCGGCTTGGCCCACCTCTGCGAGTTCATTGAAGACTGCGAGCACACGGTGCTGGCCACCAAGATCCTCCACCTGCTGGGCAAGGAAGGGCCCAGGACCCCCTCCCCTTCCAAGTACATCCGATTCATTTTCAACAGGGTGGTGCTGGAAAACGAAGCTGTGAGGGCCGGTGAGTTGGCAGGCTCCAGACCTGTCTTTGCTACGTAGCCAAGAAGGGGAAGGGAGCAGGTCTTCCCGGGGGAGGCTGCCGTGAATGGGGCCTTTGGGTCCGTCTGGCTTCATCCCAGAGTTGAATACGTGCCCCAGATCCTTTAGCTTAGCAAGACTGTTTGTAGGAGGCCCAAATACTGCTGTGTAAAGATAAGCTTGGCTTTTTGTTGGGAAGGCTAAGGGAGCAAGATGCCAAGCTTCAGTCGTGAATCTTAAAGGTGAGTAGTTGTTGCTGTCGTTTATTAGATTTATATACAGTGGTACCTCGGGATGCGAACTGGATCTGTTCCAGAGCCCTGTTAGCATCCCGAACACAATGTAAGACGTGTCTGCATGTGTGTGGGTTGCATTCCGCCGCTTCCGCACATGTGCGTGACATCATTTTGACCGTCTGCGCATGCGTGAGCAGTGAAACCCAGAAGTAATGCACTCCGTTACTTCCCGGTTGCCGCAGAGCGCAACCCAAAAGCACTCAACCTGAAGCGTATTTATCCCGAGGTATGACGCGGGTGGCGCTGTGGGTTAAACCACAGAGCCTAGGCCTTGCCGATCATTAGGTCAGCGGTTCAAATCCCCACGACGGGGTGAGCGCCCGTTGCTCGGTCCCTGCTCCTGCCAACCTAGCAGTTTGAAAGCATGTCAAAGTGCAAGTAGATAAATAGATACCGCTCCAGCGGGAAGGTAAACGGCGTTTCCGTGCGCTGCTCTGGTTCGCCAGAAGCGGCTTAGTCCTGCTGGCCACATGACCCGGAAGCTGTACACCGGCTCCCTCGGCCAATAAAGCGAGATGAGCGCCGCAACCCCAGAGTCGGCCCCTGATGGTCAGGGGTCCCTTTACCTTCACCTTTATGACTGTACCACCCTTCATCAAATGATCTCAGGGCGGTTCACAAGATAAAAACACAATAAATATTTAATACCAAAGCAACAAAACAAAACCTGGCGCCTAAAGATATGTAATGAAAGTGGCAGGCGAGCAGTCCTCGGGAGAGCATCCCGCAAACAGGAGCCACTGCAGAAAAGGCCCTGTTCTCGTGTTGCCACCCCCCGGACCTCTCAAGGAAGAGGCACATGAAGAAGGGCCTCAGATGATGAACACAGAGTCCAGGTTGGTTTATATGAGGAAAGGCGGTCCTCGGGGTATTAAGTGTGCAAGCATATGGGGAGAGACCTAAAGCAACCACAGGATAATAACATACTGATCCAGGTAAGCATCAGCAAGAATTTGAGGAAGACAAAATCAGCTTCTGAAGTACCAGTTGCTGGAAACCACAGGAGGGGAGAATGCTCTTGTCCTCAAATCCTGCTTGCAGGTTTCCCCCAGGCATGTGGTTGGCCACTGTGAGAACAGGATGCTGGACTAGACGGGCCGTTGGCCTCATCCAGCAGCCAGGCTGTTCTTAAGTTCCTATGCAGATTCCCAGTGCAGAGGCAATCTACCTGGATTACTGGGTTCTTAGGGGTATTCAGCCACTGTGAGAAGAGGATGCGGGACTCGATGGGCCATTGGCCTGATCCGGCATAATAATAATAATAATTAATAATAATAATAATTTTTATTTATACCCCGCCCTCCCCAGCCAAGACCGGGCTCAGGGTGGCTAACAAGCAATAATAAAAACAAGTTGAATGAATACAACTTAAAAACAAGATTAAAATACAACATTAAGATATTGAAACAGTAAAATATTAAAATGTTAAAATGCAGCCTCATCACAGGAGGAGAAAGGAAAAAGAAAGGGGGAGGGAATCAGATTGGCTCCAAGCCAAAGGCCAGGCGGAACAACTCTGTCTTACAGGCCCTGTGGAAAGAAATCAGATCCCGCAGGGCCCTGGTCTCATGAGACAGAGCGTTCCACCAGGCCAGAGCCAGTGTTGAAAAGGCCCTGGCTCTGGTTGAGGCTAATCTAACTTCCTTAGGGCTCAGGACCACTAGGGTGTTGCTATTTATGGATCCTAAGATCCTCCGTGGGGCATACCGGGAGAGGCAGTCCCATAGGTACGTAGGCATGCTCTTCTTATGTTCTTATACAAGTGAGAGAAGTCTTGGAGACAATCTGGTCCAAGCTTGCTTTAAATAGACAGGAATAGTGGGTGCTGCCTTATACCAAGTCCATCTAGCTCCATATTGTCTGCAGTGACTGGCAGTGGCTTTCCAGTATTTTAGATGAGAGTCTCTCCCAGCCCTATCTCCATGTGCCAAGGATTGAGCCTGCTACCTTCTGCAGGAAAAGCAGATGCCCTCCTTCAGAGCTACGACCCTTCCCCACTTTATAATAAGAATAATTATTTATACCCTGCCCATCTGGCTGGGTTTCCCCAGCCACTCTGGGCGGCTTCCAACAAAGTAACAAAATACAGTGGTCTGTTAAACATTAAAAGCTTCCCTAAACAGGGCTGCCTTCAGATGTCTTCTAAAAGTCTGGTAGTTGTTGTTCTCTTTGACATCTGGTGGGAGGGCGTTCCACAGGGCGGGTGCCACCATCAAGAAGGCCCTCTGCCTGGTTCCCTGTAACTTGGCTTCTTGCAGTGAAGGAACCGCCAGAAGGCCCTCAGAGCTGGACCTCAGTGTCCGGGCAGAACGATGGGGGTGGAGACGCTCCTTCAGGTCTACTGTGCCGAGGCCGGTTAGGACTTTCAAGGTCAGCACCAACACTTTGAATTGTGCTCAGAAATGTACTGGCAGTCAGTGTAGGTCTTTCAAGACCGGTGTTATGTGGTCTTTGTGGCCGCTCCCAGTCACCAGTCTAGCTGCCACATTCTGGATTAGTTGTAGTTTCCAGGTCATCTTCAAAGGTAGCCCCACATAGTGCGCATTGCAGTAATCCAAGCGAGCGATAACTTCCCTTTATCTACAGACTCCCTTTATCTACAGACTCTGTTTTCTTCTGCAGCTGCCGTCAGTGCATTGGCAAAGTTTGGGGCCCAGAATGAGAACCTCCTTCCCAGTGTCTTGGTGCTCTTGCAGAGGTGAGTTCAAAGCCAGGGAAGAGACTTTCAAAGCAGGTTCTTTCCTGTCCCTTGAGCATTGGGCTCCGTTGTGGCATCTTGGAAACAGCCATATAAGGGTCTGTTTGCCCTCTTTGGCATCCGTCAGGGCTGAGCTGAACGGCAGTAGAAAGCAGGCATCTTAATTCACCTTTAATTCACTTAAGATATATTTTTTAAAAAAATCAGCTTCCATAAAGATAAATATAGCGTTGCCGTAATATTGCAAAACTATATCCAACTCTAGTTGGAAATTCGAAAAGCTGGTAAGAAAAGGGAGGAGAAAACTCTTCCATGTATAGATGTAGAAAAAGGGGGTGGGATTCTTGCTGGACGTTTAGTAGGCTTGGCTGTGAAGCCCCACCCCATCAGTGTTTTAGCCACACCCACTTATCAAGCCACTCCCCCAGCCTTCATCATGCCCTTTCTTCAAAACGACAAGGTAGAAAAAGGGAGTTGAGCTCTCTGGCGAACCAGAGCAGCACAAGGAAACGCCGTTTACCTTTCCGCCAGAGCAGTACCTATTTATCTACTTGCACTTAGTGCTTTTGAACTGCTAGGTTGGCAGGAGCTGGGGCTGAGCAATGGGGGCTCACCCTGTCGCAGGGATTTGAACCACCAACCTTCTGATCGGCAAGGTCTGGCTCTGTGGTTTAACCCACAGCGCCGCCCGCATCCCTTTAAGTTTGGTAATAAGTTGCAATTCAGCAACTTCTCTTCCCAGTCTATATCTGAAATTCTTTTGTAATAAGACAGCTGCTTTGAAATCTTGTATAGAATGTCCTGGGAGATTGAATTGTTCTCCTACTGGTTTCTCTGTCTTGTGATTCCTGATGTCTGGCAGCGGCCATCCCCCCTTCACCAGCCTTCAAGAGCTTTCTCTCCTCCTTTGCCATGCAGGTGCATGATGGACAGCGACGACGAGGTCCGCGACCGAGCAACCTTCTACCTGAACGTGCTGCAGCAGAGGCAGCTGGCTCTGAACGCTGCATACATCTTTAACGGTTGGTGCCGGTTGGGAAGGGCGGATCTGCACCTGCGAGTCCTGAAAGAATGGGATGGGGGGAACAGGGGCCGTTGGTTAAGAACTGGAGACCTTTGCAGGATATCCAGGGAATTGCCACACCTCTAGGGACTGCTCTGGACAATGGCTAAAGCTCTGGTGTTGGGTATGTCTATTGGCCCTTCCCCACCCTTGATGCTCCTGCAAGCAAATTGGACCTCTGAGCCCCACGTGATCCTTCCTTGAACACCTTTCACCCCTCCCTCTTTGCAGGCTTGACCGTCTCCATTCCCGGCATGGAAAAGGCCCTGCACCAGTACACCCTGGAGCCCACGGAGAAGCCTTTTGACATGAGGTCCGTGCCTCTGGCCACTGCCCCCACCTTTGAGCAGAAAGCAGGTAATGGGGCAAAAACAGGCTTAAGGGGGGAGGTCTTCTGCTCCAGATGCGGAACCCCACTGCCTTTTGTTGTTGTTGTTTAGTTGTTTAGTTGTGTCCGACTCTTTGTGACCCCCTGGACCAGAGCACACCAGGCCCTCCTGTCTTCCACTGCTTCCTGCAGTTTGGTCAAACTCATGTTGGTAGCTTCGAGGACACTGTCCAACCATTTCGCCCTCTGTCGTCGCCTTCTCCTTGTGCCCTCCATCTTCCCCAACATCAGGGTCTTTTCCAGGGAGTCTTCTCTTCTCATGAGGTGGCCAAAGTCTTGGAGCCTCAGCTTCACGATCTGTCCTTCCAGTGAGCACTCAGGGCTGATTTCCTTCAGAATGGAGAGGTTTGATCTTCTTGCAGTCCGTGGGACTCTCAAGAGTCTCCTCCAGCACCAGAATTCAAAAGCATCCATTCTTCAGCAATCAGATTTCTTTATGGTCCAGCTCTCACTTCCATACATCACTACTGGGAAAACCATAGCTTAAACTATACAGTGGTACCTTGGGTTACAGACGCTTCAGGTTACAGACGCTTCAGGTTACAAACTCCGCTAACCACTGCCTTAACTGCGTTCAATGCCCACCTGGGTGCCAAGTGGCATGATGGGGACATCCAAGAACAGCATCCTTGAGAGATGCTGTGAGCTTTCCACATCTTGAGTGTTTATCTGTTGCACAGCCAAAAGTTTGGTATACGTAGATATATATTTAATCTGACCACGGTTAATCTTGCGGAATACAGTGGTACCTCGGTTCTCGAACTCAATCCATTCTGGAAGTCTGTTCAGCTTCCAAAACATTTGCAAACCGAGGCGCAGCTTCTGATTGGCTGATTGGCCCCAGAAACAATGCCAACATTCGAAACAGATGTTCGGCTTACGAAAAACACTTACTTCTGCGTTTGTTATGTTCAGGAGCTGATTTGTTCATCAACTAAGCCTTTCGGGAACCAAGGTACCACTGTAATGGTCTGTACAGGTTCCGACGATAATGTTCTGTTCTGTTAAGTACTTACGTACTGCCTTTCAAGGCCAAGCCATCCCAAAGCAGTTTATGAAAGGTAGTTTTTTGTACAAATGGAGCTTCATGCACATAGCAGAGACTCTCTGCTGCAGCTCTTCTCCAGGCAGGATGGAGGGTTGCCTAAGTAATATTAATAATAAGAATAAGAATACCTTTATTGTCATTGTACAACCTGTGTATAATGAAATTAAACGAGCCTCCCTCCCCCCATGAAGCACTCAATCTCTTACCAAACAACACACCACCTTGCAAGTCAATTTCACTGTTATTTTTCGTTCAACAGCCTAACAGCCCACGGATAGAAGCTATTTTTTAGCCTGTTGGCACGGCTGCTTTCTCCCCTCTTTATGGTCTCTGAAGTGGCAGACGGAAGCAGGAATGGGTCTGGAGGGCTCTCCACCAGAGCTGTATCCAGTCACAATGGATACATGCAATATATTTTCCATGTTCTTTTGGAGAAAGCTATCCCGTGTTAAAACACCGTGTGTTTTAAGCAATTTTAACCCGATCCCTGCCTGGAGCCTGTGGCAGGCACAGTTTGGAACTTTGTACATGCCATGGGTCTCGGGTGGATTTTTTGCATGTTGTGGCTGGAGTCGCCAAAGTGGCTCCCGGACGCCCACATGAGCCTGCAAAAGGCCTTCCCTGGTGTATAGTAAAATAAGCTGCAGTGTGTGTGATAGGTAAAGGGACCCCTGACCATTAGGTCCAGTCATGACCGACTCTAGGGTTGCGGCGCTCATCTCGCTTTACTGGCCGAGGGAGCCGGCGTACAGCTTCCAGGTCATATGGCCAGCTTGACTAAGCTGCTTCTGGTGAACCAGAGCAGCTCACGGAAATGCCATTTACCTTCCCGCTGGAGTGGTACCTATTTATCTACTTGCACTTTGACGTGCTTTCGAACTGCTAGGTTGGCAGGAGTAGGGACCGAGCAACGGGAGCTCACCCCATCACGGGGATTCGAACCGCCGACCTTCTAATCAGCAAGTCCTAGGCTCTGTGGTTTAACCCACAGCGCCACCTGCATCAGGACAATTTTTCTGGTCTGCAGTCATGCCCGCGTGCTCACGCCTCTGCATTATGGATTTGTCTTGGACACCTTGGCTGGAAATTTTAATAGCTGTTTCTCATTTCAGAGATTGCCCTGGTGGCCAACAAGTCCGAGAAAATGGCTCCGTCGCGGCAGGACATATTCCAAGGTAATAAAGGACCCCAGAGTCGCGCTCTTAAAACTTGGAGAGCTGCAGAAGGTTGTGTTTTAATTGCATTTGCCATGGCAGTTTGCAAGGGGGTGGGGGGAGAGAACATGTTGTCTCCCTGTAGGCTGAGTCTTTTTCTTCCCCTTTAGAACAACTGGCTGCCATTCCAGAGTTCAAGAATTTGGGCCCTCTCTTCAAGTCATCCGATCCAGTGCAGCTGACCGAGGCCGAGACGGAGTATTTTGTCCGCTGCATCAAGCACGTCTTCTCAAATCACGTTGTCTTCCAGGTACAAGAAGCCTCAGTGTTGTTGGCAGAGGCCACAGAGGATGTTAGGTGCAAGTTAAACCCCTTCCATTGCCACATGCCCTGGAAAGGAATTTTTAGTTCTTCTTTCTAGTCTCAACCTTCAGTAGGCCACTGTAGTAAAAGTGCTGAACTCTGATTTAGAAGACCTTCAGTCACTTCTTTGCTCAGCTTGAAGCTCTTTGTGGCAGTCATGTGCTCTCACTGTAATGTACCTCACAGGGTTTTTAGGGAGATTTTTAAAAGGATGTTACTTTTACGGAGGAAAACACGATTGGGCTTATGACGACAATGAGGATGCACTTCAGTCTGAGGTGACAAAAGATCCCTGACTCTGGAGCACCATATTTTTCGCTCTATAAGACGCACCAGACCATAAGACGCACCTAGTTTTTGGAGGAGGGAAACAAGAAAAAAAAGTATTCTGAATCTTAGAAGCCAGAACAGCAAGAGGGATCGCTGCGCAGCGAAAGCAGCAATCCCTCTTGCTGTTCTGGCTTCTGGGATAGCTGCGCAGCCTGCATTCGCTCCATAAGACGCACACACATTTCCCCTTACTTTTTAGGAGGGAAAAAGTGCGTCTTATAGAGCAAAAAATACGGTAGTTATCACAGCAGTCGGCAACCTTATCTGAGGATGGGCCGTTCGATGCTCCGTCGGTCGGAGCCCGTGCTCATGCATGCTCTTCCGGCACTACTCCGTCCCAGAAGTGCACCAGAAATAGCTTGTGCACCCCGAGACCAAGAAGAAGAGACATTGGTTGAAGATTGGAAGAAAGTTTTTTAAAAAAATTATTTTGGGAATTAGTGTAAAATTAATGAATATTAGGGAAAATGTTGGAATGAAATTATCTGGCTTTAGTAGAAATGATATAAGGAGTTATGTATAAATAAGTATTAAGTTTTAAGCTTTAAGGTATTTTATGGTAAGATAAGGTTAAAATAAATTAAGGCAAATTGAATGACAGAATATAGTGAAAGATGGAAAGGATTTGCTGAGTTAATTAATAGGTTAGACTGTTAAGATAAATTACCCAACAAAATTTGAGAAAGATGGAAAGAATTTGCTGAAACAATTAATTAAACTAGAACACCAAAAGGGAGGTGTGAGGAGATCGATGAAACAAGCAAATGAAAGATAAAGATATGGAATATTGGATGTGTGTGGGTTTTTTGTTGTTTTTTGCTGTATTGTTGTATTGGTTTTTATGTACTTTTCCCCCTTTTTATGTATTGTAATGTAATGTTAATTTTTTTGGTTTTCTTTTTTCTTTTCTTTGTAATCTTTAAATTTCTAATAAATATTTAAAAAAAACCCTCAGAAATAGCTTGTGCACATGCGCATGGGCACTTCTCCATCCCATACATGTGCAAACACGCTATTTCCGGCGCACATCTGAGCTGGAAGAGTGCCCGTGCACATGTGCACAGGCACCATCAACCCAGAAGTCGGTCCCTGTGCCGCACCAGTAAGAGCAGGGGGCGGTTAGACAAGCCCCTTGAGCCGCTACCAGCCCATGGGCCTTAGGCTGCCGACCCCTGAAGTTATCACTTCATGCCTTTTGAGGACTGTGTCCGCTGTGGAGAAGGGCGAGGGCTCTTCTGAATGCATTTTCCCAGCAGGGCTGAGGCAGAACCCCTGCCCGAAAGACTCAAAAGCAGCTGTCAGCCAGTGTATTGATTGATTTATAAAAATATTTATATACCGCTTTATCATAAAAATACACATCACAGCAGTTTATAATATAAAAACGCAGACAGTAAAATCACAAAAAGTCAAACGCAAAATGAAATTAAAAGCAAATCTCAATAGACCGTTGTGGGTGGTTGGGATGTACTTTTATAGAACCCTAGAATTGTAGAGTTGGAAGGGATCCCAAGAGCCATCTAAGTTCAGCCCCCTTCCATGCAGGAATCTTAGTTGCCTGCGCAGACCTGGCAGAACAGAAAAGTTTTCAGCAGGTGTTTTCAGTAAGTGCGGGATCTTGAAATCTTTCCGCAGGGCCTGCAAGACGGAGCTGTTCCACCAGGCCTTTGGCCAAGGCACAGTCTGACCCCCTCCTTTGGTAATCCTCATAGAGCTCTAGCCCATTGGTTGCTATTAATTTGATTCTGAATTGATTTTAGAATGAATTGATTTTAGAATGTATTTCAATTAATAGATTGTGATTTTATGTAAACTGTGTTACTTCTACTGTTGTTAGCCCGGCTTCGGCTGGAGAGGGCGGGATATACAGTGGTGCCCCGCAAGATGAACGCCTCGCAAGACGGAAAACCCGCTAGACAAAAGGGTTTTCCATTTTGGAGGCGCTTCGCAAAACGAATTTCCCTATGGGCTTCCTTCGCAAGACGAAAGCCCATAGGGAAATCTCTGGGACAGCGGGGAAGCGCAGCGCGTCTTCACTGTCCCTCGGACCCTCCTCCGAAGGCTGGTGGTGTGGCGGAGAGACCTCCTCCCGCCGCCAGCCTTTCGAAGGCTCCTCCGAAGGCTGGCGGTGGGGCGGAGAGACCTTCTCCCCGCGCCAGCCTTTGATGGCTGTCCTGAAGACTTGCGCGCGGGAGGAGGGTTTCTTCCCACCGCCACATTCAGAATGCTGTTCTGAATGTTGGCGGTGGGGAGGAAAACCCTCCTCCCACACAAGCCCCGGGAACAGAGGAGAAGCGCTGCGCGCCTTCCCTCTGTTCCCGTACCTGTCCTGAAGGCTTGCGGTGGGGAGAAAAGCCCTTCTCCGCACGCCAGCCTGGCAAGCGGTCTCCATAGGAACGCATTAATTGATTTTCAATGCATTCCTATGGGAAACCGTGCTTCGCAAGACGAATAACTCGCAAGAAGAAAAACTTGCGGAACGAATTATTTCGTCTTGCGAGGCACCACTGTAAATAAAAATTTATTACTGTTATTATTAAAACATCTGCCTTTCCCAGATGTTTTGATCCACACTTCTGACAAACCCTGTGGCCCTGCTTGCTCGGGCTAAAACATCTGCGGGCATCAGATTGGAGAAGGTTGGTTTTGCGTGAGCCCTGGAGAAAGGGCAGCAGAAGAGAAATCCAGGCCACAAGCAACTCTCAGTTTGTTTCTCCCCTCTCTCTCTAGTTCGACTGCACAAACACCCTCAACGACCAGTTACTGGAGAAGGTGACAGTGCAGATGGAGCCTTCCGACGCCTATGATGTGCTCCGCTGCATCCCTGCCCCCATCCTCTCCTACAACCAGCCAGGCATGTGCTACACCCTTGTCCGGCTGCCCCTGGACGACCCCACGGCAGGTATGCTCCTTTTTCAGTTGACCAAATCCAAACAGAAACTCTCTGGGAACAAAAGATGTCTCCCTCTGGCTATCAATTTCATGATGGATTTTTAAATGGTTCTTATTCTTTGCATGGTTTATTTTCAGTCTCTGGGTAATTTTATGAGCATGTTAATCATGTTAGAAATGTTAATCATAAACATGTTAATCAGCTTAGAAATGTTAATCATAAAGAAGGAACTTTTCATCACATGTGGTGGAAATGTAAGAAAGTAAAAAAATTCTGGGAAATGATATATAATGAGATGAAAAAGATGTTGAAATGTACATTTACTAAGAAACCAGAAGCATTTTTACTTGGCATTTTAGGGGAAGATATCAGGATTATAAATTGTTTTTATATGCAACAACAGCAGCAAGAATGTTTTTGGCACAAAAATGGAAGCAAGAAGAATTACAGGCAAAAGAAGAATGGCAAATGAAATTAATGGACTATGCAGAATTAGATAAATTAACAGGAAGGATTCGAAACCTGCGGGATCAGAGATTCTTAGAGGACTGAAGTAAATATTTGAAAAGCAACTGTGATAAACAGATTACGCTAGTAGGACTGCAAGAAGTTCTGTAAGGAGGACTTTGTGAAATATTGTAAGGAAGACTTTGAAAAGAATTATTAGTTAAGGACAATTAAAAGTAATAGAGAAATTAAGAAATGCAGAACAAGTGATAAGAACGGAAAATCTTCAGAGGTTGTTGACGGAAGTCTAAAATATTATATAAGATGAGAAGTTACGTTAAATGGCTGTTGGAATTTATATGTTAATATATATATGTGTGTGTGTGTGGTGTGTGTGTGTGTAAAAAATTGAAATGTTAATCATAGAATTGTAGAGTTGGGAGGTCCCCCGAGGGTCATCTAGTCCAACCCCCTGCAATGCAGGAATCTCAGCTAAAGCATCCAGGACAGATGGACATCCAGCTTCTGCTTGGAAACCTCCAAGGAAGGAGAGTCCACAACAGGCATAGGCAAACTCGGCCCTCCAGATGTTTTGGGACTACAACTCCCATCATCCCTAGCTAACAGGACCAGTGGTCAGGGATGATGGGAATTATAGTCTCAAAACATCTGGAGGGCCGAGTTTGCCTATGCCTCCTCCCTTGTGCCCATCTGTTTGCTTTTCAACACATGCAAGGCAAGTGGGAGATTTCTAAAGCAGAGCTTGGATGGCCTTCTTCCAGGGATTCTTCCACTGCGATTCCTGCATTGCAGTGGGTTGGACTAGATGGCCCTTGAGGGTCCCTTACAGCTCTGCAATTCTCTCATTTTATATGGCTGGTTGAAGGGATCCAGGCTCCTGCCGCCAAGTGAGCGACAAGCCCTGAATCTTGAGAGCTTTGGCTCCCTGTTTGGGTCCAGATCCATACGTTCGAGTTGCAGCCTAGCATGTGGCCACTTCCACATGGAGTTGTCGTAACGTGTAAAGCGATTTTGAGGCCGCCCTGCTGGGGATGTGCCTGGGTTTTAATTCCTCGGCTGTCATCGACATTGCCACTCGGAGGCTGGGTTGTTTTCCTTCCCGGCTTCAGGTTTTGCTCGGAGCAGCACCTCTCCCCCTTAACGTGGACTCCTTTCTCCCTCGCCCCAGTCGCCTGCACTTTTAGCTGCACTATGAAGTTCACTGTGCGAGACTGCGACCCTCACACTGGAGTGCCGGACGAGGACGGCTACGACGACGAGTACGTGGTAAGCGAGCCCAGGGCAAAGAGCTGAACAGGAGGAGGAACAGGCTCATTTCCACCCTGGAGATTTGCATAAAAATCTGTCTTTGATGCCCCCGACTGTTTTTAAAATAAGAAACACACACACACAATAGTACCGTATTTTTCGCCCCATAGGATGCACCGGCCCATAGGACGCACCTAGTTTTTTGGGGGGGAAATAAAGAAAAAAATTTTTATTTCCACCACAGGTGCTGGGCTGGAAGAACCAGGTCGAGGAACAGCGGGAAGGCGCGCTCCACCTCCCCGCTGTCCCCCGAGCTTGTGGGGCTGGCGATGGGGAGAAGTGCACTGAGCCCGGGACTGGAGGCAGCTCTGCGCAGCCATCGGGAGCCGGGCGGGACTTCGCGCGCCGCTCCCGATGGCCGCGCAGAGCTGCGCTGAGCCCGGGACTGCAGGCAGCTCTGCGCAACCCTCGGAGCCAGTCTCCCGAGGGTTGCGCAGAGCTTCCTGAAGCCTGGAGAGCGAGAGGGGTCGGTGCACACCGAAAGCCTGCATTCGCCCCATAGGACGCACACACATTTCCCCTTCATTTTTGGAGGGGAAAATGTGCGTCCTATAGGGCGAAAAATACGCCTATAGGTCTGGGCTACTTACTGTCCACATTCTGTCAGAAATGGTTGTGGGGAAAACTTATTTGATAGACTCAAATCCTCAGCTAACTTCACAGACCTAACCAGGCTACTTCCTTCGAAGTCTGAGAGTTGTGGAAACTGGCTTCCCTCCTCCCACATGACCCAACCCGAAGTTTAAGATCAGCCACTGTGAGGCCTTGCTTCAAATCATCAGCTGTACCCCCGGAACACCTTCTAATGAGATGTTCCTTTGTCTCCTTTTTTCCGTAAATAAGGAAAGACTTCTTCACCTATGGGAGATGAGCACACTTCATTGTGCTACTCATTTCCTGCTGTTCTTATCTAAGCTGGAAGAATTTTATACTGATTTTTAAGTGTATTATTGCGCACTGCTTTCACTCAGCAATGCAGAAAACTGGTGTATAAATATCATCATTATTAGTGCTTTTTTCCTTTAAAAATGTTTAGGGGTACTCTTGTTTTACCTCAAGAAAATCACCATTTTATAGTTCAAATCGGGGAAAATATAGTAAATGGACAAAAATACAAAGATTCACAAAATGTTTAGGGGTATGTGTACCCCTGTGTCTCCCCCCCCCAGAAAAAAGCACTGATGATGATGATGATGCCCTTCATCATACGATCTTAGGCGGTTTGCAAAATAAGATACAAGATAAAAACACAAATAATTAAAACAGCAGAACAATAACCCCCATTTCCCACTGGCTGTCGAATATTAATCAGCACTGTAGTTTGAGAGCACATTGGGATTTTACCTTTTCTGTCAAAATCCTGCCATTCTGGATAACCTACATCTGTGGCCATTGAACACATATGGAGGCCAGTGTCAAAGAATTCTCTTTGGACTTATCCCTGCCAGTCTTGCTCCCACCTTGGCCAGCCATCGCGTGGCTTCCTCGTTTCCAGAGGAAGCAGATTTCATGCCAGTGGTAGGAGAGGGGAGGAGGAACGCGTGGGGCAGGTGTGTAAGGAGCCCCTTCTTTGGCTACTTGGGGTTGCTGACACTAACCTTTCCCGCCCGAATGTGGCCACAGTGATCCGTGCGACGGTAACCTCCAGGCTTGACTACTGTAATTCGCTCTACGTGGGGCTGCCCTTGAAACTGTCCCACAAACTCCAGCGGGTGCAGAATGCTGCAGCGAGGCTCCTCACGGGGGTCCCTGCCATGGGAACATATTCACCCAGTGCTTTACCAGTTGCACTGGCTCCCGGTGGAGTATAGGGTCAGGTTCAAGGTGCTGGTCTTGACCTTTAAAGCCCATTGTGGCTTAGGGCCCTCATATCTACAGGACCACCTCTCCTGGTCTGCCCCGCAAAGGTCCATGAATAACCATAGTTTAGAGGTCCCGGGCCCTAAGGAAGTCAGATTATCCTCCACCAGGGCCAGGGCCTTTTCAGTGATGGCTCCGACCTGGTGGAATGCTCTATCCTATGAGACCAGGGCCCTTCAGGATTTAAACGCCTTCCGTCAGGCCTGTAAGACAGAGCTATTCCGCCTGGCCTTAATTTGAATTCAGCCTGATCTTTTATTTCCCTTCTCTTCCCTCCCCCTCCCCTTTTATGAAGATCACCCGCTCTGAGGCCCCACAGCTAATTCTCCCCTGGCCTCCTCGCTGGTCCAAGTAGGACCAATTCAGCCAGCTAGCCCTGGAGATTAATGCTTATTTCCCCTAAATTGATTTTTGAATTTTATTGTTACTCATGTTTTATACTGTATTTTATGCTGCTTTTATAATTGTTTTAAATTTGTTGTTAGCCGCCCTGATCCTGGTTTTTGAACCAGGAAGGGCAGGGTATAAAGAAAATTATTGTTGTTGTTGTTATTATTATTATTATTCGGCCTGAAGGCTGCCAGCGGATCACACCGAGGCCAAGTGCTGTATCCATCTTTGCAACAGGCCAATGGGGGTGAGCATCTTGCATCTTGAGGGCGTTTCCCCACCCTGAGGACTAACCTCCTTTTCTCTGCCAGCTGGAAGACCTGGAGCTGACTCTCTCCGACCACCTCCAGAAGGTCTTGAAGCCCAACTTTGCAGCTGCCTGGGAAGAAGTTGGGGATGACTATGAGAAAGAAGAGACCTTTGCTCTCAGCACTATCAAAACCCTGGACGGTGAGATACGGCAGCTTTTCCCCAGAGAAGACGTGAGGCCTAAGATTGCATGTTAAAACCAATTTTAGAAAAAACATTCTGAGTGTCTTCTAAACAAGACAACTTTTTAGCTTCTGCTCCAAGAACAGGGTATATGGTCCTAGTATGTAAGATTCAAGAAAATGCAAGGCTGTTCTTTTAGCTGAGAGAACAAGAAGGGTTATTCGAGATCAGGCTTCCTCAACCTTGGCCCTCCAGATGTTTTAAGACTACAGTGGTACCTCGGGTTACAGACACTTCAGATTACAGACTCCGCTAACCCAGAAGTAGTACCTTGGGTTAAGAACTTCAGGATGAGAACAGAAATCGCGCGGCGGCAGCAGCAGGAGGCACCATAAGGTAAAGTGGTACCTCAGGTTAAGAACAGTTTCAGGTTAAGAACGGACCTCCGGAACGAATTAAGTTCTTAACCCAAGGTAAAGGTAAAGGGACCCCTGACCATTAGGTCCAGTCGTGACCAACTCTGGGGTTGTGGCGCTCATCTCGCTTTCTTGGCCGAGGGAGCCGGCGTACAGCTTCTGGGTCATGTGGCCAGCATGACTAAGCCACTTCTGGCGAACCAGAGCAGCGCACGGAAACGCCGTTTACCTTCCCGCCAGAGTGGTACCTATTTATCTACTTGCACTCTGATGTGCTTTCAAAGTGCTAGGTTGGCAGGAGTAGGGACCGAGCAACGGGAGCTCACCCCATTGCAGGGATTCGAACCGCTGACCTTCTGATCGGCAAGCCCTAGGCTCTGTGATTTAACCCACAGCGCTACCCGCGTCCCATTAACCCGAGGTACCACTGTACAATTCCCATCATCCCTGACCACTGGTCCTGCTAGCTAGGGATCATGGGAGTTGTAGGCCAAAAACATCTGGAGGGCCGAGGTTGAGGAAGCCTGTTCTAGATCTCCAGTTGTCAGAAGCAACTCTGACTTCCCCACTTAACAAAATAGCTAGAGGCAAGAGGTCTAACTCAATGGCTGAGCACCTGCCTTGTATGAAAAAGATCCCTGGTTCAATCCCCCGTCTCTCCCGCTAGGGCTGGGTGAGACCCTTGTCTGAAGTCCTGGAGAGCTGCTGCCAGGGTTTCCCAAACTTGGGGTTCCAGCTGTTTTTGGACTACAACTCCCATCATCCCTAGTGAGCAGGACCAGTGGCCAGGGATGATGGGAATTGTAGTCCAAAAACAGCTGGAAACTCAAGTTTGGGTAATCCTGGTGTAGACAGTGGTGAACTGGATGGACAGTTGCCTGACTCTTGTCTAAGATGGCTTCCTAGGATCCTGGGGTGACTAGCTGCTACTTTGAAAGATCCCCTTCGGATCTGACCACACAGCCGAGACAGTGCAGGACTAACCCCAGGTCTTCTCAAAACCTCCTCTGAATGCAGAAGCTGTCAGCAACATTGTGAAGTTCCTGGGCATGCAGCCGTGCGAGAGATCCGACAAAGTGCCCGAGAACAAGAATTCGCACACGCTCTACCTGGCCGGTAAGAATCAGTTGGAGGGTGTCTGGGCAACCTGTGGCTGAAATGGTGCCACCCCAAGAGAATTAATGGCACTGGAGTTGTCCATGGAGGACCTTAAGGTCCACAAATGACAACACTTTGGAAGTCCCAAGTCGCAAGGTGGTTAGGTTGGTCTCAACTAGGGCCAGGGCCTTTTCAGTACTGGCCCCGTCGTGGTGGAACGCTCTGTCCCAAGAAACTAGGGCCCTGCAGGACTTGACATCTTTCCGCAGGGCCTGCAAGACAGAGCTGTTCCGCCTGGCCTTTGGTTTGGACTCAGTCTGACTCTTATGTTTCCCTCCCCTTACGGTCTTGATTTATCGGCTACTTTAAAATGAGGCTGCATTTTAGATTGCATTTCAACCTGAATTTTAAATTGGGGTTTTTTTCCTATTATGTTTTTACTGTAATTTTACTGTTGTTAGCCGCCCTGAGCCCAGCTCTGGCTGGGGAGGATGGGGTATAAATAAAATTTCTTCTTCTTCTTCTTCTTCTTCTTCTTCTTCTTCTTCTTCTTCTTCTTCTTCTTCTTCTTCTTCTTCTCCTCCTCCTCCTCCTCCTCCTCCTCCTCCTCCTCCTCCTCCTCCTCCTCCTCCTCTCATGAACAGCATTCATTCTCATCCAGTGATAGGCATCACTTAGCATAGAGTTAGAAGTGGCTTTAAAAGCTGCTGCTCCTCTCTGAGATCACTTCTGCCCAAATGCTTGTCTAGGCTGCTCTTTAAAGGCCTTCAGAACCAGCAGCCCAAGGGTTATATAACTAGTTAACAAAGCGCTTTTCTAATAGCTAGGCTAAGTGTTTTTGGCTGTGGATTGTGAGTCAATTGCCTTGGTTTTTGTAGGTGCAGAAGAGATCTTTAAATGCAGAAGCAGGTCTCAGAATCTGGCCGTAGTTACACAGTGCAGCATAGGAAACTGCTGTGTTCTCAGCAGCTGTCTAGAAGAAGTGTGCAACTTTTAAGAGTTGGCATCAGAATTTGCTTCTTTCCCCACACTTCCTTACTCCTTTTAAAAAAGAGAAGTCTGAGCTTATGGGCAGGGACTGTAAAGGAGATAAGGCATCTTTGGCCATCTCGATGTAACTGGATTCCCAAGCCCTGCTGGCCTGGGGCGGATGTGAGGCCAGCCATGTCTGGAAAGCAATATGTTCCCCATCCCTGCTCTGAATCGCCCTACAGCATCCCCTTCCTTCCTTGCCTGGACGATTGCAACCTGTTAGCATTTCTGCAAGAAAGGATGTGAGCAGCCCTGAGCCGGTGCGGCCGAGTGCCACCGCAGTGACTCTCCTTGTCTGCCTCCAGGTGTGTACAGAGGCGGCTCGGATGTGCTGGTGAGGTCCAGGCTCGCTCTGGGAGATGGCGTGACTATGCAGGTGACTGTCCGGAGCACAGAGGAAACTCCGGTGGACGTCATCTTGGCTTCCGTTGGTTAAGAGTCTTGGCAGCTCATTCTGTGAGTCAACTCGCCCTCTCGCCACCTCCTGCCTCCAAGGCACTCCTGGGACCTCCAGTCCTGCATGCCTCTTTCATTTTCCCTCCTCTCGGTCAGCCGTTTTCTGTGGCAACTGGGGGCCCGGCAGCCCACCCTGCCTCTTCTTCCACACAACTGGAGCTGGGCGTTCAGCCCCCTTGCCCACAAACGCCCCAGCTCCACCTCTGCATTCCTGTAATAAATTATTCTCTTTCTGTGCTGCCCGTAGAGGCAGAAAAGCTGTTAGAAGATCCTTTTTTTAAAAAAAAGAAAATCAACTTTTCTTGAATGGACTTTTATTAACAGAAAATAAACATGGGCTATCCCAACACTGATGCATCTTTTCCCAACTTGTGCTGTTTAATAAAATACATTCTGTAGTAACTGTCTGCCAAATACTGTCGTGTTTCATGTGCCCCTTTCACAGAGCAGCTTGCAAGGGATGGTAAACAGAGCAGCTTGCAAGGGCCTTTTGAGAGGTGCTTCAGATCTCAGCTTTACCAGAAAGGAGGGAGTGGCAGGACAACTAGGCTTACTCTTGTCCTGCTAACCTTTTGCCCAGTGTGCTCAGAGCAGCATATCAGCTTCACATCAACCCAGTGATGTAAGGTAAAGGTAAAGTGACCCCGATCATTAGGTCCAGTCGTGGCCGACTCTGGGGTTGCGGCGCTCATCTCGCTTTACTGGCCAAGGGAGCCGGAGTACAGCTTCCAGGTCATGTGGCCAGCATGACTAAGCCGCTTCTGGCGAATCAGAGCAGCACACGGAAACGGCGTTTACCTTCCCGCTGGAGCGGTACCTATTAATCTACTTGCACTTTGACGTGCTTTTGAGCTGCTAGGTTGGCAGGAGCAAGGACTGAGCAACAGGAGCTCACCCCGTCACGGGGATTCGAACTGCCGACCTTCTGATTGGCAAGTCCTAGGCTCTGGTTTAACCCACAGCGCCACCCGCGTCCCCAACCCTGTGATGTAGGACAGGCCAAGTGCAGATAGCCATCTGCCATGCCTTTTATCGCTTGCCAGATTTCTAGGTGGGTAAGGAAAAAGCTCCCCTCCCTTCTCGGCAGGACACTGTAGATAACTAGTTTCCCACATGGTTGGTTCTGTGCGCAGGCTGGTAAATTATATGCCTTGATAATTTCCCAGTGCTGTAGTGCAGGGGGAGCCAGCGTGGCACTCCTGGAGCAGTTGTACCTTTGGCCATCTTCCGCTGGCATCCATGAAGCCTCTGAGCCCCACACCTCTGCCCCCTTGGTCATGGGCTGCTGATTTACCTTCTCGCTTTAAAGTACACAGAGCTCAAACATGAAGTTGGAAAAGGGACATTTCTTTAGCAGCTTGTACTTTCAAGGTCAGAGCAATTCTGATTACGGGGCTCGGTTACATGCTTGAGGTTACATACGTTTCTTACAGCTCGCTAACAGAATAGTGCCACTTTGTCAGGAGAAACGAAATCGTCAGCAGCGGTCGGCAGCATGGAGGCCCCAGCTAAAGGGGTCAGGTAAGAACGACCTCCGACGATACTATTTTCGCTCTGTAAGCGCACCACAAGACCACCTATTTTGGAGGAGGAAACAGAAAAAAAATATTCTGAATCCCAGAAGCCAGAACAGCAGAGGGATTGCTGCGCAGCGAAAGCAGCGATCCCTCTTGCTGGTCTGGCTTCTGGGATAGCTGCACAGCCTGCATTCGCTCCATAAGACGCACACACATTTCCCTCTGCTTTTTAGGAGGGAAAAAGTATGTCTTATAGAGCGAAAAATACGGTAAGTTCTTAACCCGAGGTACCACTGTATTCAGAATATCTTGTCCCTTTAGTCCAGCACACATCTGTAAATTAGATCATTTCTTTCTAAAAAATACAGAAGAACCTCTGCTCACAATGGCTGCGTTGGAGGATTGCTGATAAGCGGATTGCTTTACACTCAGCACCTCCTACCTTCCGTCCTTCATATCAGGACAAGAGCCAGGCATCAGACGATCTGCGAGTGGAACATTCCCCCCAACCCAGGGGGTGGGAGTTGCAAGGACAATTACCCTCATTTGTCCTTGTTTATGGTCTGCAATTGGTCTCCGCTAGCATGGGATCTGCCTCCGTTATGGCAGAAAGCACCGGAAGTCCTGACTTGTACCCCCGGAGAACCAAAATGTGTGCAAGCATTAACTCTCTTTCAGAGAGAGGAGGTCAAGAAGTGGCCACAGGCAGTGGTGCCCATGGTCACTTGCTTTGAAATCCAAACCTGCTCCAGGGCCTGAAAAGGTTGGCAACCAGGTGAGTTTCATAGGTAAACAATGGTTTGAAGCTACACTGGACATGTCCAAGCTCAGTGCGTTACCCTCTGCCTTAAAGGCCGTATGAATGAAATCTCCCTCTTGGCCCAGGTTCAAGTTGCTAGACTTGCTCTGCAAATGAAGTTCTAGAGCTGCCTCCAGCTGTCTGGATTTCCTTTCAACTGGACCTTTTAGAGAAGGAAAATACATCTGAAGCAGAAATACCAGCTTAAAGCCATCTGGGTTTGAAAAGCTGTTTTTTTAGCTGCTGTGTTACTGCAACAACTTCGCAAATCTGTACCATGGAAGAGGATGGGAGCCTAGTGGTCACCAAATATCATTGGAAGAGTTTGGTCCGCCCCATTAGCAACAGACCAGATCCTTTATGTGCCTCTCCCTACTTAATTTCTGCCCCCTTTTCTGTAAGAGATGACAGCACTATCAAACCATGACTACTCAGAAGTGAATCCTACTGAATTCAACAGGTAAGTGAGGTTAGGATTGCAGCTTTAGTTCTTGTTTTTTTGCAACTTCAGAGCACCAAGCATTCCTTTAACAATCAGTTTTCTGCCTGGCAACTCTGCATAGCAAATAAACTTTAAGATGGATTAATTTGGGCATCTTCCTGTGCAATGTTTTTTCCCCTTAATGAACTAAAACCAGGATTCGCCGTCACCAAGTGGGCATGAGAGTCAACCAGACAAGAAATTGCACATCAAGGATACCTAAGCCGGCGCTGCAAACGTTTTATAGAAATTGCCTGCTGCCGCCACACTTTGAGCAGGCAGGCCGAAGACAAAACCCAAGCATGTCACCGCACTCCTTCCTCAGTCAGCCCACAGGCATTTAATCAGTGACTTAACCGAAAAAAGGAAAGCACATTCGTTAAACTATGGAGGTGGTGATGGTCATGAACCTAGATGGCTTTAAGAGAACTGGACAAATTCATGGAGGACAGGGTTATCGATGGCTCCTAGCCAGGATGGCGCTCCTGTACCACCTCAGTTGGACAATGATATGCTTTTAATAATAATAATAATAATAATAATTTTTTATTTATACCCCGCCCATCTGGCTGGGCTTCCCCAGCCACTCTGGGCGGCTTCCAGCAGAATATTAAAAAGAAATGATTCATCCAGTATTAAAAACTTCCCTAAACGGGGCTGCCTTCAGATGTCTTCTAAAAGTCTGGTGGTAGTTGTTCTCTTTAGGGTGCCACTACCGAGAAGGCCCTCTGCCTGGTTCCCTGTAACCTCACTTCTCGCAGGGAGGGAACTGCCAGAAGGCCCTCGGAGCTGGACCTCAGTGTCCGGGTAGAACGATGGGGGTGGAGACGCTCCTTCAGATATACTGGGCAGGGGCCGTTTAGGGCTTTAACAGTCAGCACCAACACTTTGAATTGTGCTCGGAAACGTACTGGGAGCCAATGTAGGTCTTTCAAGACCGGTGTTATATGGTCTCGGCGGCCGCTCCCAGTCACCAGTCTAGCTGCCGCATTCTGGATTAATTGCAGTTTCCGGGTCACCTTCAAAGGTAGCCCCACATAGAGCGCATTGCAGTAGTCCAAGCGGGAGATAACCAGAGCATGCACCACTCTGGCGAGACAGTCCGTGGGCAGGGAGGGTCTCATACTGCATACAAGATGGAGCTGGCAGACAGCCGCCCTGGACACAGAGTTGACCTGCGCCTCCATGGACAGCTGTGTGTCCAAAATGACTCCCAGGCTGCGCACCTGGTCCTTCAGGGGCACAGTTACCCCGTTCAGGACCAGGGAGTCCTGAATACCAGTTTGAATACCAGTTGCTGGAAATCACAGGAAGTTGCTCTCGTGCTCGGGTCCTGTTCACAGGTTTCCTACAGGTTGGCCGCTCTGAGAAGAGGATACCGGACTAGATAGGCCATTGGTCTGATCTATCGGGCCCGTACTGTGTCCTAAACATCTCCCAGTGGAGCTTAAACACTTCGAAACCCATCTCTCGCATGCCAAGGTTGAGCTTATAGAGTGAGACGAGCCCTCAGAGTCCCTCCTCCCCACTATTAACAAGAGGTCTTTTTCCATGTTGGACGTGGAAAGGATCACGGGCAGAAGACCGGAAACAACCCAGAATCCCCTATGTGACACACACACACCCTGTGGACCATGAACAAAACAGTAGAACTATCCCTCACAAGAAGCCGTAAAAGATCACACCTCAAAGAATACTGTGAACCATATGTGGCGTTTGCCCTCCTAGGTGCGTGACATACAGTGGTACCTCGGGTTAAGAACTTAATTCGTTCCGGAGGTCTGTTCTTAACCTGAAACTGTTCTTAACCTGAAGCACCACTTTAGCTAATGGGGCCTCCTGCTGCCGCCGCGCCGCCGGAGCACAATTTCTGTTCTCATCCTGAAGCAAAGTTCTTAACCCGAGGTAATATTTCTGGGTTAGCAGAGTCTGTAACCTGAAGCATATGTAACCCAAGGTACCACTGTACTGGGTTCACAAGGAAAGGGTTAACTAATTGTAAAATGACTAACCAATGGGAACCTAAGGGGCAGAGTTAACTGTGTATAAGGTTAACCTAGCAGTTTGAAAGCACGTCAAAGTGCAAGTAGATAAATAGGTACCACTCTGGCGGGAAGGTAAATGGCGTTTCCGTGTGCTGCTCTGGTTCGCCAGAAGCGGCTTAGTCATGCTGGCCACATGACCCGGAAGCTGTACGCCGGCTCCCTCGGCCAATAAAGCGAGATGAGCGCCGCAACCCCAGAGTCGTCCGCGACTGGACCTAGTGGTCAGGGGTCCCTTTACCTTTGAAGGTTTTAAGCACAGAGTTTTTTTGGGGGGGGGAGAGTTAGAATTAAGGTGGTTGAGAAGACAGTCTGGAGTTAGAAGAGACAGATAAGAGAAGTCTGTGGGTTGGGCTAGTCTGGTGTGAGAGAGGGAGAGAATTTGTTAAGAGGAGCCAGTCAAACAGTTGAGATAATCAGTCAGAAGGTATAGGCCAGTAAAGAAACTAAAGTTAAGATATTGACAGGAATATTATCTGAGAACCATCAACTTGTTAATGTTTGTAAAATAAACTGTTTTTGGTTCACTTTTAACAACTGTGTGATCACCACACCGTAGTTTAAGGGCGATGTGAACATCTCTGCGAGGGGTGAACCACAGTTCCCAGAATACTTGGGAGGAAGCCATGTGCTTTAGATTCACGGCGTGGCTGTGGCCGTGGCCACGATTCAGTCCACCCTTCCTCTCTGCTCGCCTCCCAGCAAGGAAGTAAACAAGCCGTGCAAGAAGCAAGACCTCTCCCCCCTTCCAGAACCCAGCGAACGTCCCTGCCATCTTCGAAAGAAGCAAGACACGGATGCAGAGAAATTATGCGCCTGTTTGTATGGCTCAGTCTAGCCCCTCGGAGCCATTCCTTATCTCCTTAAGCAACACAGAGGAAGGACCAGCAGCTGAGCGTACAAGGAAATCAGTTTTGTCTCTCCGTGCCAGCCACCGGTGACTAGCCCAGGAGTCTTATTGCTTCAGTCGCCAAGGGGGAAACTGGTTTCCTGCTCTTTGTACGGAGGCAGAGAGCCCACGATTTAGCCCTCTTGAACGAAAGAACGCCTCTTGAGAGCGGAGAATCGGCTCTCCCACTCTTCCTGCTCAGAAGGAGTTGATGAAGTTCAGGTAGGAGTTCAGGAAGCCGAGAGGGTCCTCCAGCTGTGGGTAGTGGCTGATGTGGTCGTCTAGCACAGAAACCGTCGACATGGGGAGCACTTGCCTGTGGGGGAAGTAGCAAGAAAGGGCACTTTAGAATACCCCACAACTGCTACAGGGAACAAAGGAAGAAAGAGGAATTAAGCTTCTCTCCTGATCCGTATAAGGCAGCTTCCTAGGATGTCACGCCGGGTTTAAAAAGTGTTTTCTTTTTTTTGACGAGTTCTCAAAAATGCATAGAACAAAGTACAAATACCAACTGGAAATGTAAAGAGAAAGAAGGTACCGTTTATCATATGTGGTGGCCATGTAAGGTACTAAAAGCTTTCTGGGAGATGATATATAATGAACTGAAAAAAATGTTTAAAATAACTTTTGTTTAAAAAAACAACAGTTTTATTAGGAATTGTATGTAACGACATTCCAAAGGAGCAGAAAAGATTTTTTATGTATGCGACAACAGCTGCACGGATGCTATTAGCCCAGAAATGTAAAGAAGAGTCCCTACCAGGAATGGCAAACCAAGGTGTTGGGTTACGCTAAAATGGCAAAGCTGACTGGGATGCTCAGGAACCAAGAGGACAAAAACTTTAGAAAAGAATGGGGAAGATTTTTCGCTCTATAGGACGCACTTTTTCCCCTTCAAAAATGAAGGGGAAATGTGTGTGCGTCCTATGGAGCAAAGATGCCATAGCCCCGCGACCCTCTCCCGGCTGGAGAGGTGACGCGCGGCTATGGCAGGAGCCTCTCTGCTGCGCCTTTCCGCTGCTCCCTGACCTGCTCTTTGGGGCTGGTGGTGGGCTTCCCCCCGCCAGCCCCAAAGAGCAGGTCGAAAGGAACCTGAAGCCTGGAGAGCGAGAGGGGTCGGTGCGCACCGACCCCTCTCGCTCTCCAGGCTTCCAAGCTAGCCGCCTGAACGCACCTTAAACGGCACCTTGTTTTAGAGCGGGAAAACAAGAGGGGGGAAATTCTCACCCTCTCTGCGCAGTGCCTCCTGCCGCTTCGCTGAAGGGTGCTGGGCAGAGAGGGGGAGATTTGTTTTTTCTTGTTCTCCCCCCTCTAAAACAAGGTGCGTCCTATTGTTCGGTGCGTCCTATGGTGCGAAAAATACGGTATGTCCTTAACAGGCAGGCAGGCATTCAACAGGGGCTGCTTTCCCCAGCAGGCAATGCAAGGGGAAGACGCACCTGTTGAACTTCTGCCTTATGCCCTGGTTGAAATGTAAAGAGGGCCTTGGAGAGAAAAGGCGGCAACCTCCAGTATGTATTTGGAAATCCTCGCTGGTGCTCAAAGGCTTCATTTTGTTTCAGACCGATAGAGAAATTGATGAAATAGCCCCAGGGCATTACATGGTACAACCGTGGCTCCCCAGAATAAGCTTACTTGTAGAGCTGAAGGAACTCTGGGTGTGGATTCACCGGGTCCAGAGGCCCATAAATCAGATGTACTGCAAGAGAGGAAGAACAGCATCTTTGTCAACTTCCAGGATACAGGCCACAAAATTACCCACCCCACCAACCCAAAAGCAGCAGAATTAATCTTGGCAATTTGTATGGCCCAAGACACAATTGCAGCCTTTGCCGTTTCCTACTCACGGGGAACAGACGTGGATTGCAGAGCTCCCACCCAGCGGTCCCTGTGCTTTCTCCGTTGGTTGATGTACTGCAAAAGGCTGAAGAACAAAATTCATCCATGGAGACAGATTCCAAGCCCTTGGCAGGAGCCTCAGGTGGCTCAGAGGCAGCCGCTGTCCGTTTGGGGGAAAGTCTGAAGCTCTCTAGCTGAGAACCTCCCCAGTTCAAGCCCCAAAAGGATCTCCACTTAGGGCTGGGGGGGGGAAATCCCTCATCGAAATCCTAAAGGTTTTGTCAGCGCTGCGAATACTGAGCTGAATAGCTTGGCTTTGTATAAAGCACTTTCCTAAGACAGAACCAGGCAGTTTTCAGCTGAGGTTCCATAAGGCTACGTCATAATTAGAGCTGGGCGATATATCGTCCAAAACCAGTTTGGAGTCCGTATCCGTGATATTGCAGATCGGGATTTTGGCATGTGCTTATTCAAAAATCGCAATGTGGGGGGAACCGTGAAGTCAGCCAAGGCTTTTCTCGATTCCTGCAATCCCTGAACTCTGCCTGCTCCGCTCTTGGGGGAGAAAATCCCAGGAGGAGGTGCCAGCAATCATCACGTTGCAGGAAAAACCATGGAACCATCCTTATGCCAGACATCGTGATATATCGGTATATCACAGTGCTTAGCTGGTGATATATTGCAATGCTGAAAACCAGGCATCGCCCAGCCCTAGTCATAATAATATCACCTTATACAAGTGAATAAAGATAATAATAATAATAATAATTTATTATTTATACCCCGCCCATCTGGCTGAGTCTCCCCAGCCACTCTGGGCGGCTTCCAATCAAGTGTTAAAAACAATACAGCATCAAATATTAAAAACTTTAATATTTTATTAAACGGGTCTTTTGCAGGGTACGAACACTCAGATTTAGGGACGCGGGTGGCGCTGTGGTCTAAACCACAGAGCCTAGGACTTGCCGATCAGAAGGTTGGCGGTTCGAATCCCTGCGACGGGCTGAGCTCCCGTTGCTCGGTCCCTGCTCCTGCCAACCTAGCAGTTCGAAAGCACGTCAAAGTGCAAGCAGATAAATAGGTACTGCAACCCGAGCATCCACTGTATAGTCCGGCCCCCCACAAGGTCTGAGGGACAGTGGACCGGCCCCCTGCGGAAAACGTTTGCTGATCCCTCGTTTAGATGATCGGCTTCCCCCGGTCTCAGGCACCCAACCTGACGTGAAGGTGCCAGATATTGAACCCTGCAAGCAAAGCATACCAAGCTAAGACCAGTGGCGTAGCATGGGGGGTGCAGGGGGGGCCGGTAGCACCAGGCGCAACATCTGGGGGTTAGGGCAAATCCACGGGTTAGGGGGCGCAAATCCACAGGTTAGGGGGCGCAAATTACTTGCCTTGCCCCGGGTGCTGACAACCCACGCTACACCACTGGCTAAGACTTCTCCCTTGAATGCAGAGCTGTGAATAGAAATCTAAGCAAGGAGCAGTGGTCTTAGAGCGTCCAGCATGCGCAGCTTTGGAGCGGGCTAAGTGGGCATCCTGGTCGACTATGCTGGGGGGCGCCCCATATTTCAGGGGTGGCGGGATTTGGGAGAACCCCTCAGCTGGCAGCAGGCTCTTCACCCGAACCTTGAGCTCAACGCTCCAGGTTAATTCAGGTGACGGTAACACTAACCCAGCAAGCTTGCTCACCCAACACAAAGCAGCGGCCCAGGCGTTGAAACAGGATAGCCCAGGTCCCAAAGCTCCTGCGAGGCCCTGAAAGGAAGATCGGAGTCGAGAGGAAGCTGAGTCTCCGCCAGGTAAACATGAGAATCCGGATGCTTTCATTGCGCCAGGAAGAATGGATCCTGTTTTCCCCAACGCAGCTAGGTAAACAGGGCTCCACGTCGATTGCAAAGGGGCAATATTGAGCCCCATCGCCGGCACTGCAAGTGTTAAATTCTTTCGGTCTCCCAAACACCTTAACAAAAAGCTCTTTGCCAACCTGGTGCCCACAGGAGATGTAGTCCAAAACCTCTGGAGGCACCAGGTTGGCAAATGGTGACCTAAGGCAGAAGTGTCAATAATAATAATAATAATAATAATAATAATAATAATAATAATAATAATATATTATTTATACCCCCCCCCATCTGGCTGGGCTTCCCCAGCCACTCTGGGCGGCTTCCAACAAAACACTAAAATACAATAACCTATTAAACATTAGCTTCCCTAACTTGGTCCTCCAACTGTTTTGGGACTACAGTTCCCATCATCCCTGACCACTGGTCCTGTTAGCTAGGGATGATGGGAGTTGTAGTCCAAAAACAGCTGGAGGGCCAAGTCTGGCAACCACAGACCAAAGCCTGCAACTTCCAAAGTCAACTTGCTGGGACTTAACTTCTGGGTAGGAGTGAGCTGTTAGCTGCAAAGGAAGAGCTTTTCCCCCCAAAACCTACAAGCGATATACCGATATATCATGATTGTCTGGCATAAGGATAGCTCTACAGAACGTGCTGCCTTATAAAGCAGGAATATCTAACGACAGAGCAGCATAAATGCCTCATCTCTGCAGGCGACGGGTGGTTTTGAAATGCTCTCGAAATCTATCCCCTTCATGTGGATCCAACAGTCAAGAAGGCGAATATTTGCACAATCAAGCTTTACTTTTACATCTCCCATCTTTTCACACCCCTTTGCCTGCTCTCTCTCTTAATGTAAGGTAAAGGTAAAGGGACCCCTGACCATTAGGTCCAGTCGTGGCCGACTCTGGGGTTGTGGCGCTCATCTCGCTTTTTGGCCGAGGGAGCCGGTGTACAGCTTCCGGGTCATGTGGCCAGCATGACTAAGCCGCTTCTGGCGAACCAGAGCAGCACACGGAAAGGCTGTTTACCTTCCCGCCGGAGCGGTACCTATTTATCTACTTGCACTTTGACATGGCTTTCGAACTGCTAGGTTGGCAGGAGCAGGGACCGAGCAACGGGAGCTCACCCCATCACGGGGATTCAAACCGCCGACCTTCTGATCGGCAAGTCCTAGGCTCTGTGGTTTAACCCACAGCGCCACCCGCATCCCTAAATAAAAAATAAACTGGACCTATTTCAGAGACCGCAGCTGATTCATCGACTAGAATGTCCACTCCTCACTTACAGCTTGCCTGGTTCCACAGTAGACCCCAAAAGCAACCCTGTGTCCACTATCGTTCTGTTTTTTCCCCCGTGGTGGCCTTACCTGTCAATCACAAGGTTGCCGTCGTTTGTTCGGACTGCTGTCCACATGTCCCAGTATTCAGCGTCTGAAGGCTGGGTATATGGGCCGAAGACAGCCGCAAGTCTGGAAGATTCAAAAGAAGAAAGGGGTGGACTATTAAGGAAGAGAATCAAATTTAGATTGTACTAAACATCCTCCAGAACGCGGGTGGCGCTGTGGGTTAAACCACAGAGCCTAGGACTTGCTGATCAGAAGGTCGCGGTTCGAATCCCCGCGACAGGGTGAGCTCCCGTTGCTCAGTCCCTGCTCCTGCCAACCTAGCAGTTCGAAAGCGCGTCAAAGTGCAAGTAGATAAATTGGTACCGCTCCGGCGGGAAGTTAAACGCCGTTTCCGTGCGCTGCTCTGGTTCTCCAGAACTTAGTCATGCTGGCCACATGACCCGGAAGCTGTACGCCGGCTCCATCGGCCAATAAAGCGAGATGAGCACCGCAACCCCAGAGTCGGCCACGACTGGACCTAATGGTCAGGGGTCCCTTTACCTTTAAACACCCTCCAGAAGGGGTTTCCAAAACCGTACAGCATCCTTTGAGCAACAAGTACGTTGTTCTCTTTCCCTCTTCCCAGAGAGGGAAGGAATAATGGCATTTGAGACCTCCTACTCTCAAAAGGGGAAGAATTCAAGGATTCAGAATACCAACTCACCCTCTGGCAAAGAAGAAGTAATTTGATAACCGGGTGATAATGGGTGAAAGCAGGCCGCCATCTTTGAGAATCTTTGAAGGAAAAGGAAAAATTAATCACTGTTTATTTGGTTTAGGACTACAAATCCAACACCCCCAGAAAGCACAGCTTCACTGGCTGCAAGCAAAGGTGCTTACCGTTTGGATTAATCTGGGGTGGTGAGTTTCTGGGAAAATACCTGCAGGAAACAGGAGGGAAGTGTTGCTCTCGCACTCGAATCAAATTCTTGCTCTATTTTCAATGTATATTCTACCTGTAATAGCCTAATTTCCTTTTTTTAATTTTTTCATTATTTGGTTGTTGAATCAATTCCTTTTCCTTTTTCTTTATTTCATCCAACAGTCCCATTTTCTCCTTATCACTCTCTTTTCTTCGTAAGGCATTTTGTTTTATAAAGTTTCCCCCTGGCATCTGGTTGGAGGCTGGACCAGATGGGCCATTGGGCCTGATCCAGCAACCTCTTCTTATGCACAAATTCTTTATGCCATGAAAGCAACTTTTACCCACAAACCTACTGCTGGTCACATTTAGGATCTCAGCACAAACTCAAGCCCAAGGCTTCAAGTGGTACCTTGGTTCTCAAACTTAATCCGTTCCGGAAGTCCGTTCCAAAACCAAAGCGTTCCAAAACCAAGGCGCGCTTCCCCATAGAAAGTAATGCAAAACGGATTAATCCGTTCCAAACTTTTAAAAACAAACCCCCTTAAAACAGCAATTTAACATGGACTTTACTATCTAACGAGACCACGGATCCATAAAATGAAAGCAATAAACTATGTACTGCAGTCACACAATAAATCCGTCAGGAGCTGAACTGGGTTCCACACAATCACAAAAAACAAACAAAAAGAGCCACAAAAATGCAAAATAAATAGCAAATACAGACAGACCTCAGCGTAACACTCAAAACGGAGCACGTTCAGCTTCCGAAAACAGTTCGCAAACTGGAACGCTTACCGTATTTTTTGCTCCATAAGACACACTTTTTTCTTCCTAAAAAGTAAGGGGAAATGTCTGTGCGTCTTATGGAGCGAATGTGTGGTCCCTGGAGCCGAATTGCCCAGAAGCGAAAAACAGATCATGCTTCTTTTTTTTTAAAGAGGGAAGTGGGTGTTGAAACGAAGCTGCTGATCGTTTGCCGATCGAGAGCAAGATAAGGGACGCTAGAGATAAAGGAGGCTGCCTGGAAAGGGGGAGGTAAAAGCTCATAGATCCTCAGGATTTTTGCACTGGGTCACCCCAAATTCACCATCAGATCACATAGCATGTCCATGGCTACAGCCTGCACCAAAAAAATCATGCACCCACTGTTGCGTGGGGCCGCAATGGCGCAAAAACGTGGTTACAAAGCACGTATCCACATGGATTCTCAGGATTTTTGCATTGGGTCACCCCAAATTCACCATCAGATCACATGTCTGTGGCCACAGCATGAACCACAAAAATCATACATCCACTGTTTCATTCAAAATACTTTTTCCCCTTGTTTTCCTCCTCTAAAAACTAGGTGTGTCTTATGGTCAGGTGCTTCTTATGGAGCGAAAAATACGGTACTTCTGGGTTTGCAGTGTTTGGGTTCTAAATTGTTTGGGTACCAAGGCGTTTGAGAACCAGGGTACTGTAATCACAATAAGAATATGGAGGACGTTCTTTGCCATAAAAGCCTTACCTCCATTCGACAGGCACAGGCTGTTGATGAGGACACTTCCCGTCGTATTGTGCTCATACCTGAGGACAAAGAATAGGCTAAGGCAGAGCAGAGTCAGGGCAGAGCCACACCTTCTTGTGGCAGTGTGGTGCAATGGTTAGAGCGGTGGACTAGGGCCCGGGGTTCAAACCTCTGCTCACTGGGTGGCCTTGGGCCAGTCACCACCTCTCAGCCTAACCGACCTCACCGGGTTGTTGTGAGATTTGACAGGGCAAGGGGCGAACCACATACACCACCTCGAACTGCCTGGAGAAAAAGGTGGACTGGAATGCAATAAGTGACAAGACACTCTCAGGCAAGCCCTCAAAGGTATTATTTCACAGATGCCTCTGTAGGAACAGCTGTATAATAATAAATAATAGTGTTCTCGAAGCTACCAGCATGGGTTTGACCAAACTGCGGGAGGCAGTGGAAGACAGGAGGGCCTGGCGTGCTCTGGTCCAGGGGTCACAAAGAGTCGGACACAACTAAACGACTAAACAACAACAGCAACCGCCAGAAGGCCCTCGGTGCTGGACCTCAGTGTCCGGTCAGAATGATGGGGGTGGAGACGCTCCTTCAGGTTTACAGGACCGAGGCCGTTTAGGGCTTTCAAGGTCAGCACCAACACTTTGAATTGTGCTCAGAAACGGACTGGGAGCCAATGCAGGTCTTTCAGGACCGGTGTTATGTGGTCCCGGCGGCCGCTCCCAGTCACCAGTCTAGCTGCCGCATTCTGGATTAGTTGCAGTTTCTGGGTCACCTTCAAAGGTAGCCCCACGTAGAGCGCATTGCAGTAGTCCAAGCGAGAGATAACCAGAGCATGCACCACTCTGGCGAGACAGTCTGCGGGCAGGGAGGGTCTCATCCTGCGTACCAGATGGAGCTGGCAGACAGCTGCCCTGGACACAGAATGGACCTGTGCCTCCATGGACAGCTGTGAGTCCAAAATGACTCCCAGGCTGCGCAACTGGTCCTTCAGGGGCACAGTTGCCCCATTCAGGACCAGGGAGTCCTCCACACCCGCCCGCCTCCTTTCCCCACAAAACAGTACTTCTGTCTTGTCAGGATTCAACCTCAAAAGTGGGCTGTAAATAGTGGGCTGACCTCTGCATCTGGGTGCCAACATCGCCATCCCAAACCACAAGCCGCCTGTTTGCAAACAGCTACATCAGACGGGTACAGGGAAGGCTGCTAAAACTGGGTGGGTGACATGTTCTAATGCTAATAATGTGAATGCTTATTTAAATCCTGCCATCAAGTCCACTGACTTTCTTTGCTTCTGCAAATATAACATGCTTTAGATTTCTGCAAATCTGCTTTAAATGTTTAGAAGATAGTGAAATAGGATGGCGTAATTACTGTTACTTTTATGTTATTAGGCTTGATGTTATGTTATTAGTCACTTTTTCTGTTGAGAGATAGCAAAGCGGGTGAAAACAGAAAAACCAGAAGGGGAATTTGGGGGAAGCCCTGGAGGGTAGGGAGGGAGGAAATGTTAAGAATTTGAGATGTGTGTAATGAATGAAGAAGAAAAATGAATAAAAATTTAAAAAATAAAAGAAAAATAAATTGGGTGGGTGAGGGGAAAAGTTAATGTTCTGCCATGGAAATTAGCGACTGCATTTATTAAACGTCTTTCTGCCACACCTTTCTCCCCAGGAATTCCAAGGCGGCTCGCGGCATTTAAATACAAAATACAAAAACACAAAATACAAAAACAAACAGTAATTAAAATACATTCAAGCACATTCAGAACCAGGAATTAAGAGTTTGCCCTGGCGGCAGCCCAGTGGTCAGAACTACACCTGAGCGCAAGTTTCCTAGGAAGGCATTTGCCCGTCGGCAGATGGAGGGAACCAGTCTATGCTCTCTGGGCTAGAAATGAATTCTGAAAGCAGCTCGGGGAGCCTCAAAGGTCAGCGATATAAATGCAAGGAAAGAACGAAGCAAGCTGTTAAAGGGTGCCGGTGAAAACGCAGAAGCGTCGGGGCTTCCACTCACCTGTGGAGAAGCTCCTGCGCAACAGTGTCCCCGTAGTCATGCGAAAGGAGGTTGACCCGCTGGTTCAAAAGGCCCAAGTGATCCAGAAGCCCTTCCACGATGCTGGCTTGCTCAAAGATGGAGTACTGATGCGGCCTCTGTTTGGGAAGTACAGCGGACGCTCGGGTTGCGAACGTGATCCGTGCGGCATGCACATTCGCAACCCGCAGCGGCGCGTCTGTGCACTCGCAGGTTGCGATTCGGCGCTTCTGCGCATGTGCAAAGCGTGATTTAGCGCTTCTGCGCATGCGCGACCGCCGAAACCTGGAGGTAACCCATTCCGGTACTTCCGGGTTTCAGCACTCTGGCGCTGTGGGTTAAACCATAGAGCCTAGGGCCTGCCGATCAGAAGGTCGTGGTTCGAATCCCCACGATGGAGGGAGCTCCCGTTGCTCGGTCCCTGCTCCTGCCAACCTAGAAGTTCAAAAGCACGTCAAAGTGCAAGTAGATAAATAGGTACCGCTCCAGCGGGAAGGTAAACGGCGTTTCCGTGCGCTGCTCTGGTTCGCCAGAAGCGGCTTAGTCCTGCTGGCCACATGACCCGGAAGCTGTACGCCGGCTCCCTCGGCCAGTAAAGCGAGATGAGCGCCACAACCCCAGAGTCGGCCATGACTGGACCTAACGGTCAGGGGTCCCTTTACACTTTACCCCAAAAAAACGCAACCTGAAGAGTCTGTAACCCGAGGTATGACTGTAAACGGAGAGCCAAGCTGCAAGCTGGCAGACTGAAGTGCATCCAAAACACACCTCTCCATTCATACAAGCCATGGGTAGGCAAACCAAGGCCCGGGGGCCGGATCCAGCCCAATCGCCTTCTCAATCCGGCCCGCGGACGGTCTGGGAAGCAGAATGTGTGCTTTTATTTAAAATGCATCTCTGGGTTATTTGTGGGGCATAGAAATTTGTTCATTATTATTTTTCAAAATATATTCCGCCCCCCCCCCAAATGTCTGAGGGACAGTGGACCGGCCCCCTGCTGAAAAACTTTGCTGACCCCTGATATTACAAGCAGATAATGCTTAACCCTCAGGGATGGGGAACAGGTTTTTTGAGGGGGGAAACACAGAACATCCTTATTGTGTTGCACGACTGACGGGGAGGTCGTCCCACTCACCTGTCAGAAGCCCTTGCGTCGAGATTGCTTACCGGTTTATCGCTGAAGCCAAACCCCACAAAATCCAGGGCGATCACTCGGTTAAATCGCTGCATCAGCCCTTCCCAAATCTGAAGCAGGGGAGAGAAGAGGTGAAAATCAGGAGGGAAAAATGGGGGGGGTGTATTTTTGATAAATTGTTATGTTGAAATTCCTAATAAAAAATATTTTTTTAAAAAATAGCTGGCGAGAGACTGGGAAGCTGTGTGCACATGAGGTTAGCCATAATCCGTATCTATCTTGTCTCTATCCTGCCATTTCTTATGAAATGCTGTGTTTTGATGGATTTTCCCCACAAAACCAGCTTCAATCCGAGAAAAAGAATAAGCATTCTACATTTTAAGCAGGTAATGCGTACACAGCCACAAACAAACAAACAAAACCTATACATTTAGCATGTATAGATTGGCCCTGATGTTTAGATTTTTTGCCCCTGGTTATTGGCAATTATCTAATTAAATACGTTGTGTCTGATAAAAAATTTTTAAAAAGAAAAGGTGAAAATCAGGAGGCGTCTCTGCAGAACTGGCAAAACTGACGGGAAGAATCCAGAACCAGCAAGATCAAGTATTCCAAAAAAGACTGAAACGAATTTATATTATATGTGAAAGACAACTGTAAGCACTTAACATCATTAGCAGGGTGATCTGAAGATTTGTGAGATGAATTAGTTACCTATTCAGGTGGAGTAATTTAATATTTTAAGTAATGATATAACAGGAATGAGAGAGGAAGTGAAATACAAAAACGCAAAATTTAATTTTGGAAGCCATTCGGAGGGAGGGAGGTTGTTTAGGCTCAGCTGAGCCAAGACATTTAGTAAGAGGATACAAGGTTACGTATTGTGATTATATGTAAAATTAATAAAAAATATTATTTAAAAACCTAGAAAAAACCTTAAAATATTATTTAAAAACCTAGACAGCATCTTAAAAAGTAGAGACATCACCTTGCCAACAAAGGTCTGTATAGTAAAAGCTCTGGTTTTCCCAGTAGTGATGTATGGAAGTGAGAGCTGGACCATAAAGAAGGCTGATTGCCAAAGAATGGATGCTTTTGAATTATGGTGCTGGAGGAGACTCTTGAGAGTCCCATGGACTGCAAGAAGATCAAACCTCTCCATCCTTAAGGAAATCAGCCCTGAGTGCTCACTGGAAGGACAGATCCTGAAGCTGAGGCTCCAAGACTTTGGCCACCTCATGAGAAGAGAAGACTCCCTGGAAAAGACCCTGATGTTGGGAAAGATGGAGGGCACAAGGAGAAGGGGACGACAGAGGACGAGATGGTTGGGCAGTGTTTTCGAGGTTACCAGCATGAGTTTGACCAAACTGCGAGAGGCAGTGGAAGACAGGAGTGCCTGGCGTGCTCTGGTCCAGGGGTCACGAAGAGTCGGACACGACTAAACGACTCAACAACAACAACAACAACATTATTTAAAAAAAGAAAATCAGGAGGCATCTCTCTCTCTCTTATCAGGGAGCTCCCTTTATAACCGGTCTCCAAAATTTCAACACTTCTCAGTGCCTGCCTCACCTTGCACCAGTCGTAGCTGGAGGTTGGAAAGCCATGTAGGAGAACCACAATCTCCGAACTGCCAACGGCGCCCGAGGCGTCTGCAGAGAACAGAACATCCGTTATGGCACTGGCCCACCCTAATAATAATAATAATTTATTATTTATACCCCGCCCATCTGGCCGGGCCTCCCCAGCCACTCTGGGCGGCTTCCAACAAAGTATTAAAATACAGTTCTCTGTTAAACATTAAAAGCTTCCCTAAACAGGGCTGCCTTCAGATGTCTTCTAAAAGTCTGGTAGTTGTTCTTCTCTTTGAAATCTGGTGGGAGGGCGTCCCACAGGGCGGGTGCCACCACCGAGAAGGCCCTCTGCCTGGTTCCCTGTAGCTTTGCTTCTCGCAATGAGGGAACTGCCAGAAGGCCCTTGGCGCTGGACCTCAGTGTCCGGGCAGAACGATGGGGGTGGAGACGCTCCTTCAGGTATACTGGACCGAGGCCGTTTAGGGCTTGAAAGGTCAGCACCAACACTTTGAATTGTGCTCGGAAACGTACTGGGAGCCAGTGCAGATCTTTCAAGACCGGTGTTGTACAGTCTTGGTGGCCGCTCTCAGTCACCAGTCTAGCTGCCGCATTCTGGATTAGTTGTAGTTTCCGGGTCACCTTCAAAGGTAGCCCCACGCAGAGCGCATTGCAGTAGTCCAAGCGGGAGATAACCAGAGCATGCACCACTCTGGTGAGGGAGTCCACAGGCAGGGAGGGTCTCATTCTGCGTACCAGATGGAGCTGGTGGACAGCTGTCCTGGACACAGAATTGACCTGCGCCTCCATGGACAGCTGTGAGTCCAAAATGACTCCCAGGCTGCGCACCTCGTCCTTCAGGGGCACAGTTACCCCATTCAGGACCAGGGAGTCCCCCACACCCGTCCACCCCATGTCCCCCAAAAACAGTACTTCTGTCTTGTCAGGATTCAACCCCAAAAGCACTTTCTCCCCAGGGAGGTTCTCCCGCGTGCCATCATTGTCTATCAAGGACTGTCCTGGACTCTGTGATCATCATCTGAGGCCCTCCTTCGTAAGCCTCCTCCATGAGGGCGGCAACACAAAAACAGGGCCTTTTCTGGGGTGGCTCCCCATTTGTGGAATGCTCTCCCCAGGGAGACTCGCCCAGCACCTTCACTATGTATCTTTAGGCACTAGGCAAAAACTTTCCTCTTCAACCAGGCCTTTGGCTGTTAAAACCATCTACAGTCATACCTTGGGTTACAGCCGCTTCAGGTTGAGTTTTTTCAGGTTACGGACCGCCGAAACCCAGAAGTACCAGGACGGTTTTGGCGGCTGCGCATGCGCAGAAACGCTAAATCACGCTTTGCACATGCGCAGAAGTGCCAAATTGCAACCCAAGCATGCGCAGACGCGGGGTGCGAACATGCATCCCGCACGGATCACGTTCACAACCCAAGCATCCACTGTACGACTTTTTAAACTTGGAGGCCAGTTTATAAACCTAATACATAGATCTTCAGGCACCAGGTAAAAACTATCAAGCCTTAGGCTTTTAATGATCTTGGACCTTTTAGAGGAGGTGGGATTTTTAAACATCTTCTTTTCTTTTCTGGTTTTAGTGTGTGTGTGTGTGTGTGTGTGTGTGTGTAAGTCATTTTGGGTTGATTGTGGCCACAGACACCAAAAAAGCGAGCGATAAATCTAATGACAAAAATAAAATGCCACTTAAGTTTTAACTCTTATTAACCAGCAAAAAGCACATCTTATTAACCAGCAAAAAGCATATGGCAAGCAGGAATCACGGCCAAGTACCCTTTCACAACCTTTTCCCAGTTCCATCTTCCTATAAATTTCCCTTCTCGTGGATTGCATGTGATCCTTATTACTGATCAATTAACAGTCCGTCCGTCCCCCGTTAACGGAGGCAGGGTTCTATTTTTCCAATATTGTGCAATGCAAATCTTTGCACCGATCAATAAACCTGCTAGCTAGATATGTACCTTCCTTGCTTCCCTTTTCGTTAGCATAGTCTGAAGGTTTCTCACTGAACGCCGGCCGCTTTTAAAAACGGCCGATTTTAGGTCAATGAGCTTCCTTCTATTTGTCTGCTGCCTTTTGTGTCTGTCTGTCTCTCTTTTTTTAGCAATCACAGAATAACCTCATGGCTATTTTCAAGGCCATCTTTACTGCAAGCCGCACTGAGCGTTTCGCAGGAAACTCGGCCAGGCATTTCGGAAACAAGGACGCAAAACACAGGAGAGGAAACCTCTGTAGAAGATATTCCGGTTCTGGAAGGTGAAATAGCTTCCCGATGACCTCCATGACTGCAGAGCCGGCGATAACTTGGGGGGCGGGATGTGCAGGTAGACAGCAATGAGGGGCACCGTTAGAAGCCCCACCTGGAGCCACCACTCTCTCATTCTGGCAAGAGAAAGAAGAGAAATGCAGTGTTTACATGGGGGGAGAGAGCGAGAAAACAGTGCAGTCCTATTCCACAGCGCTGGACTTTGCTCCGCACTCCAAGGTTCAGAGTTCGAAAACCGTGCATGCACACATTTATCTTTTTTATTATTATTACTTTTTTATTCAAAATTAAAACAAAACATATTATCCAGAAACATACCATCCTTATTTCCCCCCTTTTTTCCTCCCTCCCCCCACAGAACCCAGCCACCCCCACCCCCCGACTTCCCTCAGTTCCAGTCTTTGATTTCTCTAAAAATGCTGTTTTCTGCATGTTACACAGTTGTATAGATCCTCAAACTATTTCAGTAACAATTATCAATAAGAAGTTTGTGAATGTTTATTCAAAGCCAGCAAAGGAGTCCAGTTCGCTTTGTTGCGTCTTCAAATACTTTGTAAAGGGTTCCCATTCATCTTTAAAGTCACAGTTATCCTTGTCCCGTAGCTTGTATGTCAGTTTTGCCAGTTCTGCACAGTCCATCAATTTTTCTTGCCATGATTCTTTAGTTGGGGTTTCTTCAGTCTTCCATCCTCGTGCTATTAAAACTCTCACGGCCGTTGTCACATACATGAAGATGTTATTCAGCTTATTTGGCAGATCTTTCCCTACAATCCCTAATAAAAATGCTTCAGGTTTTTTAACAAATGTTAAATGGAACATTTTCTTCAATTCGTTATATATCATTTCCCAAAATTTTTTAATTACCTTACAATCCCACCACATATGATAAAATGTCCCCTCCTTTTCTTATGCACACATTTATCAAAAGGCTGCCTTCATGAGAAAGGGACCTTCCATTAGCAAAAGAGAGAGATTTAAAAAATGGAGGAACTCCTACAGAGATTTGCTTGCATTAATCACATTGGAACACTGGGCAAGTTTGGGCAAGATAATCCACACCCTTCCCTCTTCCCCATAAAATTACGCCTTGACACACAGAAGCAGATAATTGTCGAGTTGGAAGGGTCCCCTGAAGGACATCTAGTCCCACCCTCTGCGATGCAGGAATCTAAACTAAATCATCCATGACAGATGGCCATCCAACCTCTTAAAAACCTCCCAAGGAGTAATCCCGAGGGAATAATCACAGAGAAAGGGGACAAAGCAGTGGCGTAGCGTGGGGGGTGCAGGGGGGGCCGGCCGCACCGGGCGCAACATCTGGGGGTTAGGGTTAGGGGGCGCAAATCCACGGGTTAGGGGGCGCAAATCCACGGGTTAGGGGCGCAAATCCACGGGTTAGGGGGCACAAATTACTTGCCTTGCCCCGGGTGCTGACAACCCATGCTACGCCACTGGGACAAAGTTTTCCTCCCTCTTAACCAGGCAGAGGCAAACTCGGCCCTCCTGATGTTTTACGGACTACAACTCCCATCATCCCTAGCTAACAGGACCAGTGGTCAGGGATGGTGGGAATTGTAGTCTCAAAAAAGAGCCCAGTGGAGGGAGGACTGTAGGCAGCTCAAGTTGAGACACATTAAAGTCCACAATTCTCCTTTTCATAGAATCAAAGAATTGTAGTTTTGGAAGGGGACCCTGCGGGTCATCTAGTCCAACCCCAGGAATTTTCTTGGGTATCAGGGGATCTCACAGAGATGCAATCTCATGCCATGGCCTTGGATAGCTCCAAGGTCTTCTGCACTGGGACTAAGAAACCTCTTCCTTCGGAGCACAGGAACGTCGCCAATGCCAAACTCTGGGTCTATCTTTTATCTGGGTCTATGTTTTAATGTTGTATTTTAATCTTGTTTTTTAAGTTGTATTTTAATCAACTTGTTTTTATTATTGGTTGTTAGCTGCCCTGAGCCCAGTCTTGGCTGGGGAGGGCGGAGTATAAATAAAATTATTTTTAATTATCATTATAAGGTAAAGGGACCCCTGACCATTAGGTCCAGTCGTGGCCGACTCTGGGGCTGCGGCGCTCATCTCGCTTTACTGGCCGAGGGAGCCGGCGTACAGCTTCCGGGTCATGTGGCCAGCATGACTAAGCCGCTTCTGGCGAACCAGAGCAGCGCACGGAAACGCCGTTTACCTTCCCACCAGAGCGGTACCTATTTATCTACTTGCACTTTGACGTGCTTTTGAACTGCTAGGTTGGCAGGAGCTGGGACTGAACAACGGGAGCTCACCCCGTCGCGGGGATTTGAACCGCCGACCTTTTGATCAGCAAGCCCTAGGCTCTGTGGTTTAGCCCACAGTGCCACCCGGGTCCCTTATTAGTATTATAATTATTATCTAATGCAGCATAATCCACACAGACCGGGAGCAGCTCTCCAAACATTTCTGCAAACCGGGAGAGGGCAGAGTTTGAACCTGAGGCCTTCTGCGTTCAAAGTGGTCTGTTTGACCACTGCCCCCTCTCCAGATGGGGGGGCCAAGCTCTGCCTCGACTCGTCCCAGGCGCCTGACAGGCAGCAGCACCCAGCGCCGTTGTGCTAAAACAATTCTAGGATAAGAGTAGGCACGCAATCTCAAGAAAATTAATGCAGCTTGCTGGTGCAAAACTTTGCAGTGATTGGTTTAAAAACGTTGTGTTTTGAAAGCTCAGCGCTATAAATGAGCAACACCCCCTTGAGCTCCTGGCAGGAAAAGGTGGCAGATATAAATAATAATAATAATAATTTATTTATGCTCCAACCACCTGGTTGGGTTTCCCCAGCCACACTGGGCGGCTTCCAGCAAAAATATTAAAATGCAAGATGATGGAATTGATGGAGCTGGCTGATCTCACAGGGAGAATCTGCGACCAGAAGGAAGAGGAACATCAAGAAGACTGGAAGAAATTTAAAGACTACTTGAATAAATACTGTAATATTAAAGATATGTAATCACTTGAAAGAAACAATTAGGCCTAGGAGTAAAAGGGAATTAAATTTATAAATAAGAAAACGTACGACAAGGAAAGTTATGTAATATGCTTAGGACTATGATATGGTCTTTTGAAACCCGATATTGGAAACTGCTACATAGAATTACTAAGAAATTCGGATGGAAGAGATTCGAGGAAGTTAAATACTATGTTTATGAAGGTGGATGGTACTTAATTTTAATTAATTAAGTGGTAATATGTTGTATGTATCTTTTTTCCTTTTTTTCTTCTTTTCTTTTTTCTTTGTCTTAATTATTGTTCATCTTTTCTTTCTTTACTATGTTTGTTTACTGAAAATAATAAATATTTTTTGAAAAAATATATTAAAATGCAGCAATTCATCCAATATTAAATATTAAAAGCTTCCCTAAAACAGGGAATGCAATAAATAAGCAAATAAACAAGCAATTCTGCACCCATAAAACACCCCCCTCCTGGTTTTCTCCCAAATTTCCATCAAAAAGAGCCCCAGGGCTACAAAGAAAGAGAAACCCAGCAATTGCCCCCCAACCCAGACCCCCCCCAGAGAAGAACTGGGGGTCACTGCCCCTCTTCCTGGTCCCTAGAGAGGGCGCGCATGCGCTCTCCGCTCACCTGCGCTCCGGGTTGCGGGCAGGCGCGTCCCATGCCGCTCCCGCGGAAAGAAAAAGGCTTCTGGAGCCGGGGGACGGCCAAAGCGCATGCGCGCCCTGGGCAGCGCCTCGATTGCCACGCCCCCTTCTCGAGAACAGGCTATTGGGCAAAACGCGCCCTGGGTTGGAGCGGGTGGGGAGGCTTACCCTTCCGCGCCCCCTGGCGAGGGCAGGCGGTAGTACGGCCCGCAGGGAGAAGCGGCTTTGCTGCATCGGGGACGCGGCTGAGTCGCCCAAAGTTTTTATTAGTCGGGGTTTTTTTTGGAGGGGTTGCAAAAAGAAGGGGAAGAAATGGAGGCAGTGAGAGATTTTACTTTCTTGGGCTCCATGATCACTGCAGATGGTGACAGCAGCCACGAAATTAAAAGACGCCTGCTCCTTGGGAGAAAGGCGATGGCAAACCTAGACAGCATCTTAAAAAGTAGAGACATCACCTTGCCAACAAAGGTTTGTATAGTTCAAGCTCTGGTTTTCCCAGCAGTGATGTATGGAAGTGAGAGCTGGACCATAAAGAAGGCTGATCGCCGAAGAATGGATGCTTTTGAATTCTGGTGCTGGAGGAGACTCTTGAGAGCCCCATGGACTGCAAGAAGATCCAACCTCTCCATTCTGGAGGAAATCAGCCCTGAGTGCTCACTGGAAGGACAGATCCTGAAGCTGAGGCTCCAAGACTGTGACCACCTCATGAGAAGAGAAGACTCCCTGGAAAAGACCCTGATGTTGGGAAAGATGGAGGGCACAAGGAGAAGGGGACGACAGAGGACGAGATGGTTGGATAGTGTCTTCGAAGCTACAAGCATGAGTTTGACCAAACTGCGGGAGGCAGTGGAAGACAGGAGTGCCTGGCGTGCTCTGGTCCAGGGGGTCACGAAGAGTCGGACACGACTAAACAACAACAAATTGCTTGTTGCTCTTGCTCTCATTTTATAAAGCTATATATCCATATGCTGGAAATAAAAAAATATTTTGATACTGTAGTGATTGTCCTTGAATCTACCTGACACATGGCCCTGCTCTCTGGCCACAACCTTTCAGAACCAAAGGTATATGTGCATTAGCTTCCCTGCCCCCTTTGCCTCTGCCCAGCAGACCTTAATTAATGTCTTAGTAAACAATAAATTCATTCATTTATTAAATAATAATGTGCATTCATTTTATTTGCAAGCTGCTTTTCCACACACACAAAAATCAGGCTTAAAGCAGCTTCCATCAAAGAAATAAGGATGCCTTTCAAATAAGCGCTGCAAAAGCAATTTCGTGATAGGAAGAGCAACTGAACCACTCGCATGTGGCCCCCAGAAGCCTTCACAGAGGGGAATGCGGCCCTTGAGCTGGGAGGGTGGTATTTCCTATGTAGATTAACATCCTGCTCCCGGCAGACGCAACCCAGTAACCCCAGCTGGAAGCCCACGGCCGGACACAAGGCACCAGAAGCACCCCTCGCCCGGCCGCCCCCCAAAATCCTCCGCACTATTTTTCTAAAGGACCCTCTTCTTTAATCTCAGAGCCTCCGGCGGAAGGACACCGGCGGTAGGATGCATGACGTCACAATCGCACCTCGCGCGGAGGCGTCCTCGCGTTGCCGCGGTAACCACAGACGCCTCTTTTTTTACGGTGCGCATGCGCCTACGCGCCGGGACTTTAAACGCACGCCGAAAAGCCCTCACAAAGGATTTTAAGAGGGAGAGCGCGCGGGAGAGCGCCGATTGGCTCTCTGCGCGGCGAGAGGCGGGCCAATCGGGGCGTCGGCACGCCGGCCGGAGAGGCGGGGATTGGTCGAGGGGGGCGCGGGGGCGGGCGCGAGGGGAGGGGGCGGGGCGGTGGGAAGGCGACGCTGACAGTTGGGCAGGATGTCGGCGAGGAGGCGCATCGGGGACCCTGAGGTGAGGGCTCGGCCCCTGCGGGGAGCCCCGGGAGACCCCGTCGCCCCTCTGCTCCCCCCCTCACGAAGCCAAAACGGGGGGTTGTGTGTTTGGGGGGGTCGCCCTTCGTTTTTGGGGTCCCCCCCGACGACCCCCCCTCCTGAATCCCAGCTATGGCGCCTTTTCTCCCTCCTTGGTGGGGGTCTCTCCCTCAAACAGCACCTTATCCCTCCTTTTTTGGGGGGGGGTTGTGGTCCTCATTTCAGGCGGGGTCCCCTCTGTATTTTAATGTTTTAATGTTGGATTTTTACATAGCTTGCATTTTAATTCTTTGGTTCTTTGCTGTTTCTGTTAACCCATAGCATTATTTTAATAAATGTTATCATACCAACCTACTACTACTAATAATAATAATATTAATAATGTTCTACTTTAATCTTGTTTTTAAGTTGTATTCCTTCGACTTGTTTTTATTCTTGCTTGTTAGCCGCCCTGAGCCGGCTGGGGAGGGCGGGGTATAAATAAAATTGATTGTTGTTATTATTATTATTAGTATCTCAAGCAACACTGGACCTGCATAAGAAAAAGAAGAGTAGCCTTTCTTTCTTTCTTTCTTTCTTTCTTTCTTTCTTTCTTTCTCTCTCACACATATTAATGTCACCTGCCGACCTTGGATTTTGTAATTTGGGGGGGGGCTCCCCAAAGAGGCTGCTCTCCCCCCCACTTTTTTGGGGGAAGCGGTGGGGCACTCTTTCTTTGTTGGGGGTCCCCAATAAACCCTGGATTTGAGTCCCTAGGGAGCCCCTACCATAGACTCTTTCATTGCGGGAGGGGGGCTGTTATTGTCTTGTTCTCCTTTTTGTTCTGTGTTTCTATGTTGTGTTTTTATGCTGTGAATCCGCCTTCGAGCTTCGGATGAAAAGTATACAAATTTAATAAATAAGATAAAATTAAAATGGGTTTTTGGGGGGTGGGGGATTGTTTCCCTCAACCCAGGCTTCCCAAAGGGGACTAGAGACATCTGTGGAAGGGGAGAGGTCTTCTTGTAACCATTGGCCACTCTGGCTGTATGGAACTTCCACAGACAGGAGCAGTATACCTTCCAGGAGCAGTTGCTAGGAGACAAACTTGTGAGCTTCTCAGAAGCATCCTGTTGGCTGGTCCAGGAAGCAAGGTGCTAGACCTGTTGTATCCAGCAGGGCTGCTGTAATATCTGTCTGAGGTGTCTGAGTTGCACATTCAGAGCTGCTGCTGCCACCCTCATTCTGACTTTTTTGGAATGTTTTGGAAAGAAAGCTCTGGCTTTCTCACATTGATGCTTCCTGCTTCCACTGATGTGGAAGGCAGGTACCAAATCATGGTACAGTGGTACTTCGGGTTAAGTACTTAATTCATTCCGGAGGTCTGTACTTAACCTGGAACTGTTCTTAACCTGAAACACCACTTTAGCTAATGGGGCCTCCTGCTGCTGCCGCGCTGCCGGAGCATGATTTCTGTTCTCACCCTGAAGCGAAGTTCTTAACCTGAAGCACTATTTCTGGGTTAGCGGAGTCTGTAACCTGAAGCGTATGTAACCTGAAGTGTATGTAACCCGAGGTACCACTGTACAGTTTAAATTTCCTGCTGTTACCCTGGTGATGCCAACTGAATGTGAGAACCAGTGGGATATGAGAGACTGGGTTTGAGTTCCAGCAGGGGATCTGGGGAAGAATTTTCTCTGTCATTTTCTCTGGCTGGAGACATCATACAGTGGTACCCCGCAAGACGAACGCCTCGCAAGACGGAAAACCCGCTAGACGAAAGGGTTTTCCGTTTTGGAGGCGCTTCGCAAAACAAATTTCCCTATGGGCTTGCTTCGCAAGACGAAAGCCCATAGGGAAATCTCTCCCAGGTGACGCGCGCCTATGGCAGGAGCCTCCATAGCCGAGCGTCACCTCTCCAACCGGGAGAGCGCACGCGGGGCTAAAGAAGCCAAAACCCCCGCGACCCTCTCCCAGGTGACGCGCGCCTATGGCAGGAGCCTCCATAGCTGAGCGTCACCTCTCCAGCTGGGAGAGCGCGCGCGTGGGGCTAAACCAGCCCCCCGCGACCCTCTCCCGGCTGGAGAAGTGACGCGCGCCTGCTGCCATAGGCGCGCGTCACTTCTCCAGCTGGGAGAGGGTCGCGGGGGGTTTCTTTAGCCCCGCGCGCGCTCTCCCGGCTGGAGAGGTGACGGGCGCCTATGGCAGGAGCCTCCATAGGCGCCCGTCACCTCTCCAGCCGGGAGAGCGCGCGCGGGGCTAAAGAAGCCCCCCGCGACCCTCTCCCAGGTGACGCGCGCCTATGGCAGGAGCCTCCATAGGCGCCCGTCACCTCTCCAGCCGGGAGAGCGCGCGCGGGGCTAAAGAAGCCATAGCCCCGCGACCCTCTCCCAGCTGGAGAAGTGACGCGTGACTATGGCAGCAGCCTCTGAAGGATGCACCGAAGCCTGGCGTGGGGGGGGGGCGGAGAGACCTTCTCCCCGCGCCAGCCTTCGGATGGCTGTCCTGAAGACTTGGGGTGGGAGAAGGGTTTTCCTTCCCACCGCCAACATTCAGAATGCTGTTCTGAATGTTGGCGGTGGGGAGGAAAAACCCTCCTCCCACGCAAGCCCCGGGAACAGAGGGAAAGTGCTGCGCGCCTTCCCCTCTGTTCCCGTACCTGTCCTGAAGGCTTGTGGTGGGGAGAAAAGCCCTTCTCCGCACCGCCAGCCTGGCAAGCGGTCTCCATAGGAACGCATTAATTGATTTTCAATGCATTCCTATGGGAAACCGTGCTTCGCAAGACGAATAACTCGCAAGAAGAAAAAACTTGCGGAACGAATTAATTTCGTCTTGCGAGGCACCACTGTACTTGTAACTCACTGTGATTGATGGAGGCTTACTAGGTTGACCATGTCGGTGGGTAGGTAGTCATAACGCATAGTACATGATTGTTGCATCCTTTTAACTGAGCTCTTGTCTTGGCTTTGGGTTTCCCTTTGCCCTGCATGGTCTCTCCACTTCATATTGGTGATTTAATTGATGGATGTAAATTGCTTTATGAATGACATCTTCTGGAAAAGAGCTGTCTAACTCTGGGTGGGAAAACTGTGGCCCTCCAGATGTTCCTGCTCCCTCCATCCCTGGCCATTGATTGGCCAGACTGAACTTCCTTTCCAAAACGTTTTTTTAAAGTCAGAAGGAGGGTAGTAGCATCCCTGACCATTGATTGACCAGACAGCTCCCTCAATCCCTGACCATTGATTGGCCAGACTGGCTGGGGCAGATGGGAGTTGGAGTCCAGTATCATTTGGAGAGCCACAGGTTCCCTGACTCTGCAGTGACTTTGGAGGGTCAGGACTGAGATGGCAGTGGGCTGATGGCAAAGTCCTGCTGAAATATTGTTCTACCCAAACAACTGCTTTCATTACTTATGTTGTCAGACATAACTAAATTAATGATTGGTTGTGACTCTCTGTTCAGAAGGGAGGCTGCAGCTCATTGGTGGAGCACATGATGCTTTGAATGCAGAATGTCCCTGGTTCAATCTCTAGCATCTCCAAGCAGGCCTGGGGAAAACTCTGTTGTGAATGTATATCAGAATTCTTGCTTCTGTGTTCTGCTGCAGAGTTTTGGGTAGGGACCTGTGGTGATATGGTGTGGTGTGTGTGTGTGTGTGCATGAGGGAGAGAGAAGCCATGACACAAATACTTTGCCAACCTACCTCATTGTGTGGAGGAGAGAGAGAGTAGTTTAAAACTATTTATTTCATTCAATAATTGCCATTTTAACGGGATCATGTGAATGGACCTTTGAGGCAGTTGTATATAATATGGCATTACCAGTTGGACAAGTGAATAAGGCTGCAAAGCTACTGGGTGCCTCTTTGGACAGGCACCAATAACTTTTATGCTGGCTCCTAGGAATCTGGGTTATTTTTTCAGCCCTACACTTTTGCTGAAAGTTGATAGGAATCAAACTGAAGAGAATCATTTCCAGGGCATGTAATTGCCTGAGCTCAAGCCACAATATCTGTGTGCTGTCTGGCAGTCTACGGTTCTGTGCTGATATCTACAGTAGTACCTCGGGTTACATACGCATCAGGTTACAGACTCCTCTAACCCAGAAATAGTACCTCAGGTTAAGAACTTTGCTTCAGGATGAGAACAGAAATTGTACTCCGGTGGCAGTGGAAGGCCCCATTAGCTAAAGTGGTGCTTTAGGTTAAGAACTGTTTCAGGTTAAGAATGGACCTCCGGAACGAATTAAGTTCTTAACCCGAGGTACCACTGTATTTGCCCTAGCAGGCCGTGAGTCCATTTGGAACCAGGAAATCAAATAACCCAGCCACTCTGATCCTTCCAGTGCTGCTCTGACTGAGTGGTAGTTTGAACACCACCTAGCCAGGATCAGCAGTCTTCAAGCCCCCTATTCAAAAGAATGAAGCTCACTATGATTAGTTAAAGTAGACTTGCTAACTCCCCAATGCACAGCATGAAGACAAGGCCCTGCTGTTCCTGGGGGCCTGTTAAAACCACTACCCTGTGTCAGTCTGGCATTACTGGAAGCAACAGGACAGCTGGGTTGTTAGATCATCTCCTCATCCTACATTTCCTTGAGGTGCACTGGGAGTCTCAGGGGTCACATCGGTACCAACAGATCACTGTGACCTGTAGTCCTGCGTGGTGCATGGACATTGTGGAATGGGCCTACAGTAATAAGACTTGCTTTTCCTTTCTCCCAGACTCAAATCTAGGCCAAGCAGAGGAGAAAGGACCAGCATAATAAACTCCTATAGTAAGGATGGGTGGCATATTTAGTAAATAAATAAAAAGGATCCCCTTGGTTAAATTCAGCGAATGAAGTGGAAGTAAAGCTGTTAGAGTAGGGGTAATAAATGTGTAGTGTTGGTAGAGGCTGGAGGAAGAAATAAAGTTTGTGTTGTGATAAAATGAGGTCTTATGCCATTTGCCTCTTTGCATATCTTAGTATATTGGCTCTTGGGTTTAGGACTACTACTGCCCAAATTTTCTTTCTACACTCTTGTTTCAACAATTATGTGCACATCTCATCTGGCATTCCAGTTCTTCACTCCATACTTGGGATACCTGTTTGTGTATACTGAAGGTTTCTCTCTTTCCTTTTTTCTTTCAAAAACACAACAGTTTTTGACCAAAAGGATCCCACAGAATCCTAAATACCAGCATGTAAAAACTCGCCTTGACACAGGTAAGTGAACATCTCTCTGCTTGGACAGAAATGAATAAATCAGAGAAAAGTGAGACAGAAACCTTTCCCTTGCTACGTCCAACCAGTGGGGTTTTTTTCTATATCCTGGAGGTTGTTACCTATCAAGGGTTGTGGGCTGTGATGTCAGATCATGAGGTAATAATGTGCTTTGTGACTTAGATCTCAAAGTAAACTTAGTACAAGCTATTAGAAAGTCAGCACATTTTGATAATCTTTGTGTTAGAGAAGGCTTGTAAACATAAGTATTTGGTCACCTATGATGAATAAGAATCGCCATGAGGCAATCAGGAGTGGAAGTATTAGAAAAGGTGGTTCTTTATTTCTTTTCAGCCCTACTTATTTAACAGGATTGTTGCAAGAGTCAGATGGGACAGGTGAAAACACGTTTGCCACCCTGAGCTCTTTGGAAGAAGAGCAGGACTAAAATGCAATAAATAAAATATATATTTCAAGCCTCACAGACCTAGCATTAACTATTTTTGGATGCCTATGATTTTCCAGCCCTACTAATCCACATTAAGGATTATGAGCATAGGATTAATTTAGAATAAACAGGTGAGGTGAGGCCTTGGTAACAGTTAAGATTTCTCCCAACATTTTCCCAACATTTCTATTGCTGTAGAATGAATTAATCGCACATCTTCGGTGGGAGAGGATTCACCATTGGGTGTATGTTCTCTTGTAGGTAGCAGTATGACCAAATACACTGAAAAACTGGAAGAGATCAAAAGAAGTGAGTAACATCACAACCACGATTTAGACTTCTGTAATCCACTCACTCAGGCCCGCAGATCGAGCTTGGGGGGGGGGTAGTGCGGGAGAACTTATTGTAGTGGGTTTAGCACTTTGAGGCTCTGCCATGTGACTTGGGATTGTTCCCACCCAATCAGGGGGCAGGGGTCCTGGAATTAACACGTTGTTGGCATCTTTGCAGTTGCTGTCATGTACGATCTGGCTGAGATTCCTACATTGCAAGGAGTTGGGTTAGATGACCCTCAGGGTCCCTTGTTGTTGTTGTTTAGACGTGTTCGACTCTTCGTGACCCCCTGGACCAGAACACGCCAGGCACTCCTGTCTTCCACTGCCTCTCGCAGTTTGGTCAAACTCATGCTTGTAGCTTCGAGAACACTGTCCAACCATCTCGTCTTCTGTCGTCCTTTTCTCCTTGTGCCCTCAATCTTTCCCAACATCAGGGTCTTTTCCAGGGAGTCTTCTCTTCTCATGAGGTGGCCAAAGTATTGGAGCCTCAGCTTCAGGATCTGTCCTTCCAGTGAGCACTCAGGGCTGATTTCCTTCAGAATGGAGAGGTTTGATCTTCTTGCAGTCCATGGGACTCTCAAGAGTCTCCTCCAGCACCAGAATTCAAAAGCATCCATTCTTCGGCAATCAGCCTTCTTTATGGTCCAGCTCTCACTTCCATACATCACTACTGGGAAAACCATAGCTTTAACTATACGGGCCTTTGTTGGCAAGGTGATGTCTCTGCTTTTAAGGGTCCCTTACAACTCTACAATTCTATGATTCTGAGATCTCCCGCAACCCAAATTCAAAGCATCTCTGTTCGGGGAAAGTCACGTTCAGGGATTAATCTTCACCAAAGTGTGCCTATGTCTCTGTGTGCATTTTCAGAACATCATTGTGCAAAAATGGGGACTGGAAGCTTTCCAAAACAAATGCTAAGATTCTCAGCTTAATTAATTCTGAGAACTGTCTTTTTAAACTTTGTACAGTTCAAGTAGCAAGTCACATTACATACTTAGAATACAAAGGGATTTCAAGTGTCTTTTTCAAAAACAAAACTGTTTTGGCTTTTCCTCACTCTGCACTCCTTTTTTTTAGTTGCAATTGCTTTGGTCAACTAGAAATGAAGTTACTTTGTTCCACAACATTCTTTTGTTCAGAGATTGCTTTTGAGTACTGAAATCTTAGCAGCGGTCTCGTTGTATCACCGCTACAAAACTTGTTGTGTTTCTGTCCCTTTCTCCCTCTGCACTCCCTGTTGTGCAAACCCGAGTGCCTCTTTTGTGTCAGACTCTTTTTTTCTCTTTAAATCCCACTTCAAGAAGCTTAGATGCAGGTACCCTCTCACCTGGCCGGTGGTGAATAGCACCTTGTGTGGTTCAGATAATTTGCTAACCATCTTTGATTTCTCATGGATAGACGACACCAGTTGGACACAGGCTTAAATGCCTGGGACAGTGTTGCCTCTGTCTCTTCTGTAACTTGAGAAAAACAGCTACGAGGCTAGAAAATCAAAACTGAGAAGCCAGCAGGTGTAGTCCTCATTTGCCTATCTAGTGGACACGGGTGAGAAACAGACCACCTAGTTTTCTTCTCATTGTAAATCTAGTTTTGCTGCTCCTGAGGAGTTCTAGACTCTTCTGAACAGTCGTACTTTGGTTGTCTCTGAATCTTTGCTTCAAGATGTCTGGAACCTTAAAGGGACCTTCTGAATCAGCTCCAGGTATGTTGTGCTGATGTTGTGGGACAAAGTGGCTCTGTTAATATTCTCTTCTACCTGATGGCCCCAACTGCTTTGGGCCACAGCTCCCTGCTGGCTGGTGCTGATGGGAGCTGTAGATTTTTTTCTCTTCCCTTAAGGAGAGCCAGTGTGGTGTCATGCTCAGTTTAGCAGCATCTTGTATATGTTGACCTTATGAATATCCATGGAGTGGTTGTGATCCTTGTCTTGCTTTCTCAGGTTATTCAGAGTTGTATGTCGGTTTGCGCTTCAGTGTGCTCAGTCCTCTGCTTGTTAGCTCAGTGTGGGCTGGATTGCATGAAGTAACTGTGCTGCTGATTTGAGGAAGGGCTTTCTTTGGTTAGAAGGAGGTCTTACACGACCTTTTGGATCCCACCTCCAACCCTCTGTGAAGGCAGCAGTAGATAGTGCAGGGCTGAGGAACCTGTCACCCTCCAGATGATGATGATGGCGTGCAACTCCCACCAGACCCAGCCAGCATGGCTAGTGATCAGGGATATGAAGGGAGTCCAATAATGTATGGCAGGCCACAGATTTCCCCACCCTTGAGAGAGGGAATTGGCCTGGGAATTGGGTGAATCTTTAGTTGGATAGATCTGAGGGGTTTGGGCTCTGTTCCCTGCACAATTCCATTCAAGGTGCTTGGGAGCAAGATTGGATTTCGTTCTAAAATGAGGTTACCAGATATTTTTTTTAATGAATCCTGGGACACTTCTCAACTTCCTACAAAATAGATGGGTTTTGTCACATGACTGATTTGTAAATCTGGGGACTGTCCCCGGGAAACGGAAACGTCTGGTAACCTTTTTCTAAGAACGGTTCATAAGTTTTCGTACATCCTTTGAAGAAGAGCGGAATGCAAGTATAATACATGGAACTAATGCAATGGCGCTGCCAAAGTTTCCTCATAGATTACACCTCTTCACTGTTTTCCAGATTACAGATACAAGAAAGATGAGCTCTTCAAGAGACTGAAAGTTACTACTTTCGCCCAGCTGGTATGTTCTGTCCTTAAACTGCATTTTTCCTGAAGTGTCCCACTGTATTCACAGTAGTTCGAATGCTTCTCATAAGCGCCTATTGTCCCCTGCTCCCACCCCACCTCTTGTATAACAGACGATCAGATCTGTGAGCTTGCCATACTTCTGCAAATGAGACTTCCATCGTTTAATATCCTGGACAACCAGCAGGATTCAAGGGTTCTTGGGCCCTTCAGGTGTCAACCCTGATATTAAACTATAATATGTGAAGCAGAAATGAAGATGCCTCGATATAACCCTCAGAGTCCCTTCACGCTCTGCAGTTCTGTGATTCCATGAAAACTCACACTAGGGCTGGCCTTCCTCTGGACCGATGCTGCTTCCTCAGCCCCAGAACAACCCTTTTGCCCAGCTGCTTTTGATCATGTCCTTGCCTCAATCCACAGGTGACCCAGGTTGCTTCCCTAGCTGATGAAAACTCAGAAGTACCATGTGAGGAAAATCAAAAGTTTGATGGTAAGGTCCGGGGCTTCTAAGAAATTACTTTTTTTAAGGTTCTTGGAAATGGTAGAAGTGTAGGCATAAAATCCTGCCTTGTAACTTTGTGCCAGTGGTCCATTTTGTCTGGCGCTGGCTACTTGGTTTCCCCCGACCTATGACCTGAGATCCTGTTTTAGTATCAAACCTGGGGTGTTCTGTTTATATAAAGCATGCCCTTTGCTGCTGGGCTATGGCTTTTCCCAACACAGAAGTCTGCTTACTACTTTTTTTCCTTATTTAAAGAACTGTTTGGGTTCTTATGTGACAAAGTAAGCACTTGTTAAAAGTTAAAGGATTGTACTGGAGATAGATGCTTGACAAGTGGCTATGGTGGGCATTGAGCCAGTGTGGTGTAGTGGTTAAGAGCGGTAGTCTGCTAATCTGGGGAACCGGGTTCGCGTCTCCACTCCTCCACTTGCAGCTGCTGGGTGACCTTGGGCCAGTCACGCTTCCTTGAAGTCTCTCAGCCCCACTCACCTCACAGAGTGTTTGTTGTGGGGGAGGAAGGGAAAGGAGAATGTTAGCCGCTTTGAGACTCCTTAAAGGGAGTGAAAGGCGGGATATCAAATCCAAACTCCTCCTCCTTGTGTCTTGTCATCAGCGATGTCACAAACACTGTCCAATGGGTGCTGGTTCTGTTCCTAGCAGGAGGCTTTGGGACTTGGCAAGTGCCGCTTGAAACATTACAGACAAGTCCTGAAAATTTGGTTTCCTGTGAGCGTATGAATGCAAATATAATCATGTGCTACAAGGGGAGAAGAGCACTTCTACGTCTCTGGAAAGCTTATTGTCCATACAGTCCAGAGGCTTTGGAAATAGCCTCTATCACATCCTCTACAGCAGAATCCCAGCCTAACTTATCCCTGCACTTACCCTGACTCCTCAGACTAAACCCTATTACAGTGGTACCTCGGGTTACATACGCTTCAGGTTACATACGCTTCAGGTTACAGACTCCGCTAACCCAGAAATAGTGCTTCAGGTTAAGAACTTTGCTTCAGGATGAGAACAGAAATCGTGCTCCAGTGGCGTGGCAGCAGAAGGAGGCCCCATAAGCTAAAGTGGTGCTTCAGGTTAAGAACAGTTTCAGGTTAAGTACGGACCTCTGGAACGAATTAAGTACTTAACCCGAGGCACCACTGTATTACCAAATTTCTGTCTTTATTGTTTTTCTCATTTTGTACACCATTGAGAGATTTAAAGGTCTTAAGAGATTCAGAAATGCTTTTAGATAAATACCTTTTTCAATGAAATATCTGCCTTCCCCCCACCCCTGTTTCAGAAGGCGATGCTGCTCCTGCAGATAACAGCCCTGACATGGCGGCAGAGACCAATGGCAAAAGCAGCCCTGGTGACAAACCAGCCAGTCCCATCCTGTTCATAAACAACACCGGAGCCGGGGAGTCGTATCGTTCCACCCTGCAGAGGTATCCAAGAGTCTGTCTCTGTGCTCGGGCTTCCTTCCTTCCACCTGCCATGATTCCTTTTGCTCCCTGCAAAGATGGGTTTGGAAAAAATTAGTGATGCAATTTAATATTAATATTAATAGATAAGACTCCAAAAGCAACACATGGTATTCCAAACCATTGCTTAGGTAAAGGTAAAGGTACCCCTGCCTGTACGGGCCAGTCTTGACAGACTCTAGGGTTGTGTGCTCATCTCACTCAAGAGGCTGAGGGCCAGCGCTGTCCGGAGACACTTCCGGGTCACGTGGCCAGCGTGACAAAGCTGCATCTGGCGAGCCAGTGCAGCACACAGAAACGGCGTTTACCTTCCCGCCAGTAAGCGGTCCCTATTTATCTACTTGCACCCGGGGGTGCTTTCGAACTGCTAGGTTGGCAGGCGCTGGGACCGAGCAGCGGGAGCGCACCCCGCCGCGGGGATTCGAACCGCCGACCTTTCAATCGGCAAGCCCTAGGCGCTGAGGCTTTTACCCACAGCGCCACCCGCGTCCCTAAAAAATTGCTTGGCTTGGCTTAAAATGCTGAAGCAGGTCCATTGGGCTCTTGGCATGTTTGATAGCCTTTCCAAAAAGTTGGATGTGACTTGATCACTCAAGCTTCCACAAGAAAGGAGTTGGAAAGCAAAGAACTGTGATTGTAGAAGCCGCCCTCCTTGTCCTAGCTGGGCACCCGTTTCCTTTTCTATCAATGGCCGTTAGCCATCAGCTAAATAGAATCTCAAGAAGCAGCATACCTTCATACCAGCTGCTGGGGATAAACAGCAGGAGGAGGGCTACTGCTTTCATGCTTGAACTTCTCACAAGCATTGGGAGTGTTCAGTGGGCGAAGTTGGGAAGCCGAGTGGGTCACATTTGGCCCACGGGCCAGATGTTTCCCACCCCTGGACAAGCTGGGCTTTTGTCCTTATATTTAAAGGTAAAGGGAACCCTCACCATTAGGTCCAGTCGTGGCTGACTCTGGGGTTGCGGTGCTCATCATCATTTAGTGTTGTTAGCCGCCCTGAGCCCGGCTTCGGCTGGGGAGGGCGGGATATAAATAAAATTTATTATTATTATTTATTATCTCGCTTTATTGGCCGAGGGAGCCGGCGTACAGCTTCCGGGTCATGTGGCCAGCATGACTAAGCCACTTCTGGTGAATCAGAGCAGCGCACGGAAACGCCGTTTACCTTCCCGCTGGAGCGGTACCTATTTATCTACCTGCACTTTGACATGTTTTCGAACTGCTAGGTTGGCAGGAGCAGGGACCGAGCAACGGGAGCTCACCCTGTCACGGGGATTCGAACCGCCGACCTTCTGATTGGCAATTCCTAGGCTCTGTGGTTTAACCCACAGCGCCACCCACGTCTCTGTTCTTATATTTAACCTCACCTTTTCCCATTAAGTTCAAGGAATCATTCTATGTCTTTGCTCTCCTATTTTATCTTTGCAAGAACCTTGCAGAGTAGGATAGGGTATATTCAGGTGCTCTTAGTCATTGGCACCATGAGCAGAACCTCCCTCTGTGATCTTAAGGGGTTACAGGATTCATCACCTAGGAAACTGGCTGGATTGCTGTCTGTTCTGAACTCAGAGGGCAGTGTCTGTCTGTCACTGAATTGCTGGCTCCTTTGATCAGCTTCTGCCTAGCACTGATAACCACAGAAACATACTACCGTATTTTTTGCTCTATAAGATGCACCAGACCATAAGACGCACCTAGTTTTTGGAGAAGGAAAACAAGAAAAAAAATATTCTGAATCCCAGAAGCCAGAACAGCAAGAGGGATATAGCTGCACAGCGATCCCTCTCGCTGTTCTGGCTTCTGGGATAGCCACACAGCCTCTTCAGGGCAGCGGGATGAAGGCTCCCCCTGCCCTGAAGAGGCTGCATGCAGCTAGGCCAGAAGCTAGAACAGTGAGAGGGAGTGCTGCGCAGCAATCCCTCTTGCTGTTCTGGCTTCTGGGATAGCTGCGCAGCCTGCATTCACTCCATAAGATGCACACACATTTCCCCTTACTTTTTAGGAGGGGAAAAGTGCATCTTATATAGCGAAAAACAAGGTATATTGACCTGACAGGCTGACGGTGGTCCTTATTGTGCCTTTATCCTGAAGTTAATGGCTCCTCTTTCTCCCAGTGTCATCAGTGGCGTGGGTGAGCTGGACCTGGGGAGAGACGCCCCGAAGAAAACGGAAAACTTTGCAAAAGACAGACCTTACCCCGACTGCCCCTACCTGCTGCTGGACGTGCGAGAGCGGGATGCGTTTGAGCAGTGCCACATAGTGGGAGGTGAGGCAGCCAGAGCGTCACCCCAGGGGGTTGCGTGAGTGGGGGTGCACCATAACCATCCCCCCCCCTTGCGGAGGTTAATCACCTTTAGAGAAAACCAGAATGGACAAAGCAGCCTCCCGAGTGCAGAGAACGTTGTGGATGTGTCCAGCTTGCTCTGAAGGCAAGAGCTGCTTCCAGTATCCCAACCTACATCTACTTATGCCTTTTGACTCCCCCTGGTGTCAGATGGCGGCAGTGGTTGCTCATGAGTAACCAGGCAGGACTCCGACCTGTCTTTTACAGGTTTTATTGTGCAAACTATTTACAGTGCAGACCTACCAAGTTCATGTCCGTCTCAGTCACTTGCAGAATCCGGGAGTGGCCCCTTCCGGCTTCTCCCCCAACATAAGAACTTTGGCACCCCAAGCCTCCTCCTCCCCTCCTTGTGTTTCACCCCTCTGCGCAAGCTGGGTGACGGAAGTGGCGTGCGTCCCTCCTGGCCAGCCTGGCAAGGTGAAGCGCTGGGGCTCTCAGCAACATCCTCCAGCCCTTCCCTCGCTTGGCTGGCGCCTTCCCTCTCTTCTCCACTGGAGGTGTGGGTTTTCCCACCGCTGAAAGAGGAACTGCTCCTCAGGAGTTTTGGAGGCTCTCTCTATCCCTGCCTCCCTCCCCTGTTCCGATGGCAGTCCCCTGACACCTGGCTTCTTAAAAAGGGCTCCAAGAACTGCAGGCTGTTTTCTAGCTCAGGAGAAGGCAATGAGCAACTGACTCCCCAATCACCACTGCATGAATTCAGTCTGTGAAGTGGTCACCAAAGTGATAATACACTATTTTATTTATATAATCAGTTTGTATACTGCCCTTCATCCACAGATCTCAGAGCAGTCACAACACCTACCTGCTCAGGTGGTAATTTTGTGCACCTGACAAAGTGGACTCTGGCCCACAAAGCATAATAATAACATTTCATTCATTCATTCATTCATTCATTCATTCATTCATTTATATGCTGCCCATCTGACTGGGTTGCCCCAGCCACTCTGGGCAGCTCCCAGCAAAAAATAGTAAAAACTTAGTACAACATCTGACACTAAAAACTTAGCCTTCAGATGTCTTTTAAAAATCACAAAAAGCTGCTTAAAGATTAACACAGGTTTCTGAGTCATTTGTGCTGGCCAACAAGTAACAGGCTTCCTCCTCTGGGATTTGCTATCCGCAGACACTGAGCCTGCTTAGAAGCAACTCTGTAAGACTGGGGGTCCTACCGCACTCCTTGGTACCAGAGGTGACCACATCAGGAAAGGGCGGGGGGGGGAGGTTACAACTGCAGTGCAAGCTGCAAGTCTGTTTCCTAAGCTTGGCCTCCTCCCTCAGTAGGAGAAGGCATCCTGGAAGAGGTATTTGGCCCATCTCCTTCAGCAGCAGATCTGTACAATTGGCACACGGATGTTGGAGTTCCACCCTCCCAGTTTCAGTCCCAGTGAGAGAAAGAAAGCAGGGCTTCTGCTGAGCTTTGTGAAGAAAAAGAAATTCACTGGTGTGATCAGCCTTTTTTCTCTTTCCCTCCACTTTCCCGTTTCCGAGCACAATTCAAAGTGTTGGTGCTAACCTTGAAAGCCCTAAACGGCCTCGGTCCAGTATACCTGAAGGAGCGTCTCCACCTCCATCGTTCTACCCGGACACTGAGGTCCAGCGCCAAGGGCCTTCTGGCGGTTCCCTCACTGCAAGAAGTGAGGTTACAGGGAACTAGGCAGAGGGCCTTCTCGGTAGTGGCGCCCGCCCTGTGGAACGCCCTCCCTTCAGATATGAAGGAAATAAGTAGCTATCCTATCTTTAAAAGACATCTGAAGGCAGCCCTGTTTAGGAAAGCTTTTAATGTTTAATAGGTTTTTGTATTTTAGTGTTTTGTTGGAAGCCGCCCAGAGTGGCTGGGGAAACCCAGCCAGATGGGCGAGGTATAAATAATAATAATAATAATTATTATTATTATTATTATTATTATTATTATTATTATTCCCTGTCTTAGCTAGTGAACTGAAAGAGGAAAAAATGGTCAAGGTGTCTTCTCACGTTGGGGTTCTTCGCCTAGCACTGCTGCCCTTGCTTGGAAGTGGATGGACCGCTAAGCCTCTGCTCTGGCTTCTTTTGTCCAGCATTTTCCTACCTTAAGAGCTAGAGAACCATCCTCCCACCTCCAAATGGATGCTCACGATTCCAATATGATTTTGTGTGTGCTTTTTCAGCTGTAGAAAATGAGAACAGGCCTACTTAGTTTCTCTCTTCTGTTCTAAGCTTGCTTTTCTCTTTCCGTTGCAGCTTACTCCTACCCAATCGCCACGCTATCCAGAACCATGAATCCCTATACGAATAACATTTTGGAATACGTATCCTTCATCCAAAGAAGCCTCTTGGTGTTCTGCCACTATTTCTGCTTCAAATGCACAGCTTGATCAGGAGCCCTGACCCCACAGGAAGCGACGCTCACAGTCCCGTAACGTTCCCTTTGAGGAAAGCTCAGTTCTGTGCTCAGATCCACTTGATCATCATATTTTGCTGCTTTCCCCACAGTATGTCTTCCAGATCCATGTTTCCTTTGCATATGTGGGTCTGGAACCCCATGGGGATCAAGGCCGATGGGGAAAATTTCAGGGATCTGAAGGGTGGAGAGAGATGTAGTATTGGGGCTCCAGGATGCCTGCTTGCAGTGTGACGGGCATAAGCCAATGTCTAATATGTGGAGCTTTTGCTCCCCCCACCTCCTCCTCCTACTTACCAGTCTATGATCCTTCCTCTCCACAACATCCCCTGACATGCACCCTCTCACACCATTAAGGAGAGGAGATGCGGGTGGCGCTGCGGGTTAAACCACTGAGCCTCTTGGGCTTGCCGATCAGAAGGTTGGCGGTTCGAATCCCCGCGACGGGGTGAGCTCCCATTGCTCGGTCCCTGTTCCTGCCAACCTAGCACTTCAAAAGCACGTCCAAGTGCAAGTAGATAAATAGGTACCGCTCCGGTGGGAAGGTAAAAGGCGTTTCCGTGCACTGCTCTGGTTCGCCAGAAGCGGCTTAGTCATGCTGGCCACATGACCCGGAAGCTGTACACCTGCTCCCTCGGCCAGTAAATCGAGATGAGTGCCGCAACCCCAGAGTCGGCCACGACTGGACCTAACGGTCAGGGTCCCTTTACCTTATAATAAGCTATCCATCTTCTTTCCTTCCAATCCTATTCCTTACCCCCGGGACTAAAAGGAGACACAGTCTATCTCTCCTCATTTAAAATGTCCAGGGATGTTACCTAATTTAGCTCACTTCCGAATACAGAATTTGAGTTTTAATGTGTTTTGATGGAGTCGAGAGCTGTTGCTTGCCCGTCTTTGACAGCAACCGAATGTTGAGGCTACTGACCTTGGTTTCCCTTGAGAGAAAGTGTTGACGCTTGTGTCCAAATCTCGAAGCCTAGGTGCCTCTCATCTGCCATTGGAGTGATCTGTCAGGCACTGCTACCTTGACATCCCTAAACCCTGGGGGGGGGACTTTGCCACCATCTTGTTCTCTTCCCCCTTCCGTTGATTGTACAAGCCTTAGCATCTCCGCCCGCCAGAAAAACGCTCATGGAAAGATCATCATTCTGTACGACGACGACGAGAGAGTAGCGAGCCAAGCTGCCACCACCATGTGTGAAAGGGGTTTTGAAAACTTGTTCATGCTCTCTGGAGGTAGGAAGCCCTGGAAGTTCCATGATAATTACCTGCTAGTTTCAGATATCAGATCCATTCTCCCTCCCCTCCAGCCCTCACACACTGAAGTCACTTTGTAATGTGATCTCTAGAGAACTGACATGCATTGCATATAGTACAGTGATGTGCCCTGGTGGCTATGCTTGCACATGAACGTGCCTAAAGAGCTAAATTTCTGGAAAGATCAAACCAGTTTAATAGGCTTGGCTAAATAGGTCAAAGTAGGGACGCGGGTGGTGCTGTGGGTAAAAGCCTCAGCGCCTAGGACTTGCCGATCGAAAGGTCGGCGGTTCGAATCCCCGTGGCGGGGTGCGCTCCCGTCGCTCGGTCCCAGCGCCTGCCAACCTAGCAGTTCGAAAGCACCCCCGGGTGCAAGTAGATAAATAGGGACCGCTTACTGGCGGGAAGGTAAACGGCGTTTCTGTGTGCTGCGCTGGCTCGCCAGATGCAGCTTTGTCACGCTGGCCACGTGACCCGGAAGTGTCTCCGGACAGCGCTGGCCCCCGGCCTCTTGAGTGAGATGGGCGCACAACCCTAGAGTCTGTCAAGACTGGCCCGTACGGGCAGGGGTACCTTTACCTTTACCTTAATTAGGTCAAAACCACATGCCAAAGTTGCCCCAAATCCTGCTTTTGTGACCTGTCTGGTTATGCAAATCATCAGGCACACTTTGCATATATCTGGGTTTCTCTTTTAAAAGAGCTGCGCATAGCGCATTAGCCCTGAACACAGAAACCTCATTTCGTCCCTGCTTCCTCAGTGTTTCAATGAACCGTAATTTTTTTTCACCATATTCCCTCGCCCTGCAGGGCAAAGAGAGAGAGTGAAATGTGCACTGCCTCCATTTCCAGTGCTAAATGTGCAATGGACTATGCCGGTATAGGCAGAGGCTTCATTCTAAATCAGCCTTTAGCACCTTCAGAGTAACATCGGAAGGTGTCAAGCCGGACTGCGTTGTCAGAATCTCCTACTTCCTTGCCTCCCAGGTCTCAGAGTCGTCGCTCAGAAGATCCCCGAAGGGCTGGTAACTGGCACATTTCCTTCCTCTTGCCTATCCGCCAGCCAGCCTGGGACCGCCCGGAAAAGAGCCACTCCCAGGCAGCCCCTCCCCCCGCCCGCTGAGAATAAATGGAGATTTACAGCAGAGGATCTACAAAAGATACAGTACTATCTAGAAGAGGAGCAACTTCCAACAGATTCCGCCAGTAAGACTTAGCTGCCTGTCTCCTACAGCTGGGGTTGTCACCTTTGGTCAGGCAAAATATGGAGCAAGTCCAGGGGGGGTGGGATGGGATGGGGAACTAAAATTAATCTCCCTGGCTCTCCCTGGTGCAGAAATGACTTCAGAGCAATCCATTATAAAGGGTTGTTTCCAATGCGAGTCATACTCGTAGAATAGACCAAATGAAATTTACGGACCTAAGTTAGCAATGCATATTAATTTCAATGACTCACTTCCTCCCCACCTGCTGAATTTCTGTCTGTCAGAAATAATGGTAAATGTAAAACTTCTGAATTACTGCTCTGGTGTTTTTTAAAACACTCAAAAAAAATTGCAGTCAGTAAAACATACAAGCTAAGAACATCTGTTAAAACCAAAATAATAATAATAATAATAATAATAATAATAATAATAATAATAATAATAATTTATTTATACCCCTCCCATCTGGCTGGGTTTCCCTAGCCACTCTGGGCGGCTACCAACAAAACACTAAAATACAATAACCTATTAAACATTAAAAGCTTCCCTAAACAGGGCTGCCTTCAGATGTCTTCTAAAAGTTTGGTAGTTATTTTTCTCTTTGACATCTGGTGGGAGGGCGTTCCACAGGGCGGGTGCCACCACCGAGAAGGCCCTCTGCCTGGTTCCCTGTAACTTGGCTTCTCGCAGTGAGGGGACCGCCAGAAGGCCCTCGGCGCTGGACCTCAGTGTCCGGGCAGAACGATGGGGGTGGAGACGCTCCTTCAGGTATACTGGACCAAGGCTGTTTAGGGCTTTCAAGGTCAGCACCAACACTTTGAATTGTGCTTGGAAACGTACTGGGAGCCAGTGTAGGTCTTTCAAGACCAGTGTTATATGGTCTCGGTGGCCGCTCCCAGTCACCAGTCTAGCTGCCACATACAGCATTTCAATACAGCAATTCAGTATATATATCATCACAGTTAAGTTATTATTTAGGTTACAGGATCAACATAAGCCCCCATAGAATCATAGAGTTGGAATAGACCACAAGGGACATCGAGTCCAACCCCCTACCAAGCAGGAAACACCATCAGAGCACTCCTGACATATGGTTGTCAAGCCTCTGCTTAAAGACCTCCAAAGAAGGAGACTCCACCACACTCCTTGGCAGCAAATTCCACTGTCGAACAGCTCTCACTGTCAGGAAGTTCTTCTTAATGTTTAGGTGGAATCTTCTTTCTTGTAGTTTGGATCCATTGCTCCGTGTCTGCTTCTCTGGAGCAGCAGAAAACAACCTTTCTCCCTCCTCTATATGACATCCTTTTATATATTTGAACATGGCTATCATATCACCCCTTAACCTCCTCTTCTCCAGGCTAAACATGCCCAGCTCCCTTAGCCGTTCCTCATAAGGCATCGTTTCCCCAAAAGACAGTTTCCGGCCCTGAGAAGCTTGCAGCCTAAGTTTTAACACTGAGTGGAGCAAAGAGGTTCAGGGGCAAAAGAGGGGAAAGGACCCAGGTCTGGATGTGTCCCAAGCTGTGCCTTGCTGGTGGTGGTAGGAAACAGCCTGGGTTGCTTAGCCAGAGGCCAGCTTGCCTCGCTCACCCTCCTGTTCTGCTTCCTCTCTTACAGCCCGTCTTAGCCGCGGTTCTTCAGCTCGAGACTCCAAAGCCACCGCCGTGCGGAGCAGCCAGAACCTGCCCACCACCAACACAGCGGTGGCCCTCTCCGCCCGCTCCCTCAGCAGCAGCAGCCTGCAAAGCAGGCCCTGGAGATAGACGGTGTCATTTCCCACTCAATAAAAGAGAGTCCCTCTTCCTGGGGCCCTTTGATCACTACAGCCAGTCTTTCGCTTTTAGGAAGGTGGTGCGCACGGGACAGAGAGGGGCAGAGGAGCAAATGTGGGCAAGGTATGGAATAGGAGAGGGGGGAGACACCTCAGGCCAAGGACCTTTGGAGCGGAAAAGAAGCCCAGGGAGGGAAGGAAACAGGCTAACCTTATCTAAACCTCCCAGCTAAGACTCCGGTTGGTGTTTGTCATTGCCTCCCCACACCCCTAAAGGTAACAGGATTTCCTAACTGCTGGTACGTGAGAATATGTAAACCAGAGCAATCCAAAAACGTGACTGGACTTTGAACAGAAATGGAGCAAACTGAGCAAAAATAGCAGTGAGCAAAGTTGGTTAAGTGCTTGAGTTATAATAACTAGACATTTGTGGTACAGTCAGGGGATGAATGGGTGATCTGAGTGTTTAATTTGTGGCCTTCTGCCCAGAGTTCTTTGCCGTCGTCCCAAAAATACCCTTAAGAACAGCAGTTGTACATAAAGGGGAAAGAACGTAACTCCTCCGCTTCCTGGATTTTCAGAGCCATAAACCTTGGCCGGCTGTTTTTCCTGCTGTGGCCATTCCAGGCTATGATTGTGAATATGTGGGCAGCACAAAGGGAAAGTTCCCTCCCTTAACATTGAAGGATAACTTTGGGGACCAGATCGTGAAAGATGCTGGAAATAAGATGCAAGGGATAGAAGGCAAAGCCATTCCATCACCTAGATGAAATCTCTTAGCAATAAAAACGTCCTGATTTTGGGAGAGTAGCAGAAGTTGTGGCGGAGGGAGAATGTATCCGTCCCACTTCGTAATTCCATCGTTTGTTTGCCTCTGAGGGTGAAGCTGAGCATCACAATGGAGCGGTGTAATTCCACCCCCGGTAGTTTTGAGGCCGCTCATACCTCAAAAGGACAGCGTTTCACATACAGATAGCTTCTGGCAAATTTGCTTGGCTTGTTGCGTTGGCAGAAAGGGGAGTCCTTTTGACCCCTTTTCTCTCCTCTCCCCCCCTCCCCCTGTGACATTTCCTTTCTCTTGCTAGGACACCTGAGATTAATGGCACATCGACTAGCAGGCCGGTGGCACACTGTCTCTCTGCCAGCCGTTCTCTTTTACAGTTTGCGCAGTCGGCTGGCTGTGCAGGAGAAAATGCCTTCACCTCTTCTGTGGTCTGAACAGCTCAGAGTGGCATCAGTGCCAGATCAGTTCTCCCTTCCACCTGTGGTTCACCTTGCAGGAGGCAGAGAGGTCCTAGTGTTCCCCAACCTTGGCTCTTAAGACAAGCTGGTTTCTTGTCGGTGTCAAATAGAAACTGGAACAATTATCTTTTGGCTTTCAGTCCTAAGCTATGGTGCCAATGGTCTGTGGCATGGACATCTCCGCTCCAGAGGTCATGGGCAGCTTACTGCTGCAATTCTGATCCTGCTTAGCAGCGTCGGAGCTTACAGCCTGCTCCTCCTAAGCCCCTTTGTTTTCCTCTCTCTCCTGACCCCAGAGTAGGAGCTGGGTAGTCTCTGTTTCTATGGTGTGAACCAGCTGGGGGCCTGTGGAAGCCACAATCAATGGTATCCCATGTTGCTCCCAGGAAGAGAAAGCTTCCCCTTTTGCTGTTCCCACTTGTTACAGAAGGAAGGTTCCACTGTGGTTTGTTAGTGCTGGAACGATTCCCTTGAAAGAATCCACGTGGGGACCGTAAATGTACAATCCGCTTTGAGCAAAGATCCAAGATTCCAGCTGCCTCCCGTTTTGCAGGCCTTTCCTAGGAGAAAATCTGCCCAGATTTCCAGTATGCCGTTTTCCAGCTGCAGATCATCCCACAAGCTTTTTCCGTGGACGAGGATGATTCCATTCGATGTCCTAGGAGGCACAGTCTTCCCTGGACACGCTCCATCCCTACCATTTAAAGCACTAAATTGTAGAATTGTCTCTGCCCCATCAGTTGCATTTGTTGACCCCATTCGGATACGGCTGTGTGTGGTTCCTCATGCAGGCGAGGGCTGCTGTCTCTAATTTGACACTTTGGCCTTGTTTCCGTCCTTCAACTTTTCCCATATGGCACTGCCATAAAATAGCCCTGGAACAGCCTCCCCCAGCCTGGTGCCCTCCAGATGTTTCAGAACCATAGCTCCCATCATCCCTGACCACTGGCCAAGTCAGCTGGGACTGATGGGAGCAGAAAGTCCCAAAACATTTGGGGAACATCAGAATCTATTTCTCTTCAAGTTGCGACTGCAGCCGTCAACTCTACAAGCTGGTTGTATCCCTGGTGACGTTTTAACCCCTTTCTGCATTCATAAGCCCCTGGAAGCAACACTACAGCATCTCAGCTTTGCCCCGTACAAGGGATCTCAAATCTTAGAAGCAATGATCTTGCTAGGGGTTCCATGTGGCACACATTTTTCTTCACCTCCAATTTGAAAAGCTGCCTTTTGGGGCTGTTCTTTTTATACAGATTTTTTAAAGAGCTCTATTTTTATATGAAACGAACCTTGCAGGGTTACAAAAAGTGACCACCAGCCCCCATAGCAACTAAAGAGTTGGGCATTCATCAGCCACCTGGCGCTCTCTGGGGTTTTTCCGGCGTTTGCTTGTTCCTTGCCTTAGCTTTAACAGTAGCCTGGAATTGCTCCTCTGTAGACTGGGGAATGTTAAGATAGGCATGAGAGCGCTTCACTCCTCGGCTGTTGGACGTCATCTGCAATATCCTTAAGCTATTGTGGACATCTTGCTGAGCAGTTCTCCCATTTGATTTTTGTTCATTTTGAGCGATCATTGAGCACTTGTTAAACTGATTGTCAAAGGGCAGCTGCTATTAAATAGGGTGGGGGTCCAAGAATTGGGGGTGAGTATTCTGTCTGGCGTCTGGGTCAGTCTGCAGCGTTGGCAGAGCCCTTCAGCTAAGCTTGTTTGCCTTACGCAACCAAGTCACAGAAGTCTTCTGTGCTTCCTCTTCCCCATATTTATCGTGAACCCTGCCTCGCCTGGCAGTGATTTCCTGATCATTTTAAATGAGTCGTATTTAAATATCATGTATTTATTATAAATGGCGAGATTGATGGTTGGTTGACGTTTGCCCTTGGCATATGTGTTGCTCCCTCTTGGTCTGCGGTGATCGTCTTTTTTTGCACAGAAGACTGATTGAGCTTTGTAGTGTTTTCCCTTTCCATCTGCTTTTTTATTGGCTGGCAGTTCTTAGTCCTTTTTAAAACAAAAACAAAAACCTGGAGCCTATGGACACTCCCTGCTGCCTAAGGAATTCTGGAAATGGTACAAGTGAGTTAAGCATTTCTGGTAAACCTTTGCCAAAGTGCAATGTTCAGGATTCCTGGGGAAACCCAGGAAGGCATACTGGTTTGAGACCAAGTAAGTGTTTTTACAAGAAATACATTTTTTTCTTTTTTCGTAAACCCAAATACCATTTTGTGCAACTGCATCAAAAGTCTGTTTAGTCAACAAACTACTTGATTCCCCTGAGCATTAGATCAGAACCTCAGTTTCATCAAGCAGGTGTTCCTTTAGTGTTGGAGGCTTGTGTGTCTTTCTGTCTCAGTTTCGTTTCTGTTCCTGCAAGACTTGAGCTTTCTGGCCCTGGACTTCCAAATGCCATCTTGTGTATCAGAAAGGCAATCACATTCTGAATCCCACAGTTTGAAGAAGAGCCTCTCTTAATCCTTGGCACTGGAAGAAGAGCAGCTCAACATTGCTTTGATCCTCTTATTGGCTTTGTGGATTTTGTATATATTTTGCTCATTAGGTTAATTATGTCAAATGGTTTGGCCAGTCCTGCTTTTTATGACGGGTGGATCAGATATTTCTGTGTATAGTTTTGCCTCTTACTTTGTTTCCGGCTCAATAAAATAAGAACCGTCCACTATATCTACAAGATTCTTGCATGGGCTACCAGTCAAGTCATTGCAGGAGATTAACTGCAGAAATCATTTGAGTTGTTGTAGTTGTTGGCATCTGTCTCGAGAGACAATGAAGTGTGTGCCTCTGGGACCACTATGTCAAACCACTATGCTAGCAGCACCAAAGTGACCTTCCCAGGGTAAAAGCCTAGGCTGTATGTATGGAGGTCCTGGGCTGCCCACCCCCTCGATTTCGCTGATGTGGTCCAAAATTTCTCTTGAGATGCATTTGTGTTTGGTAATATATAAAAAAAATTAAAAATTGTCCAGTAGCACCTTAGATACCACGCGGGTGGCACTGTGGGTTGAACCACAGAGCCTAAGACTTGCCGATCAGAAGGTCGGCGGTTCGAATCCCCGCGACGGGGTGAGCTCCCATTGCTCGGTCCCTGCTCCTGCCAACCTAGCAGTTCGAAAGCACGTCAAAGTGCAAGTAGATAAGTAGGTACCGCTCCGGCGGGAAGGTAAACGGCGTTTCTGTGCACTGCTCTGGTTCGCCAGAAGCTGCTTAGTCATGCTGGCCACATGACCCGGAAGCTGTACGCCGGCTCCCACAGCCAATAAAGCGAGATGAGCACCGCAACCCCAGAGTCGGCCACGACTGGACCTAATGGTCAGGGGTCCCTTTACCTTACCTTACCTTAGAGACCAACTAAGTTTGTTCTTAGTATAAGCTTTCGTGTGCATGCACACTTCTTCAGATACACGCTTCTTCAGATCTGAAGAAGCTTGCATGCACATAAAAGCTTATACAGTGGTACCTTGGGTTAAGAACTTAATTCGTTCTGGAGGTCCGTTCTTAACCTGAAACTGTTCTTAACCTGAAGCACCACTTTAGCTAATGGGGCCTCCCGCTGCCGCCGCGCAATTTCTGTTCTCATCCTGAAGCAAAGTTCTTAACCCGAGGTACTATTTCTGGGTTAGCAAAGTCTGTAACCTGAAGCGTCTGTAACCTGAAGTGTCTGTAACCCGAGGTACCACTGTACCAAGAACAAACTTAGTTGGTCTCTAAGGTGCTACTGGACAATTTTTTTATTTTAATTTTTTATGTATATTTCAGCTGCGTCAGACCAACATGGCTACCTGCCTTGTGTTTGGTAAAATAGGGATAGGGGTCCTCTTTGAATGACACCCACTTCTACATAAGGTGATAACAAAATGGTGCCTAAGTGTTGAGTGTTTGCAGACAGGAAACGCCCACCCTCCATTTGCAAGTTTCCCCAACAGTGACCACACACAGGTGGTCATGTAAAGGACTCCTGAGCCACTAGCCTGAAGTGGAACATCCTTTGGAGTTATCCAAGGCTGCTCTGAGTGAGGAGCCTTGTTAGCACAATAGCAAGGAAACTCTTCCATGGAAAAGTTCAAAAGGACATTCCTTTCTTGGCTATGATTCCTGCATTGTGGGGGGGGGGTTGAACTAGATGACTCTGGGTCCCTTCCAGCTCTACGATTCTGTGATCACTCGAATTCTTTTGATTGAGAAAAGTGAGCATTCAGGGCATGTGTGTAAATTGGAAGGGATTATTTGTGAGAGTAAGGCAGTTATTTTTGAGAGAAGGCTGATCGCCGAAGAATGGATGCTTTTGAATTCTGGTGCTGGAGGAGAATCTTCAGAGTCCCATGGACTGCAAGAAGATCCAACCTATCCATTCTGAAGGAAATCAGCCCTGAGTGCTCACTGGAAGGACAGATCCTGAAGCTGAGGCTCCAAGACTTTGGCCACCTCATGGGAAGAGAAGACTCCCTGGAAAAGACTCTGATGTTGGGAAAGATGGAGGACACAAGGCACACCTGGAAGAAACGGACCATTTGGATCCCTTCCAGTCGGGATTCAGGCCTCATCATGGGACTGAAACTGCCTTGGTCACACTGGTTGATGATCTCCGGCGGGCTAGGGACAAAGGTGAGAGCTGTTTCCTAGTTCTGCTGGATCTCTTAAATCAGAACCAGTGAAGGCGGTGAAGGTCCTGTGCGAGTGTCTGGAGGCGGTTGGAGGATGGATGGCGGCTAACAGATTGAGGTTGAATCCTGACAAGACGGAAGTACTGTTTTGGGGGACAGGAGGCAGGCAGGTGTGGAGGACTCCCTGGTCCTGAATGGGGTAACTGTGCCCCTGAAGGACCAGGTGCGCCGCCTGGGAGTCATTTTGGACTCACAGCTGTCCATGGAGGTGCAGGTTAATTCTGTGTCCAGGGCAGCTGTTTACCAGCTCCATCTGGTACGTAGGCTGAGACCCTATCTGCCTGCGGACTGCCTCACCAGAGTGGTGCATGCTCTGGTTATCTCCCGCTTGGACTACTGCAATGCGCTCTACGTGGGGCTACCTTTGAAGGTGACCCGGAAACTACAACTAATCCAGAATGCGGCAGCTAGACTGGTGACTGGGAGCGGCCGCCGAGACCATATAACACCGGTCTTCAAAGACCTACATTGGCTTCCAATACGTTTCCGAGCACGATTCAAAGTGTTGGTGCTGACCTTTAAAGCCCTAAACAGCCTCGGTCCAGTATATCTGAAGGAGCGTCTCCACCTCCATCGTTCTACCCGGACACTGAGGTCCAGCACCAAGGGCCTTCTGGTGGTTCCCTCACTGCGAGAAGCCAAGTTACAGGGAACCAGGCAGAGGGCCTTCTCGGTAGTAGCGCCCTCCCTGTGGAACGCCCTCCCACCAGATGTCAAAGAGAACAACAACTACCAGACTTTTAGGAGACATCTGAAGGCGGCCCTGTTTAGGGAGGCTTTTAATGTTTGATGTAGTACAGTATTTTAATATTTTTTTTGGGAAGCCGCCCAGAGTGGCTGGGGAAGCCCAGCCAGATGGGCAGGGTATAAATAATAAATTATATTATTAGGGGACAACAGAGGACAAGATGGTTGGACAGTGTTCTCAAAGAGACCAGCATGAGTTTGACCAAACTGCGGGAGGCAGTGGAAGACAGGAGTGCCTGGCGTGCTCTGGTCCAGGGGGTCACGAAGAGTCGGACACGACTAAATGACTAAACAACAACAGCAAGGCAATGGAAAAGCTACTTCTGTACTCATTCCAAGCGTTTATTATTACCAAGGAGGCTCCTGTGTGTTGGTTGCAAAGTTGTCTCCTGAGATGAGAGCCTCCTACTTTTGGTTCTAATAGGGGTGATCTCGTGTGTGTTCCATGATGACCATCAGAGCCAGCCATGTCTCCTCAGCGGTGGGGATGATTTGGCTGGCAGGGAGCATGAACCCGTAACGGCCCGTGTCTCGCAGCTCAAAGGTGTACGAGTACTTGATGCCTTGTTCGTAGGTCCAGTCGACGGTTCCACCACTTGCTTGGTCTAGATCAAGGAAATGGGTACACAAAAGAAAAACAGCCGCATCACATCTCTTCTATACAACTCTTGCTACTCTTCCCGTCTGGAAGAAGTTTAATTTCCGTCCTGTGCATGCTTTGAAACTCAGCATTAGGGTTCTGGTTGAAAGTAAAGGGTAGACTCTGTTAATCCTCTTTGCTACGTAGCTTGGCATCCAAGCAGTTCTCAGCTGACATAAGGCTTGGACCCAGTTCAACACACCTGCTGCGGGGGGGGGGACGACTCTGGGTTGTTTGCTATCTTATCTAGGAATACATTTGACTGCAGAAATAATAAAAGCACGATGCCTTCAGAAGCGCGTTCAACATTCTAAACAGCAAGTGGGTTTCTAGGCCTCATGGTTATGAAGCAAACCTGGATTATGGATGAGAGGCTTTTAAGAGAAGCTTTTCAAAGCCAGAGAAAGTCAGATGTTTCTGCTATCCAGAGGATGGGAATTTCTCTCGGGTCTTCTGTAATCCATCTCTCCCCAACCAAGTCCCTTCCACACGCTCCTTCTAACCTCTTTTCTCCTAGCAAAATGTCAGCAAATTAAGCGTTACACAGGAATCTCTAGTTTTTCACCCGTACAGAGCAGCCACATATGAATCTTGCAGGCGTAGCCTAAATGAATGCTGTTGCATTTGGCCTAAAAAAATTTGTAGAAAAGACTTATGTCCAGGAAAGCCATATTTTGTGAATAGACCATACTGTGTACTGTAAATACCAGTTCTGTCCTGATTCCTGGCCATCCGTACTCAGCAACTGCAGCATCTACAACTGGCCCTGCCAGTCTTCAAGTAGCACAGCATATTATGGGTTTGATGGTATATCACCTGGATAGCTCAGTTGGTTAGAGCATGGTGCTGCTAACGGCAAGGTTGCAGGTTCGATTCCCGTAAGGGACAGCTGCCTATTCCTGCATTGCAGGGGGATTGAACTAGATGATTCTCAGGGTCCCTTCCAATTCTATGATGAGCATTGGAGCATCACCAGTACTGCAACCTCCATAGAAAACTAGACTCTTAAAGAAGGTAGAGTTCAATTCAAAATAGTTGACTGCCCCCTGGCGGCTTGGAGGACCACATTTGTTTTCACAAGTTTGGTCACTTACAGATGGTGGTGATGATGCTGCCATATCTGTATTTGGTTCCATGGAGAGAAGTAAGGGCCTCGACTGCCTTCTGAGCAAGAGCGTCCTGGAAGGGAACAAGGGGCAGAAGGAGAGGAAGAAAAAGTGAGATCTAGAAAGGTCAAGCGCATGCGATGAGAACTGCTACATAACAAAGGTGACCTAAGAGATGCAGGCTTGTGGGGAGAGAATTTACCCCCTTCAGCGGGTGGCGCTGTGGTCTAAACCACAGAGCCTAGGGCTTGCCAATCAGAAGGTTGGCGGTTCTAATCCCCGCGGTCAGGTGAGCTCCCGTTGCTCGGTCCCTGCTCCTGCCAACCTAGCAGTTCGAAAGCACGTCAAAGTGCAAGTAGATAAGTAGGTACCGCTCCAGCGGGAAGGTAAACAGCGTTTCCATACGCTGCTCTGGTTTGCCAGAAGCGGCTTAGTCATGCTGGCCAAATGACCTGGAAGCTGTACGCCGGCTCCCTCGGCCAATAAAGCGAGATGAGCGCCACAACCCCA